TTATTTGGTTATCATTTATTAATTAATCAATAACTTGCCAACCATGTAACTCGAAAGAAAAGGATTTCATTCCACATTATTGTTTGTATGTATAGTTACTAATCAATTTACATGCATTGGCCTTGTTGGGTCCCCCATTCAAACTCTATGAACATCTCACTGCCATTTCTAGTGTGAAGTTAAATAATGTCTCGTGCCCCACATCCGTGCACATTTGTATGGTGCAGTGGCTGTATCCGTGGTCCAATTTTTCACAATCATGTTATGATTGAGTCATTAACTCAGTTAATTGGATAATTTACATTCATTAAAATATGTTAAAAAACACTTATTGTTTATTAATTTGAACGTTAAAAACTGTAATTAGCATGGGTTGTGTTAAATAATAAAATGAATAAGGGACGAGAAATGACAAAGAAGATATATGGTGGTGTTTGTACTGAAAGAGCTAAATTTACCTTTTAGCATCCCTTTCCTTATCATGGGAAATGGAACCTCATTACTTGTCGACATATCAGTTGGGACTAAGGGCCATGTTATGGACTAAACCATAAGGTAATGGGAGAGATATAGAGAGTGCATAACATATGAACATAATAGAATAAAATAGATTATAGAAATGTTTTTACTTATCTACCGTCCATGCAAAGTCCACGTGGCATGTTCTGCTCGTTCCATTAGACTGATTCCATATATATTCTTTGAATGTCTGGATTACATCCTTCTCACACCTACCCAAATAATAATAATAATTTCTGATACGTTCTTAATGTATATATAATATAAATAGTAAAAAAGAAATATGTCAAAAGACCCGCTGATTTAACAGGTGAATAAATCTAAAGAAATCTATTATATCAGTTAAATGTTTTAAAACTTATATAACCAGCAGATCATATTATTGATATAATATATTTTATTATTAATAGAAATTTATAATATTTATACTAACGGTTGAACTTTTATTTAAATTTGTTATATTATATATTTATATTAATAATAATTGTGATATGATTGTCATATTCAGAAGCAACGTACATTTCCATCCTTTTGAAAAGAAAAGAACCAGATTGATCTAGAAAGAGTATCCACGGGTTTAATTTCATTGCACCACTGATTAATCCCTCCACACAATAATATTAGTTAAGAATTTGCAGAGCAACTTTATCATCACTAGTTTGATAGCTTCGTTAATGATATATTAATATATTAAACCCATTTTATTAGAAACGATAGATATTACACGCGTTATAATCCTCAGGATCTCACGAAAGATGTGAACTTGAATTGACAGCACCAACTTGATGGTCAATTCGAGCTAAAATATCTCCCAACTGCTCAGTGAGAAAACCATTTAAAAATATGCTGAGTGAAACTGTGCATTAATAAACGAAGAAATTTCTTTCACGCAAGCTTATGATACATATTCTTAAAAACAAATAACTGTGGGAATACAAGAAGCACATCGTATTGTTGTGACAGATTTCATATAAGATAATGTTTTTTTTTTCATCCGTAGAGAAAGTAAACGGTTCAAGTTAAACTGTGAATCATATCTTGGTGTTCGGGGATTATTTTATTGTGTAGGATGAACATGTAATAAATAAATAGATGGTGGCATTTACGGTTCTTAGGTACACAACGAGGTTTTGGGATAAGATTTGGTTTTCAGATAACCAACCACACAGTTTGCGTCAGAAAAACTGCTTAGAAATATAAGAAATTTAAAAATTCATTACACAGATCAGTAGTAATTAATTTTATTTTTCAGATTGCGAAAGGGTTATTGCTTGTCCGCATGTTACGAATTGAGTGGCTATTGATAATTTTAAAGAGTTTGTGTGGACGCCGTTTTATGCTTCGAGGTGATGAAATGGAGTGGACATGAAGGGTTTTTATTGGCACCTAACCCTTATCCACACCAAGGTAATTCAATTCACGTCAGTTAGTCCTTTGCTTGTATCAAATAACCATGTTTCTCTAATCCAAGATGGTTCAAAAATAACACTAACATGATTCAAAGTTTAACAAATAAAAATAAAGAATGCAACTTTCTTTTTATATAAAAACATATAGTAGTTCGTGTGAGGATGACAACAATGTTTTCCCAATTAAAACACTGTAGAGTTGTACTACCAATTTTAAACGTGTCAAACTTTATAATTGGAAGGTTTATTTCGTTGTTTTTTATTTCATGTCCCCGCATTTTAAGCTAAAGCCAGTGAATTGTTTGAGTAGGTTCTTCTTTATATAAGCTCTATATTGGTGTACAGTGTCACACGTTCATAGAACTATGGGGCAGCGAAATTTCCTTCAATTGGATATTCTCTTTGGCTCCTTTTGGATCTTTCCTTTTGATCCCATCTTCACGACGTATTTTGGATCTGGACTCTGACGCTGAGAGCTACCAAGTTTTTAGGGTTCACCTATTGTCTACTTCCTTGTGTTACTTGTTTTTATGTTTTAAACTTAAACTTCTGGTTTGGTTTTTATGATTATTAACCTCATTTTACTGCTATATTGTGATATGTTTTAGCAAGATACGAAAAGAAAATTGAAACTCTTCCGCAACTTTTGATGTTTACTTCCACTTTATACGATTTTCATTTTTAGTGATATTAGTTGAATCTCAATGCTCGGCTAAAAAAGAGTTCTCTCTGCATATAATAAGGTGCTTCGGCAAGTGTCGGGCCTGGCCCAAAAATTGATCTGGGCCATCTAAACCTTTTTGTAAATTTGCGTAGTTAAGTAGGACCGTACACTTGTTGAGCTTAGCTGGTTTTTGGGCATGAGCCCCTCTCTTTGTTTTCCCGTGATAAAAAGTAGGGCCCTACAAAACTGCATTTTTTTTGGTTGAAAGATATTTTTTGTAAAATTATCTTCATATAAATATATGATAGATAAATAAAGAAGTGCAAGCACATGCTAAATTCTAAAGAGTCTTGCATTCCTAAAGTTCCAAAATAAATGTATAAAGAAAAATTCTAAAAAATATTCACAATTTTTCTTTACAGGAGAACATCATTGGAGCTGTAAAAAACAGATTGGATTAATTTTTTATTTTTCTTCTTCTCAAATAGCATATAGTCTAATAAAAGGTTAAATCAACTTGTGGAAAATAATTATTAGCAACTTAAGACTCTATTTACGCACACAAAAAATAAATTTTGGACCAAATGGGGAATTATGAAATAAATGTTGGGTGTAAAATAAAAGCTCTGTTCGTTCGGTTGTAACAAAAAAAAAAGTGACTAAAGAAACCCAATAGATGAAAGGATAGAGGAGGAAAAGATAATAGAGACAAAAAAACTTTCACTTAAAAGAAAAAAAAATTGTATGAGTAAAAAGTCTCATAGAAGATAGATTGAATTTTATGAAAAAAGAAGAAGAAGAAAATTAATCCTCAAGAAAACATTAGAATGTTTATAGTTAATTGGCTTGTTTCTATGGAGGATAGATTATGTTGAGCTTTTTTGTGTAATTGGGAGAAGAGGAAGAGAATGTAAGGATTTTCAAATTTTAAGATTCAAACTTTGGTTTTTATGCATATATATGCTAATTCTCACCACTTTAGTCATATTATAAAGTTTTGTTGAGGTGTATTATAAGCATGATTTTTCTCATTAAAGTTAGGCCATAGCTTAAGACTTGGACTTGTTCATGAGTTTATTCCCAATATATTTTTTGCGTAACTTAAATTAAAATTTTAAAATACAAGTCAAAACTCAAAAGACTATAAAAATAATATAATTTTAAAAATAAATTATTTTGTCTTTGCTTAACATTTTTTAAACATGCATTTGGGAGTTGAGCCTAATACTAAAGACTAATAAAAAAACGTGAAAGAAAAGAATATTTTTGGTTGTATATGCATAAGAACCTAATTAGAAAGAGTGTAGAAAGGAGAGTGGGTGTGAATAAAGGAAAGCAGAAGGACAAGGAGGTGGATTAGCACCACCCTCTGATGATGTTGCTATACAGATGATACATACACAGGGTGGTAACAGCACAGCACTTGAGTGTTGTTTATAACTTTTTTTAATTACGTCTATCTTCAAATGAAAATAATATTATTTCAGTGGAATAAAATTATTATCCAGAATATTTTGTAATATATTTTTTAAAATTTAAATTATTGAGTAAATTTCAACAATCTTATATTAATTGATTCATGTGTTTAATAATAAAACTTATTTGTTCTGTATTTGAAGAAAATACTTTTAAACTTTATAATAAAAATATATAGTTTAAATTTATTTAAATTATAAGTTTTTTTTATAAGGTAATTTTTTTATACACAGAATTTAACTTCATATTTTTTAACAATAAAATATAAATTATTTAAACCAGTAGCCTATTAATACTTATATACGTATCGTTGTCATATTTTTTTAATTCAACTTTAATTTTAATTAAAATTAAATTAACACTCATACATTAATATGCATTAAAAATAATTTTAGGGTGATTTTAAAGATATCATATAACTTAATTAAGAGTTCCGTTTTTGAAAAAATATGGAAAAAATTACATTTCTCATAAACTCTTTTTAGTTTACTTATTAAAATAAAATTTTTATTTAATTTTCATCAATAAATTTCATATTTAAATTTATACCACAATTTATTAAATAAATATATAATTAAGGCGTGTATTTAATCACACTAAACATTTATTCAATGAGTTATTATAATACGATTTAATCCTAAAATTACTTAAAATATATTAAAAATTATTAAGATAAATTATATTAAAAAATTAAATGCTTCTATTAAATTTCTTAAAAGCTCTTTTAAATAGTTTAAACTAAATATTTAAATATAAAATTTGAAGGTATAAGAAAAACATAACAGAGGGCTTTGTGAAATTTGGTGCCATGACAAAAATCTATGATGGTCGGTCACAGATTGAGTTAGTGCTTTCCAAATTCCAAGTTAAAGGAGTGTGGAAATGACAAATCAGTCCCTTTCCCCTCTTTCATTTCATTCATTCCAAAGAAAGCCAGAAACTGCTCCACACACACTCTCTGTAAAAATCTCTTATTGACCGTTCATTCTTTGTTTTCCCTTTGCGCAGAACCATAGACGCACTTCATAAACTCCATAATTGCTCGCTCTTTCTCAGCCATCAACTCCATTCGCAAATTTCCCTTTTTTCTATTTTTATAAAACCAAATTTAATTACTATGGGCAAACGCAAACGAATTTCTTATCACACCCACTCTCGCAGGGATCATCATCTCCCTTCTCCTTCTCCGGGTACCCTCTCTCTCTCTCTCTCTCTCTCTTCAAAAGGTTCCATTGATCATGAGAAAACGTCATAGGTCTGCAAAATGTGTTATAAATTGAAACGCTTGATTAACCCATCTAGATTTTTCTTTTTCCTTTTTTCTTTTAATGTTTCCCCAGTAGATGGTTTTTAGTTTTACCACCTGTTCAGAACTTTGGAAATTTTAGAGTGATGTCCTACAAGTTAAATAAAGCATTCAATGAGAAAAAAGGAAGTATGTTTTACACCTTTATAGCATAAAAATAAAAAAATTAATATATTTATTTTTTAATGAGTAGAGGGTTGGTAAGAAAATGTTGTAAGAGGAGAGGATATAGAACTATTTATCATAATTTAAACGGACATATTTAATGGGCATTTTTGCCTCTCTTTTTATGAACAGATTTTGTGTTTACTTTAACCTCGTACAATTGACTTAGAAAATTAGTCCTCCTTTGCTCTTTGAAGAATGGTCAGTTTTCTTTTTACTTTAGCATAATCGATCTTAGAATGGTTTAGTTTCACCACTTCATAATCACATTGCATATTCTTTTGCTATTATTTGTACTGGTGGACTGGGATTAAGACTTAGCGCGATGTTAATCACGGTGCATGAGTGAGTCAGATTATGTTCCATAAAAATGCAGTTAAAGATTAGAATTTGGAATTTGATGTGGTGTGCCGTAATTTACATGTTATGGTGTTGGGAGCTATGGTGGGAATTGGTTAGCCTTTGTTTGTTATATGCGGTTTAGATTAATTTAGTTACATACTTCAATTACATTCAACAATTTAAAGTCAATTTCATTAAAATCATTTTTACCAAACTATAAACCAAATGGAATTGTAATCCTGGCAATGACATTTTGATTGCGTTGAGAATCAAGAAGAAATAAGAAAATGGTCCCTTTATCTTTTTTCCTACTGCATTTTGTTCTTAGTTTGTATTCCTTGACGTGCATTATGGATCAGCCATTACTAATGATCAATATTTTTTTTTGTCTTAAACCAATATTGCAGAAGCAATTCAATGCACTTCCAACATGGAGCTGTTGTCAGATGAGGTTGGCTTTCTTCTTCCATTCCTTCAATGATAAATAAAAATTTCCTCCAATATTAATTGCTTTTTTGCTTTTCATCATTCTTATTCATTTTTCTTTACATAACCGGTTGATAAGGTCATACATGAATAAACTTGTGCAGATACAGAATGTACACTTCTGCTTATCTTTGGAAGTAGTATGAAAGTAATTCACAAGCATCCATTGCTTCCTTTTGATATCATATTACATAATTGATGAGATTGACTTCTGTCATTTGTCCCCTTTCTTTGCTTCTTTCCAAAAGCCTTCACATTCAGGCGATCCCGGTGCCCACCCTCTGCCAGCTGCATTGGATATAACAGATGGATCTATGAAGCTACTAAATACGCATACAACTATGGCAAATCATCATCAGAATCTTGGTCGTTCAATATTTTTGAAACGTTCACGCCATTACTATGGCCACCAGTATTCTCGACGTAACTCTGCCAATCATGCTAGTGCATCTTCTTCTCGTGGCAAGGGTATTTCTTCATATGATGATAGACTTTCTTTTAAGTTGGCTTCTCAACCAAACTCACAATCCAGACAACACGCAGGTGTGTCTCTAATACTTATTCTCACTATACGAATATTAATTTTGAAATTTTTGTGGTAGTGTCAAAGTTAGTTTACATTCTTGATATTTTGGTGGAGAATTTCACTGGCAATATTATTCATTATATGATGTCAATGATGTCTTTGTCCCATGTTCGGATGCTTTGTGTTGTAATACTAGCATTCAATTTCAATCATAGGGAATGCTTTCTGTTTCATTCTATTTTGTTTGAGAATCCATTTGGTCATCCATTCAGTGTTTCTACATTTTCCAATTTTTCCAGAATATAGAGAGAAGGTGTTTTCCAGGCCAGAGAGAATCCGGTCAAGTTCCTTAGGGATGGATGCAGTGTCACAAGATGTAGCGAAGATGGTCTGTGGGATTTGTGAGAAGCCACTGAGTCGAAAATTTAATTTTCTGGGGAGTTCGGTGTCTTGTTGTGAGCTTTCAGTTGTGGCAGTATTAGTATGTGGTCATGTTTATCATGCAGATTGTCTGGAGCAGAGAACTAGCCTTGAAGAACTACGTGACCCACCATGCTCCGTGTGTGCAGGTTTACTCTTGCAGGCTCAAGACTCTAAAGAACAGGAATAGTTTCCATGTAGATGGATTTTACAACTTGAAGTTGATCATCATCTGCTAGTAAAGGGACATATAAGTGTGGAGATAACAAAACTAAAGATAGGTCATTTTGCTGCTAATGGACTATGGTAGCTAGGATAAAGATCTTGTAGACTCTGAAGATCTATGCATTATCTGTGGGATTTGTGGATTCGGTAGAGAGCTGTGTAATTTCTTCTGATACTAATTCTGGTTCACCAGGCGCATAGGGGATTACCATATATGACAGCCTAATGCTTTGGTTACCTGAGCCATGGAGTAGAAGTTTTAGTAGTTGTAAATGTTTGAGAATTTCAATGACATTCTAGTTGAAATAATTGTTCGATCTTCATCTTTCGTTGCTAGTACGTTTTTCACAGCTCCATCGTGTGGTTCTTGAGAAAAAACCTTTGCCAAGAAGATGGTAGCACAAGTCTTCCACTGGGATCACAAGTTGCATGTCACTTCTTCTTGCCATCGTGGGTTCCTAATATGGCTTTAATTTCTAGAAATGTTATGTTTTTGTATTATTTCAGCCTACAAATTTATTATTTACCTAAAAGTAATGCATGTTTTTAAAAAGGATAAAAGGTAATATTTTTCAGAAGCTACATGTCACTTTTTTTAATAAGGTGGTCTTTGAGAGTGACTGATGCAGCATGTTTATTGAATTCCATCATTCTTGTTTCGAAGGAAGGAATAGTTTTGCGGAAAAACCCAAGATTTTTTCTATTTCTACGAAGAACTTGGAATATAGGTAACTAGCGATCCCATTCTCTAAAAACATATTTTAGTACCATACAATCTGAAATCCATTTATCAATGCATGAACGGTTACATAAAAGGACTTTTAAAATATTTTGGGTCATCCCTTGTGACAAGCTTGGGAACACTGCCAGGATTTTCCTCTACCATCACCGGTGATGACATCTTATCTTTCCATGATGCAACTGAATTTCCAAGTGAAACATCATCAAGCCAGCAGGAACAGGGAAACTATCTTAATTGTCTACATAGAAAATAAGATTTTCGTGCTGTTTTACATTATAATTATAAGTAAATGCATCATTATCTTGATTTTCTATTTATTTTTCAACTAGTGCAGTAACTGTCCATGAAGCAGCGCACCTTCACTTTTTTAACAATGTTTTCAGGAGTCGGATCATTTATCGACATTGATCAATAAGATTAGTTATGATAGATTGAGTCAGCAGCAACAGAGGTGATAGATTAAATTTCCTTGCCCCTACTTGATGGGCGAGTTCTTTTTACCATACGATAAATGAAAAATGTTAACAGTATAATTTTTAATATACTTTTTAATAATTAACTAAAATTTATTAAAAATTACAAAAATATATTAAATAGCAGTGAAAATAAGTGAAATTCATATAACTTTTGTAAATTTTTTATAAAATTTAGCTAATAATTATAAGCGTATTAAAAAAATGTGTGTTAGAGAATATGTTAACAACATTACATTGATAAATTCCATAATTATGGTAGCTTTGATTTCGAATCATCAAAATTCATTTCGTGATTCATTTCTACTTCATTTTCTTCACCTCCGATACATGACACAAGCCTCACACTTGTACCGTGCTACATCATATACTACTATTTAATATCATATTCATATTTTTTTTTATTTAGGTGTCCTTTTTTTAGTGGATGAGATTTATTAGTTCTATCTATCTCTGACGGTAAAGATAATTAATTCACTTAAAAAGAAAACTTCCAAATACTTATAACCTTTATATTTACATATATATTAAAAATTATGTAAGTCTTACTCTTTAATTTATTATTTTTATAGTTTTTAATAAAATATAGCTAATAATTGTATATTTAAAAAAGTGTATTTCTACCGCTTTTTAAAAAAATAGATATTTGTAATCAGGCACAGGAAGAAAATGATATTTGTAACTTGGGCAAAGCTAAGTAAGTTCCTGGACTCGTGAAATGCATTCCTGATACCTCTGCAGAACTAACCCTCACGTGTTATCGAATGGTGTCACTTCTCTGTTATAATTATTAAATTTAGATGTCGTAGGGTAAATTTAAGTCTAGGGACTGAGGTTGACTAATATAATCCATCAATTTATTTTATTTTTTACTTTTAAAGCTATAAAATTATCTATAAAAATTATATTTAATAAATTTAACAAATAAACAAATAAATTTAATAATTATATTTTTTTACTTTTAAAAAATTCTTTCCATTGTAGCTGACAGTTAAGGTATTATAAATATTATTCAAATATATAAGTAACGTGTATTTAGAAAATAATTTAATCTCATGATATATTTTAATATTTTTAATTAAAATAATAAAATATCAATAATTTTTTTTTGTTGGTTCCGTTAAAAGTTTTTATAGTTTTGTGCTACATGTACCGTTAGTCGTTGTCTCATTTTTAGATGTCTGACACTTCTTTATCTTTTTATTTTATTTTATTTTTTTATATTTAAAATTTTATTTTCTTGCCATCAATACCGCATCTTCTTAAAAAATAAAATTTTAAATATTAAAAAATAAAAATAAAAAAGAGGGTAAAGTATAAATTTTAAAAATAAGATGATAAATATTATATATGTCATAAAATAACAATTTTTTTTAATAAAATTAAAAATAAAAAAATTATTTAATTTTTTTTTAAAAGTTAAGTAATATAGTGAACGAAGAGAAAACTTAAAAGAAGAAATCAAAATTTAACGGATAAAAATACTACTTTTATTTTTTTTTATGTTAAAAACGTGAGACAAAAGATTATTTATTATTTAAATAATCGGGGGAAGAGAGATAGAAAGAGGGGCAAAGCTCACCTATAGTCTTCTTGAACCCCTCTTTTTTTCTTTGGTGAGTAGTCTTGAATCGGTGTCTGGAAATACATAGAATCCGATAATAAAACACCATGAATTTCAGTATCTACGAAAATAAGATAAATACTCTTCTTTAGGTGATTATAAGGTAGAATGCTTGTCCTGAGAAAACATGTTCATTTTCTAATGTATTGCGTCACCTTTGTTTATGAACAGAACTGGTTTGCTTCAATATAGCAATTCCAGCTTGGCATGTCCGACACGGTTACATCGCCAGCCAAGCCCGACGAACTTTAAGATGGAAACTGAATCATAATGCTGACGCCACCATCTACAATGTTAATTATTTTTTAATTTATTCTTTTATTATTAATTAATTTTCTATATTGAAAATAAAATCTTTATTTTTAATAAATATTATTTAATAAATAAAAGTATATTTAAAATATATTAGTAACATTTCTCTTATTTAACTTTGCATAAATTTTTCTTTTTGTTTTTATTATTTAAATAATAAGATATATATTTATTATTCTCCTCGGCACAATATTTATATATTTTTACTTTAAAAAAGAACGCGTGCGTATATAAACTCATATAAGGTAGAAGTACAGTTGAAAATAGTAAATTAAAGTCCTGTAACTGCTAAATAAAAAATCAAGTATAAAATTTAGTTAAATATTATAATTTATGTATTTATACATGTTAATTATATTTTTAATTGTTGAGTTTAAAAATTTTACATAACAACTCGTTCATTAAAAATTCATAAACTTGTTTGCATTGCAATCCTTTTATTTACGGGGTATTATCTTTTCTCGAGATCGCAGCCTTTTTTTTTCCCTTATGTTGATGATGATTCTAGTTTGCTTCGAATAATATATTTGTTTAAATATCCATAGTGTGTATTTGTTTTTTGGTGCTTGAAAGTCCACCTATTACTAACAACAATGGTCAAGTAGCTTTGAAAGCTTTCAACTCAAGGGACCCTACTTGGTCCCTCACAATACATTGAATAAGTTCTCAATTCCATGGGATATTCTACACTTCTATTATTATCATCAATGTTTTGTAATGAACTAACCATGTCAACATTAATGTTAAAATTAAACTTAAAAACAAGTTGAACAACATATTGATTGAATTTTTAAAAATTGATTTTGAAAAAAAGTTGTACTTGTACTATAAAAATTACTTGAATTTATCAGTGAGTTTGATATGCAGTTTTTTTAAACAAAAATTATTTAAAAATTAAATTATTAATTAAACTACACTCACATTATTAAAAAAAACATATACACACTGATCATCACAAAACGTTGTATTAATTAAAAATTAATATTTTTATAAAAATAAATTCAAAAGTTATACTTAAATATGTTGTTAATGTTATAAAAAAAATTAAATTTTCTATGGATTGAACAATTTTAAAAAATATTTATCTTTAAAATATTCAATCCACTTGTATTGAATGACAGAAGTGGAACCTCTTGTTGAAGAATTAGGTGACAACGCTAAGTGTAATTTTCTTGCAAATGAAACGTCACCTATTTTCCCCAATGTTAGCTGCATAACGTGACATTGGCACAATGGAGCACTGACTTAACCTACAAAAATTAATGTCACTCCAGTCAAAATTTTATTTAAGTAGCGCTTTATTCTACACAAACACCTTCTTTCATTTCATTATCAATTGCATAAAAAATCGTCATCAAACAATGCCCACTCTAACAAAATTCTAGGTACATAAAAAATGTTATTCTTAAACAAAAACAAATTAAAACTAAAACTAACCACATATTAATTCAAGTGATTCAATTGTTTGCTTGTTTAATTGGAATATTTTAAGTCACTATTTCACAAAATAATTCATTATTTTGCCTAGATTATAAATTAGGTATAGAGTATATTTGAATACACAGTTTATTCAAATAATTTTTTCATACTTTAATTTAAAATAACAACTTTTGTCATAAATTTAAAGATAAATGTTATTAAAATATCTTATTTTTATCTATAAATGATGTTTCTATATTTTGAATAGACACTTTTGGATGTCTCTTTTATTTTATATGATGTATTTTTTGAGATGTATTAATATAAACGAATTGTACCCATCTATAAATTTTGTTTTCGAACGGAATCAGACCTCGTGGTTTAAGAAAGATAATTAACATAAGAATAAAAAAATTAAAATTTATCTCAATAAGTTGTGATTAAAAATATTTTTAAAAGCTCACCTAAATTTGTCTTTAACTAAAAATTTAACATTTTTAATAAATTGTACAAAATCACACATAAAAAATATAAAATAAACACTTAATAAATAATAATGATTAAATACTATAGTTTTTAATACAAATTTATTATTTATAATTTTATGCAAAATGTGAGGGAGACAACAATAACATCTCCTTGTATCTAATTTCTTTCAATCTCTTTACCCATTAGCACAGCAACTTGCATGGACAAAGATCTGATTTGATTAATTAAAAAATGTGTTTCTAGCTTTCGTATAAGCAACCCAAAATAGGACTTACTTTTAAGCGATGGCGAGGCATGAACATAGGGAGGGCAATGCAAACGAGTCGAAGGCTCGAAGCAAGTGTTGTCAACACCAGAGAACCCATCCTTTTCAGCAAACGCAAATACCCAAAAGCAAGAGGGCATAAGAGCAAAGCTAGAAGACAAGAATGATTGATTGAAGAGAACAACTCAACTCTACTGTTCAAACAACGCAAAGATTCGAATCTTCCAATAAGAACATTCGATCGGAAGAAGAAAATCCAACGGCTAAGATTCACCGAAGCCACACAGCCTCCAAAAATTCCATGGCATAATTCCAACACCCACACCTTATAACACACCAACATTAGTAACCTTTCTTTCTCTCTCACCCTTGTATTTCGCCATCTCTGCACCAATCATTCCCTTTCTCTTTTCTCTCTTCCCTTAACCACAAGCACTTCCACTCTCTCTTCTCCGGTGAAGCCTCGTTTCAGTGGTGGCGGGAACGAGGTTTGACCGTTAGGTGAACACCTCATTTTCTGGGACATGGAGGTTTCTGTCGGGTCGCCCAGAAAGTCCATAGCGGAAAAAGTGTTTGGATATCACGGGAATAACAGCCAAAAGAGGCGTGGGAATGACTCTCACAACGTTCATGATGATGACAGCGATGGAGGCATGGAACTCATGGAGATTGGAGCTGAAAGAACAAAGAACGTGTTGATTCTCATGAGTGATACCGGTGGTGGACACAGAGCCTCCGCTGAGGCCATTCGTGACGCCTTTCAAATTGAATTCGGTGATGAATACAGGGTAATGAAATCTATCTTTTGCTAAGTTTCTTTTTCCGTTATATTTGACCGTTGGTTCTGGATCCGTTTTTGCTTTTCTTCCATTTTTTTCATAACATTATGTTACACAAGTTTTTTTTTTTTTTTAATTTAAAAAAAATAAGTTTATTTGTTTCTTAAGATTTGTTTTGTACAGGAGTTTTCTGGTGTGGGATATTTTTGTTGTGTTCTTCGTATGTTTTTGTCATGTCTTGCTTATTGGTCACGAGGACTTTGTCGCTACGTTTTGTTTTCTTGGAGTTATTTGCGCGGCTTTTTTTTCTGGAAAAAGTAATTTCATTTTGTGCCAATATCAAGTGTAGGTTATTTTATGTTTCTGTGCTGATTATTGAACCTTTTCAATTTTCAGATATTTGTTAAGGATGTTTGGAAAGAGTACACGGGGTGGCCGTTGAATGACATGGAGGGGCAATATAAATTCATGGTTAAGCATGTGCAGCTGTGGAATGTTGCGTTTCATAGTACTTCTCCTAGATGGATTCACTCTGTGTATTTGGCTGCCATCGCTGCCTACTATGCTAGGTACATTCCTGTTCTAATTTTTCTCTTTTTATAATTAACTTTTATCAATGGTTTTTTCATCAAAATCTGATATAACTTTTTTGGTTAAAAGAGAATATGACTTTATGGACAACTTGGTCTTTACTCTTTTATCATTATTCAATTGTCAATAATTGCAATAAAGGTTATTCCCCTTTGCTCAGCAAAATAGGAATAACTATTCATATCTGTAGCTGTAAAATCTTCCTACTTTTTTAGTCTGTGGTGGGTAAAGGATTTTTTAAATTGCATTTGTTTTCTTGTATTTTACTAAATTAAGTGGTGTTTTTCTAATTGGTGCGTTTTCTCATTTTGCAGGGAGGTGGAGGCGGGGCTAATGGAGTACAAGCCAGATATAATCATTAGTGTTCATCCCTTGATGCAGCATATTCCATTGTGGGTTCTAAAGTGGCAAGGTTTGCAAAAGAAAGTGATATTTGTCACAGTGATCACAGACCTCAGTACATGCCATCCTACTTGGTAAGTCCACTTTGTTAAATTTTCTTGCTTAATTAATGTTTGCATGCTCTTAGTCTAAATTCTAACCTTTATTCTGCTTCCAGGTTTCATCCTTGGGTGAATAGATGTTACTGCCCTTCACAGGAGGTTGCCAAGAGAGCCTCACAAGACGGTCTCGAGGAATCTCAAGTCCGTGTTTTTGGCTTGCCCATTAGGCCTTCTTTTGCCCGGGCAGTTCTTGTGAAGGTATGCATATTGAAGGTGTAAATGCATGTTTGATTCAATTTAATTTGAATGCACAGTCACTTAATTTTATGAGAACTTTTAAAAATTTATCTTTCCCAAACATACACTAGTGTAGTTTTGCTTTCATTGATGGCACTGATTTTGTCTTACTACTATAGGATCAATTAAGAGAAGAACTCGAGATGGATCCCAACTTGCCAGCAGTTTTGCTGATGGGGGGTGGTGAAGGAATGGGTCCTGTCAAGAAAACAGCAAAGGCTCTAGGAGAATCACTTTATGATAAAGAAGCTGAGAAACCAATTGGACAGTTAATTATCATATGTGGTCGTAATAAGAACTTAGCATCTACCCTTGAATCTCTTGAATGGAAGATTCCTGTAAAGGTAAGTGGCTTCACTCTTCATAAACCTCTGATATCTGAATAAGTGAACAGCCAATTTCAGAATAGCATAATAGAATGCCACCTGATAAAACCTTGTTTCTTGGTTTAATAGGTTAGAGGATTCGAGAAACAAATGGCCAAATGGATGGGAGCCTGTGACTGCATCATAACAAAAGTAAGTTACACCAATTTGCTCATTGTGTGATACCTCACATGCTAGCATAGGCTCAATGGTTCTATGAAATTTTCAGGCTGGACCAGGTACAATTGCAGAAGCATTGATCAGAGGGCTTCCTATAATCCTCAATGACTATATCCCCGGACAGGTGAGTGATTAAAATGTTCTCCTCAACGCTATTCAGTCTTTTTTTTCTTTTTAAAGTGTCTTATATTGATTCTTAGCTGGCATGATGGCAACAACAGGAAAAGGGTAATGTGCCTTATGTGGTAAACAATGGAGCTGGTGTCTTCACTCGTAGTCCTAATGAAACTGCAAGAATTGTGGCTGAATGGTTCAGCACAAAATCAGATGAGCTGAAAACAATGTCAGAGAATGCACTTAAATTAGCTCAACCAGAAGCAGTGTTTGACATCGTAAGGGACATTCATGAACTTGCTCAGCAACGAGAACCAGCAAATTTTCCATACTTGTTGACCTCATCATTTACCAGCCTAATCTAATTCATTCATTGTGCACCTTTTACATTAGCTTTTTTGCATTAGAATTGACATGTATAGTTAGCTTTTCAAATTATATCATTCTTTATCCTTGTAGCTTGGTTTAACTGTCATTAGCTACAAAATTGTGGTAAACAAGCTCTGGTTTTATAAAATGGGTTGTCTGTAACTGCAAGATGGTTTAACATTCTACTATGCATTTCAGTCAAATGATTTTTTTTTCCCTCAATTTTTGCTCTTTGGAATTATATTTAGCACTTGATAAACAAAATTTTGGCTATGTAGCGGCCTTCGTTTACCATGCAATATATTTTGTCTACAATTATCCTGTGAGAAGCGCGTCATATAGATCCGTTGTCTTTGAAATTTGATTGGCTTGCTGCTTATAAGATAGCTTAAAGTAAAGAATCAAAGTAAAACACAAGTTGATGATGCGCATAATCTTGGCCAAACTTAAAGAATATTAAACCTGAAAGCATGACCAAAAATAATACATTCCATAAAGAAAAAATTCAACATATTCAGCCCAGGTTTAAATTTGTTGTGTACTTGACAAATTTTAAAATAGAAAAACGAAAAAGAAAGGGTAAAGATTGACAGTGTATCTAAGCAATATATATGCATTTTGACGTAAATTTTTATTTTTATTAATATGCTCATTTAGATATTGTTTGGTTGGAATTTGGAGGGGAGGAAAGGAGAGATTTTTATATCCTCATTATGTTTGGATCAAATATTTTGTGGGGAGGAAAATATAGAGGAGTAAAATTATTGTTAACTCAAGTTTTGCATCTCCCCAATACATCATATTGTAAAATTAAAAATTCAAATTTAGTTTTTTACAAAAAAAATTAAATTAAATTAAACAAAGATTGCTCAACTTCGCTTTTCTATCTTTTAGTTTTTCCTCTTATATGATTAATTGATACTTTTTTCCACACTGTAAATTTAAATATTTTATGTTTCGTTTCAAACTTAATTTAAATAATGATTTTTTTTAATGTAGTATGATTTTATAAAACTAATGCCAAGTACGTTTTTCAATAAATTATATTTTTTTAACACATCATAATCTTATTTATATATTTTTTTTACAAGTACTTTCAAGAAGATTTTAATAATTTTTATAATATCTACCTCAAAGTTTACGCAAAATATTTATTATTATTTTGTTATTTGTTCATAATAAAGAAAGCTAGTGAGATTTTAAAATGAAATCAATCAAAGTAAATGTTAATAGTAAAAATATGTTCTATAGTATTAAATAAGAGTAAAATTATTTTACTAATATAATTTACGATCACAAGAAGGCACATACCATGCAACGTTGAGAAGTTGTTAGACATCACGCTATCAAAGGACTAGTAGGTTTTGACACTATCAAAATACTGACAAAATTATAATGCCATTTAAAAAAAAAAAAAAAAAGACAAGTAAACGGAAAGAACTTTACTTTAGTGTCTTGCCCTAAAAAAATCTGCTAATGTTAATATATGATGAGATTCTTGGGCAATAAGAAATGATGAGTGGTCTCTGTTATACATTATACATATATATTATTTATTTTAAAATAAAACATCTATGTAATTGCACGAGCTTGTTAAAATAAAATCTATAGCTAAAAAATTAAGTTCAATCAGAAACAAAGACGTAACCATGTGGACCATTTTTTCTTGTACTTGAATGTATATAATATAGGGGTAAATGGATTGCTAGATCTTGTTGGATTACAGAACCATTCTTTTCTTCTACTTGCAAGAAACATTGGGATATTTTAAATTTGCTATAGAATTTATAATTAATGAGCTGAAAAATGTGTGGTTGACGTCTTTCTCCTTGTCAAAACCTAAGTGGGGAATAATATACCATATTTTGAGAACAACATAAGATGTGTTGCTAATAGTACACATAAATACCAGCAATGAAACCTTGGACTATTGAGAATAAATCGAGAAGAACAAGTTGCTTATTCTACATCATAAAAATTTATATATAGCAATATTTTAATAAAAATTATTATATTTTTTATGTAGCACAATATTGCAAAAATTAAAAAAATTGTATTATTATTTAAAATAAAAAATGTACATAATATGATTATTTATCCATCACATCAACGCATATAAGAACTTGTAACTAACAAAAGCAGAATCGTCATAAGTTTGAACCTCGCATTAATTATTCGCCATTAAGTATATCTTATTTTAGAAAAAAAATAGTAAGATGCAAAGTAATGCAAAAAGAAAATATCAACCTTCGTTTATTATAATCACAAAAATATGTTACATTTCCATTATTTTTTTAATTATAAAAAAATGCGAAAAGTGATACAAGTAAATTTAATACACAAAATCCATTGAAAAGCAATTAATGGTTTTTCGTAAATCAGTAACAAAGAAAATGTTGTTTTTGATGTGAAGAACCTCACTGGGCCGTACAGAATTTCTTATGAGCTGAATAGTTTTGGGCTTTGTTGATGGCTGGCCCACATTAAATTATCAAGCTTGTCTTACTTATCTAGTGAGTGTGAATAATGACGGCACCACCAGCCCAAAAAAAAAAAAGTGTTAACAATGTAATAAAGTATCATAATTCTCAGATCCCATTTCCACAAATTACTTTGTTCACAATCTTGATTCCACTCACCTTCACATCTTCTAACAATTTGGGTATCTTAATCCATCAATTTACTCCAAGTTTCGCGATTTTCTTATACTATTTATCAATTTGTTTTCCCCATTCCAAACAACTACATATTTACGCACCTGGATTGATCTTTCCCATCATTTCGCGAAACATTTGGGGTTTACAATTGAATTCTTCTTAGCAAACCTCGTTCGTATCATCGCCACAAAGAGACATGGTACGAGGATTCAATTCAATTCATGCTTATTCAAAATTCATAATTTTTACTGTCAAATTTTGATTCCCAATTGAATATAATTGTTGAGGTTGTTGTATGGGAAGGTTTACCACTCTAGTTTTGTGGATGAAGTTGGAGTGAGTAGAGCTTGTGGATGCCCTCTTCTTCCTCTCAAGAGTCACATTAAGGGACCTGCTCCTGTTTCAGATCAAGGTTTCTACTCTATTCTATTCATTGCTTTTTGTTTTGTTTTGTTCTGTTTGATTTTTGGGTTTTTCAGAATGTGTGTTATGTGGTGTAGACAGAACTGATATCGTAGATGAAGCCATCACCTTCTTTCGAGCCAATGTGTTCTTCAGAAACTTTGACATCAAGAGCCCCGCTGATAAGCTTCTCATATACTTGACCTTTTACATTAACGTTGCTCTCAAGAGGCTTGAAGGTTGCAGAACCTTAGCTGAAGGAACCAAGGCAATCATCAACCTGGGCCTTGAAAAGGTTCCTGTCCCTGGAGAGTCTGGCTTTCCTTTTCCGGGTCTTTTTCCCCTTCCTCAATCACATAAGGAAGCAGGTGAATCGTGGTCGCTATGCCTTCACCTAGATGATATTCTTATGAGTATTCACATATGCTTAGTTTAATCATGTATATTGTATTGTCAACATGTTAATTGGTAGTTTTAGTTGTTTAAGAAGCTATTTAATTGAAGCCCACCTCCCAAGAACTGTGATAAATTATTATATTTCGCTAATTATTTTACTGAACATTTGATACAATCTTCACATTTGGTGACTTAGATTACTTTAAAATCACATGACAAACTGAGTGTGTCTATGCCTCAATGGGTGTCATTATTTTGAAAGACAACAAATTATGTCACTGCTTTTTCGTTTTGAATTTTGAGTACACATGTAATAACAAAGAATGTCAAGTCTTTGGCAAAAAGATGAACCATTCCTTGTAGTATCTATCTTCCTTCCTTGCATACCCCTAGGCGTGGAGGTAGGTAGGTGTTTGATATGATAATTGGGGAACATAAACATGGAACGGAGTGATACCAAATGCTAATGCGTTGATCTTCAGGGACCTAAATAGATAACTCAAGTTTGGAAAACTCATTCAGAGAGGTTCATTTTAAATAACTAACTTTTACTTGGGGACTTTAATACGGCCGTTGTAAACCAAATTTTGCAGTGTTTCTCATGTGCTCTGGTGCTTGGATTTCAACTGAACGAAATAAAAAGAAGAAAATTACTTTCTAAAATGGAGTATGATGTGTTTCCTTTCTGCATCCATGCAGGATTTTCAGCTTGAATTTATGCCGGTAGTAGATGTAGGCTTTCTTATTCCGTCATATATATTTATCATGAAGCCTTTTTAAAGAGCCAATTCAAGTGGCTTTGTACTTATTTTTTCAAAAACCTGACAAACTTCCATTGACCGAAGAGTGTGCTGAAGCTTTTGGGTTTCCGTTAAATATTATTGTAATCAATGTTTCTGGGTGATATTACCTTGCTTTTCATCATAGATGATTAGAAAATTGAGATTTCACACTGCGCTCAACACCTTACATTGAACATTTATACTGTTGATTTGTTTACTCTGTCTGATGCAACGTTGCAATTTAGATAATTTGTTTTTATAGACCATATAAATTATTCTTATATTTCAACTCTTGTGATTCCAACAATGCAGAATTGTTCAGAAATTATTTGAAGCAGATACGGGAAGAAACAAGTGGGAGGTTATTGAGCGTTGCATACAGACCTAATGGCACTCCAAATAAATGGTGGTTGGCATTTGCCAAGAGGAAATTTATGAATATAATCATTCCTTAAACTGTTGTGGAGAACATGCAATTCTTGAACCATAGCCTGAGATTGTGAAAAATACACTTAAACACTGTTGATCTGCTAATAAAAAAAATATAATGATTCTTGAAAGGCACGCTGTTTATTGTCTGTTTTGAAACTTTGATTTTGAATATTCTCAACTACTGCTAGCTAGGGTGGCACTCATTTTCACCATTCGTTTGCTGGTCACGTCTACTTTGCCCCTCATAAAGAGTCCATAATCATAATCAGGCTATGACCCCAGCCTTGCTTGTGCTAGTGATGCTGATTATGTTTAGTTGTTGTGTTGTCAATTTTCAATTATGCATTGCAAAACTGCATCAGTCACACGTCAACTCCACTTTATTATCAGAATTATGAATGTGCATTATTATAGCTGCAAGTTTTATTTCAGGTTTTTTCCCCATCTTATTGACGAGAACACTAAAGATATTGATTAAAGAAATAATGAATGGATAGTTTTTGTTAGAAATTATACTATGATATATTAAAAATCATGTCAGGAGCACATTATAGCATTTTTTAAATATTTTTTATTTTTTTCTTTAATTAATGTTTTAAGGACCCTAATGAATATTTGCTTTTGGGCTGTATTTCTCTTTATGTTCTCAATTAAAATTAAAATTTTTCTTTGATAACTCAACTCAACCTTAAATATTGACCTTTATTATTTGAATTATTAAAGTGAAATTTTAATTTTAATTAAAAAATAATGTGAAACATATCGAAAGAGTTGCAGCTAATCTTTATCTTTTGTCCTCTTTTTAGATAAATCCTAATATATCCATTTTTTTGTTTTTGATATATAATTTCATGTTGTTATCTAGGTGTTTGTGTCCGTTCCTTTCTTCAAAAAATGTAACCTTTCAAAATTGTTTTTACATTTTAAAAATAAAAATGAGTTTATATATATATATATATTCTTGTCATTAAGCTTTTAAATTGAACAATGAATCTATTCAGGAACATATTCTTAATAAAGGATGTTTAATATTGAAAAATATTTACTTGTTAATTTTAAATTTCAGGATTGGATGAGTTGTAAGTTTTGGTATGGGACAACTTTAAAAGGCCCAACATTCTACATCAGTGAATTTGTGCGGGTATTTAGCGCTTCATACACATTTGCTATAGGGTCATGCTTATAACTAGAAGAATCCAGAGTCTTTCAGGATTATTTCACTTTGTTGTAGCATGTAGTCCCACTCTCATACTATTACTTCATCACCGTCAACTTCACACGTGTTCTTTGTTGGATTACATTCGGCTAATAGGAAAACATCCAAGTCAAGTTTTATTAAGAAAAATTAAAATCATTCCAGTTATTTGATTGGTTTTCAAAATCACATTTATTTTAATAGAAATGATAACAGAATATTTTTTTAAAAACATTTTTATTATTACTTCAAATTTATTGAAAATGAAAAAAATAATGTGATTTTACTTTTAATTTAACAATTTTATCCACACACTTTTATAACTTTTAATAAATTTCAACTAATTAATATATGGGTTAAAAAAATATGTTCTTAATACTCTTCTTATTTTTAACTTGCCTATAAAATGAGGCTTTTTCAGAATAAGATTTTATTAAAATAATATTTGAACTAATAAATTTAAACATTAAAAAATAATAATTTTTTTATTAAAAATATATTTATTACATTAAAAATATAATAATTATATTTTAATAAAATTTTATTATTATTTGTCGATTGAAAACCATCAAATTTTCCTTAATAACAGAGAAGGACACATCAAGTTTTGTAAACAAGAAACTGTTACAGGCACTTCCTGCACAAAAACAAAAAAACGATTAGAATATGGCGTGGAAGTAAGAAAATTGGGAGTGGTAATAGAAATAAGAATAGCAAATTCGTTGGTTCACAAAAACCCTAAAACGGTGGAGAGTGGGGTTTACCCTAATCCGTAATCAGATTCAGACCAAAGGCATTGACTCTTCTTCTCTGAGGCTGAGCACAGATAGTGTTTTGGGAATGGAGGTTGAGGTTCCAATTCTCAGCGTCTTCGACGTACCCTCTCTTCTCCAGGCTCTTGCCGCTGACACTCTTCTTGCCGCCGCCCAATCTTTCGCCTTGGTATTTCTCTCTCTAAATCCACCATTTTTCTTCTTCTCACATCATTTCCCCCCTTTAATTCCACATTTTTACTTTTTCGTTTAGCACTGAGTAACCTTTTGAGAATTTAGGGTTTATTTGTTTCACTTATTGCAAGATTGGAACACCGTGCTTAGTTTGGTCAAAGCAAGGAATGTCTTAACTATAAGGATTGTTTGCAATTGTGTTTCATGTAACTGTGTGAGTGAATTGTTTGCCAATTTACTGCTCAAGCTCCTTTTTGTGCAACATGTGTGTCTATTTTGCTGTTTATTATTAGTAAATATGCTATCAGATCAGATGCATTGTTTTTGTTTGAACAAATCATTCTCATAACAAGAAGTGTAGAGGGGTTCCAGCATAAGATTTTGTACAAATGTTGGGTCAGTTTGCTTCAGTGGGCTCTTAAATGGTTGGTTTTTGATTAATATGTGTCTTTGGATATTATCAGCGGCTTTCCATTTTGTGGCTGGTAAAAGAGCTTTCTTTGTGATTCTTTTTTACTCTCTGTTTTGGATGAAGCTAGTATTCATTAAGAAAAGAAGTGTACTGAACAAAATCATGAATTCTCCTAATGCTTGTGGAAACAACAAAGTAACAAAAGAAATCGTAATGCACCAGTTCAGAATATCAACAATCCACTTATTCCCTTGTGGTTTTCTATCCATTAGTTCTTCTGTCTTTCCAATGGTTCAATTGTATTTCTTAGACTTCAAGGATTGAAAGAAACCGATGACAAGTTTCAGTATTTGGATGGCTATAATTTTACACTATTGTTTCTTTCTTGAATATGTACATTATTGGGTGATTTTAAACTAGAATATCCTTGGAATTTATTATAATCTGTTGCATTGAATTCAATAAATATTTTTTATTTACTCCTGTTTGTTTTTCTCCCAGATTGGGTATCTGCTGACTAATGTCACTAATTCCGAGTGTCCAAATTTGATCTCAATGGATGGAAGGTAAAAATAAACTTGTATGCCTCATTTAAAGTTAATATAGTTATTAATTATTGTTTTTTCTATCTTAAATCCTGGTCAGGTTTCCTTTAGAGGACCTATGTGGTAGGAAACATGCTTATCTAGAAAACAAGAGTGAAACAGAGGATGATGAAGATGGAGATGATGATGAAGATGGACATGACGAGGATGATGATGGAGAAGAGGAAGAATACTCAGGTGATGAAGGTGAGGAGGAAGGGGATCCTGAAGATGATGCTGAGGCTAATGGTGCCGGAGGAAGTGATGACGGGGATGAAGATGACGATGATGATGATGGTGACGAGGAAGATGATGAAGAAGGGGTAGATGAAGAGGATGATGAGGAAGAAGATGAAGAGGAGGAGACTCCACAGCCACCATCTAAGAAGAGAAAGTGAGAATTATATTCGCAGGAAATTGTTTCCAGCGAATGCATTTAAGTGGAGCTTAGTGATTAGGACAGATAAATTAGCAATCTTCTTGAGTAGACCTATCTTGCTTTATTTATATGTCACCGATGATAATTATTATATTGATATTTCTCATTGTTTCTACTTCACTTTCTTCCTTCTGGCCAGTTCTTACCGTGAGTGTCACTCTCAAAAAAAAGAAATTAAAAGCCTTAATTCCCCTATTGGATCATTGGTTGTTTGCTCATTTAATCGTCCAAAGTTAGGAGCAATCCTATTTTGGGGAAGATCTGCAAATACCGCAGAAAACGCTGCATCATTTTTTTAATAAATAACGACCTTTAAAATTACGTATTCATCATAAATTTCAAACGAAAGTGAAAGATTCCCATCACTAATACTTATATTTTCAATGTATGTTAATAAAAAAAAGCATCATAAATTTTGAATTTTTTCTTTTGGTGCTTTTACTAATAATAGGAATGCTCTGATCATCATTCTGGTCAATATGTAGTGTTTCGGAGTCTATATGCATAAGACATTTTAATTTAGTCTTTTTAGCTTTCTTAACTTTTATGTGATTAGATTGTGCAAGACATGCTACAGCTGATGTGATGGAACTGCAACTACTGTACTGTCTCCCTCTATATATTTTTTTAAATTATTAAAATTATATATAGTTATTAGCAAGTTGTGTATGGCTACGATTGAGAAAAGATTCACAAGAGTTCGTAGGTATGTGCAGTAGAGGGAATCACTAGCAGGTCTTATTTTTGTTCAAGATATGTTTCGTGGTTCCCAAATCAAGCGACTTGATGATGGATAACATCATAAAAAATGATGTTGGGTAAAAATATTCGATTAGAACACTCCACAATTAGGCATTGGCAAATACACTACTAAACAAATATTGCAAATAATTCATTAATTTATATATAGTAGTAATATGATGATAGTTTTCAGTTAGATAATTTATTAAGGTCCTATTTAAGTAAGTTCATGCACAAATAATTATAAAATAAAATAAATCTTCTAAATTAAAATAAGCTATATTCTTTAACTTTTTAAAAGCTTCTTAAATAACTTTTTTAAAACATAAATTAGTTAATTTTAACTTAAAAATGTTTTTCCCCCTGTAAATACTTCAATCCACTGCAGAATACTCTCCTGAATCTCCACATTATTATTCAGAATCGTTGACAAAACAGCGTACGTGGTTATGTTATGAAGGGGTTTAGGTGGATTATCCCACATGGCCCCAAATCCTTCACAGTGCACAGTGCACAGTGCACAGTGCTTTTCATTCGATATGAAAGAAAATTGACAAAAAAGAAAGTTATATGGAAGAAAATATAAATATTCATCACTAATGATTAAATCAAAAGTTTACTTTAATGTTCAGAAGTAAACTTTTAAAATTTGTCATAATAGATGATGCCTTATTTTTATTTCAATTTTTTAAACCTGACTAATATTGTGCAACATAATAAATTTTGATTTTAGATCTTCTATAGCCGTCCCGTCCACTCCAGCATAACCATAATCAATCATGATTTCTATTAAAAATAACTACAAAATATTATAGTATGTAACATTCCTTGAATATAAAACTAAAAGTCATGATCTCTGTTGCAGAGGCAAGACTGCTGCAAAGAATGGGATCCATAAAATACATATAATAAAAGTTGTAGCATTTAGTTATATTAATACATTTAACTATACTAAAATTTATAATTTTTATTCAAAATTTATTATATATATAACTTCTTATTTTTATTTCATGTTACACGCATTAAAAAAATCAATTTATTATAACAGTATTACGATGATGACAATAAATCATATAAAAATTATACAAGTATTTGTGTTGATCCGGATCGCCTGTAATTTTGGTGAGAATTGCAGTCTGCAGTTTTGCATTCGCTTAAGTAAAATTTTTTCACTTAAATGAATTTTGTTAAAAAGAGATTTTGGCTTAAGTTAAAAAAATTCATTTAAGTCAAAAAAATTTGCTTAAGCTAATTTAAAAAAAATGACAAAAAAATCAAAAGAAAAATAGAGAAAGAAAGACTGAGAGGGAGATTAAAATGAAGACAAAAGTACAAGGGAGAGAGAGAGCGGGAGAAGGCTAATAGAAGAAAGGAAAAAAGGTTAGATGAAGAGAGAAAAGGATGGAGATAAATGGGGTGAACGGAAGGGGAGGCGAGGAGAGGAGAGCTAGATAAGGAAAGAGGGAGAAGGAGATTGGGTGGGCTGAAGGAAGAAGAGATGGGAAAGAAAAGAAAAGAAATAGATTGAGTGAGAGGGAGAGAAGAAGAGTGTGGCTGAATTGGAAAGAGAGGAAGAGAGAGAGAGTTGAAGTAACTAAGAAAAGAAAACATATTTTTTTATGCTGCAGTATATTTTTTAAATTTGTTTAAGCGAATTTTTTTGGTTTAAGAGATATTAGCTTAAGCTAATTTTTTTTTAGCTTAAATCAAAATTATTTTTTACCAAAATTGGCTTAAGCGAACGCAAAAGCCAGAGCTACAGGCGATTCGAGTTCCATTCGTGTGTCACTTTCTCATTTTAATATAACGTATTTATAATTATTGATTAAATTTTATTAAAAATTAAAACATACAAAAAAATATATTAAATTATAAATAAAAAATAACAAAATTTACATTGTTTTAAATAAATTTTAACTACTAATAATATTTTATATTAATTTAATATTGTATATTTTAAAATTATGTATACAAATAAGACACTTTTATTATTTTTATAATTATTTAATTTTAACTTAAATAATTATAATTTAATATTATAATTTTTTTTAATGCAGGTGGAGAAAGTAATAAGAGGCCAATAGTGAATGTATGGGAATAAGTTGCCATCCAATCGGCCTCTGGAAAATAATGAGTTATCTGAACACTGAACATGGCAGTCCTCATAACTCCCATGTTTTCGAAAATACATGGATGCCCCTCCCACAACCGTCGCCATTTTTATTTTATTTTATCAAATTTAACATATATTACTTTAGATATTTGTACATATCACACATGAAATCAAACTTAACTTTAAAATAGTTGTCCACCAGCTCACATATCAACTAAGCTTTAAATCATATTAATATAAATATATACATTATTTTTAAATCAACATTAGACATGACGAAATATATGCAAATTATTATTAATATAACTAGTTTTCATTCACGATATTTTTCAAATAAAAACATAATTTATTATAAAAACAAGCTTACATTTATTGGAGACTTTTAAAATATTATATTTTACGGTAACGGAAAGCTTATATTTTTAAAATTATTTGCTAAAAAATAAAAATGTAAAAGAAAATAAAAAAGAGGGAGAGAGAGACAGAGAGAAGTGGCAGTAACGAGAAAGGAGAGGGAGAAGGGAGAAAGAATAGAGTGAGGATAAAGAAGGAGAACACAAAACCATAGGGAATGGAGTAGGGAAGCCAAAGGGAAACCTCATCAACCTCAAATATATGCTCTCTCATTCCCATTGCTCCAATCGCAGCCGTTGATTATCCCATCTTCAAACCTAGCAAAGCCATGTCCTCCAACATCAACGCCCAACCCTGTCCCCACTTGGCCGAGTTCCGCCGCAACTCCACCAAGCCATTTCTCGCTCTCCACAGCTGCCTCCGGATCAAGCCTCCCGGTGGTCGTGCCGCCCTCCGTCGCGATCCCGCCGAGGTCCCTCGCTGTGCCGCCTGCGGCCTCACCGCTCCTTCCCGCCTCTACGCTTGCATCACCTGTGCCGCCGTCTCCTGTCACTCTGTCGCCTCCGGCGACTCCTCCCATGCCGCCGCGCACGCCGCATCAATGCCGCCCGGTCACCAGATCGCCGTCGATGTCGACCGTGCCGAGCTCTTCTGCTGCGCCTGCCGCGACCAGGTTTACGATCGCGACTTTGACGCCGCCGTCGTGATCGCGCAGACCGCCGCATCAACCCTCGGCGGTGGAGGATCGCCGGCGATCCCATCGCCGCAGCCGGAGAATCTCCGGAAGCGGCGTAGGGTGGATTACCGGCCTTGGGCGCCGGATCTGCGCGAACGCGCTCTGATCGGAAGTCGCTCTAGCCCGATCGACGGCGCCGGCGCCGATCCTCTGGATTTGCCGCGCGGATTGCGCGGGTTGAACAATTTAGGTAACACGTGCTTCATGAACTCGGTGTTGCAAGCGCTTCTTCACACGCCGCCGTTGAGGAATTACTTCTTGAGTGATAGACATAACCGGTATTTTTGTCAGAAAAGGAACAATGGTGACGGTGACGGTGGCGGTGCTGGGAAGAGAAGTGGCGGCAACAATGGGAACAAGAGTGGGCGAATATGCTTAGCTTGTGATATGGATGCTATGTTCTCTTCTGTGTTTTCGGGAGATCGTTCACCCTATAGCCCCGCAAGGTTCTTATACAGGTGCGTGCAGAGTGGTGGATTTTTTTAGGTTTATGATGATGGCGTGTATCTTGTAATTGAATAATGTAGTTATGGTTTTCTAAATCCTGATTTGGATTTTCAGTTTCATTAAGGCCACTTTGTTGTACAAAGTTTATCTGTTTGATTTGTTGTCGTGTTACGTTGCAGTTGGTGGCAGCATGCTGCGAACCTTGCTAGTTATGAACAACAGGATGCACATGAATTTTTCATTTCCATGCTCGATGGAATCCATGAAAAGGTGGAGAGGGATCGGCGTAAGCCACATAGTGAAGGTAACGTGTTCTGACAGTGACACATTTGTTCTTTTTCATCTTCTTTGAAGTGGTTATTACTCTCTGCTGTTTTTGCTACTATTATTATAATATGTTTTGGTTGGGACAGAGAGGGATTTGTTTTGAATTATGTGGCATGATGGGGATTTCGTGTATGGAGTCCCTTATTCTATAATCTTCTGTAATATTCAATCTAAATCAAATATCAAAATAAAATTAAAACTTGTGAGATATGTTGAAATTTCTGAACTAGAGCTACTAGAATCTGTAAACTGGTTTCCTTTGGTTTCTACAACAAATTACTTGACAAAATCAACTCTGCCAGACCTACCTTGTATAACACTGGTTTGTAGCTTTTGGAGAAGATCTGGTTTCTTTGGAGTTTTTACGCAAATCTTTAAGACATGTTTGTTTCATTGTATTCATGTCGTGATTCATAGGGTGAGGATACCATCTTGTAAAAAGTAATCTAGGGATTATTGCAATGTGTGTCTTCTTATCCTCTCTCATTGCTATGTCTAGAGGGCTTCTTTAATGACCACAATCTATGTTAGCGTACCTCAATCCCATTTCACTGTTAGCCATAATTGTTATGAAAAAAATTTGAAACTTCAAAAGTCATAGGATGCTGATCTCTATGGTACTGAGCAGTAGAACTAGATTGTTAAGAACGGAAATCCTTTAGACAGTGTAAGAGATTAATCTGTTCCCATTTCAACAGGTGACTAGTGAATGAATAGCTCAGATTAATCATAGTTGCTACCAAACTTATTATAGAAGATGATCATTCTTGTTGTCTTCAACACAAATCCCGTTTTCTTGCTGTCTTCAATGTCTTTTGATGCTTTCTGTTTTCAAAATGATTTAAAATACTATTTAAGGTAACAGAGTTACCATAATATTTAACTGCAGGGTGAGGGTTTAGGTCTCTTGCTTGTTGCTCTAGGAGTTGACAATTGCTCAAAAACTTAGGGCTAATTCTCAACCACAACCTGCTGTCGTGATGGTGTTATCTGCTACTCTCCAGTGAGTCCCAGTAAGTCAATTTATGCTTAGCCTATTCGTTTCATCATATAGGAGGTTCTAGACCAAATGATGCTAATGTTGACTCCCCCTTTTGCCATGTTTTAGTCTTTAATTAAACAAAGCTTGTCCAATCCTTGAGAGAAGGTTGCATTAGTTTTCCAGCCACCATGGATGTGTCAGAACAGAGTTTTCTTATAGGTTGGCAAATAATTGAGCCTTGAAAGATGTAGTTCTTTCTACTTTGGTGTGTGTTATGTCTCTCATAAAAACAACCATTTTCTTTCTTCTGACATTTCTACTGCAGCTATGCCTCATTGGTTTCATAAGTTCTATGTTCTTATTCTCAATTAGACATGTTCAAATTTAGGAGTTCGTCTGTGCAAGAATCAGTTGTGTGTTCAAATTATGAGCCTCAACTCTCTACCATTTCATTTTCCATATTTCTGAAAATATTAAAAAAAGAAAAAGAATGCCAAACTAATTTTGTGTATCATTTTTTTGCGCACTAAATTTCTCAGTAATTTAAATTGCATAGGAAATGAGTTGTTTCTCTTGTGCATGTCTACACGTTTATTTTTACATCAGGAAAGTGGTTGTGCAATTAGGAATCTTATGGTCATTTTCTTTAAAACACCTCTTTTTTAATATCAGGGCCCACCACCATGTTTCATAATTTTAATTATCCATCTACAAGGAATTTATCTTTTGCCTTCTTTTCATGCTGAAGAATTTAAACGAAATTGCAGAAATGTAAAAGATCTTCAATGCAAGCTCTGCTCTTAAACTTCCATCATTTTATTATTTTAACATTTTGAATGACCACATTTTCTCTGACGGAGCAGGCAATGGTGACTGTTGTATTGCTCATAGGGTGTTCTCCGGTATCTTGCGATCCGATGTTATGTGTATGGCATGTGGTTTCACATCAACTACTTATGACCCTTGCATAGACATCTCACTGGACTTGGAACCAAATCAAGGGGGTTCTACCAAGTCGGCCACTGCAACACCCAATCATTCTTGCAATGGTGAGCCTGATTGCATGAATTCAAGCCAAAACTGTGGCAGTGGGACGTCTACCCTGATGGGATGCTTGAAGAGATTTACCAGGGCAGAGAGATTGGGATCAGATCAAAAATTTTTCTGTCAGCAGTGTCAGGTGAGGCAGGAAACTCTGAAACAGATGTCCATAAGGAAGCTTCCCCTTGTTTCTTGCTTCCATATAAAAAGATTTGAGCATTCTTCAACAAGAAAGATGTCAAGGAAGGTAGATCGCTACCTGCAGTTCCCCTTTTCACTGGACATGTCACCGTATCTCTCATCAACAATCTTAAGGAGTCGGTTTGGGAACAGAATCTTTCCTTTTGATGGGGATGAGCCTGATGCGTCAAATGAGTTGTGTTCAGAATTTGAGTTGTTCGCTGTCGTCACTCACTCCGGTAAGTTAGATGCTGGCCATTATGTTACTTATCTGCGATTAAGCAATCGATGGTTCAAGTGTGATGATGCTTGGGTTACTCAAGTTGACGAGAACATTGTGAGGGCTGCACAGTGTTACATGATGTTCTATGTACAGAAGATGCTTTACTATAAAGCGGGTTGATAAACAGGTCGACTCATGGTTGGCATAAGAGATGGTCCAAATCATTGGTATGCCATGGTTAATATCAATTTTCATTCCAATGATATGCCATGGCTTTTCCATTTATACATGAGGAAACAAAAACAAAGGAAAATATAATTTATTCGCATCACAACCAGCGAATCTATAATTTCTTAAGGAGATGAGAGTTAATTTATACTTTCAAGTTGGAGCAAGAAACAAGCCAGAATTTTTGAGGCACTCCAACGTTCTGGAAACTTGAGGGTATGGATTCCTTAAAAGTTGTTTGCTTCTTTCCCTCCTAACTTCTGCTTTTCTTGCAGTTCTTCTCTTTATATTAGATAGTTGCGGTCCCCCACTCCCTCTCCCCAGCGATGCTTTGAAAGCCAGTGCTATGGAGCTTTTAACATCTTGCTTCATACTTGAATCACTAATTCACAAATTTGGGAAACCAGTAGATGTAGATGGCTTGCTAATCAAACAAATCATAGGTTAAATGTTCTTGTGTAAATATTAAACGGCATCTGAATCCAAATATCTTGCTACCCGCAACATAACAGTTTCAAACGCATGGAATCGGCTAAAATAACGATAATCATATCATGCAATAGCATATTATCACCAATTACTTCCTAATAAATATAAAACGTATAATAGGTAAGTTTCTCAATCTCTTACCTAGCCAATCAGAACCTGAAAGTCCACATTCATTGGCAAAATAATTGAGTAATCCAATTGTTATTGACAAACTGAAAATTTGGGGATATAATTATCCGTTGTTTCAAGACCTACAAACGAATTTGGTTCATTAACCTAATTATCACTTTATTTATTTATTTATTTTCTTTAATGTTTAATGAATTTTTTAAATTAATTTAGTATTTCATTGATACTTTTATACTAAAAAGTAAAATAAAATAATAACCTATATAAATTTATATACATGAAGATGACTTCAGATTATAGATGAAATCTTTAAAAATATAAATTTATGCACTTTAATCATAAAAAATTAGATTATATTTTTAAATAAATATTATAAATAAAATTATAAATATCTAAATACATATATACACATGATCTATTAATGTTAATCTTATAAAGTTTAAGTTTGACTCATTTAAATAATAAAATTTAAGTTTGGCCTTACCAATTACATAGGTATAGGTATTAAAACATGGAGATAAAAAAAAATAATTCTAAATCTTCTTTTCTTTTATACTTACAAATCCTATTTGTTACTGGATGAATAAAATGTTAAATATTTTTTACGTTTTCAATATAACAAATGCATGTATTTTTTTTTTGCTTAATACATATTTTGCTAGAGAAATATAAGATTTGTAAAAAAAAATATAACAGAATTTGATTAAAAAAAAAATACATGTCAGTAGTCTTCTTACATGGAACAATGGTGACTGCATTAATGTGACAAGAACAATAAAAGTTGAATGACATAGAAAAAAAATTCATTTATGTTTAAGATTTTAACAATAATTAAGAAGATGATTGGTATTTAAATTTTATAAAAAATTATTTCTCAACGTTTTATCATACCATTCATATATTATATAACTTATTTTGCTTATTTATTATTCTCCCATTTATTTTGCTGATAATTTAACAATTTTATTATATTACTTTTCATTACCATTTTATAAAATCAATTAACAATTACAATTTTTTACAACTTTACTTTTCATTTGTTTGACAATAGACGATAAATGAGATAATTAATATTATTTTTGTTTTATTTATAAGAAATAATTATTAATGTTTTGTTTTATTTAATTATAATAAACTTCAATTTTTATACGCCTTACTTATTAATTTTTTTATTCTTATTTATTATGAGATTTATGTTAACAAAACACTTATCCATTATTGTTATAAGTAGGTATATTTATTTAATTAATAAATATATGTCAATAATTTGACCATTTAATATTATAAATATTTTTAAAATATAATATGCATTTATAACATATAATTATATTTTATTAATCTTAATAAAAATTATTTATTAATTTTTTTTATTCTTTTGCAAAATCTTAAACGTCAAGGTAAAAAAGTAGAGATAGTAATATGTTCTACTAAATAAACTATAATTATTTAACATAAAATTGTAAAAAAATTAATTTTTACTGATTTTGTAAACTGACAGCAACAAAAAAAAAAAACTAAAAATATTAAAGTGTACAAAAATAATAAAAAAAATTAATTTAAACCACAAGTATCCTATACAATATTATTGATTCGGATAAAACGATTATAAGTGATAGTTTTTTTTTTTGGAATATTTAAAAAAATTACATTAACTTAATCTCGAAAAATAAAAGGAGTAATTCAAAACACATTCGATAAACTAGTAATTTACTTTATTTTAATAATCAAAATTAGAATAATTTACAATTAGGAGTGGTTAAAATGTCGTGTGGTTTTATCGATGGAAGAAACTAGTTAAAAAAAAACTTTTGCGAAATTTTGACAAACTACAATCATTACCACATTTCTAAATTTTCTGGTTTTTTATTGAATTGATGAATTTCCAATCGTGGGGGAAGGATATGCAGACAATTATTGTTGTACATATATGATTTCGCTTGTCTTCATCAACAGTAAATCTGAAAAGTTTAGGTTAATCACAGTTTCGATTACAACGATGGGTTGGTGAGAAGGTGGAGCGCACCTGTTGACCCGTGAGAGTGGGACGCTTGGAGTAGCGCCAATTTTGTTTCGATCTGAGTTTACACAGAAATTAAAAATAAAATGAAATAAAATAGGGTGGTGGGTGTAGTCTCTGTCTGTCTTATCTCATAATCTCAATTTTCCAATTTTCTTCTTTCCTCTCTTCGCATACTCCTTCCTACACCCCTCACCTTCGTTCATTCCCCATCCTCTTTTCAACTCTCTTTCCCATTCTCGTAAATTAGGGTTTTCTCACGCCCCTTTTCTTCACCGATTTTTGGAGAATCTGCTTTTCTTAATGTTTTGCTCTTTGTTGCTTGGGTTCGCCACTGGACCATAAAATGCTCCTTGGGATTTGAATGTTCCAATATTTGTTCTGCGGTCTTCGCTTTTCGTATTACGGTTCCTTGTGTTTGATGCCCGAATATTAAAGTAAGCGCCTCCAATAATCTGAGGGCGTTTTCATTGCATTTTTTAATCATTATTTTTTTGTTGGATTAGAATAAATGTTATATTTTTTTATGACATTTGGTCCGTAGGTTTAGTCGTTGTTCTTCCTCTGCTATATAACTCGGTTTGCTTATGCGTGCCAATTTTGTGTATGTTGTATCAGAATTAACCAATCAAGTGCTGTCTGATCATGTTCCTTAGTTGCATCACTGAAATAGTGAATTGTTTGAAAAGGGTTTTTGTTATCAAAATTGACTAGTAATTAGCTAAGTCCCATTTTTGTGTTTATGCATATTGATCTAATCCTTTCCTAAATGGATGTTCAATTGATGATCCCATTGCATGCGATAAATATTTTGACTTGGGTTTGTGATATGCTTTGAGGGGTTATTTCCACTATTAGAAAAACCAAACTATCTCTTTGGTTCACCGTTTTAAATTATCATTTTCTAGTTGTATGGAGTTATGGACTTTTGATTTCATGTTTTGCAGTAGGATGAAAGGTGTTAGAGATTGGATTTTCTCTCAAATGCTGTCCAAATCACTGGTCTCGCCTACACCATTATCTGGCAGTAATAGTTTCTATGATGAAGAGCATCAGGATGAAGATTTTAATGAGCAAGGTACAACCCTGATTTTGCTGTTTGTGTCGCTGAAAATGCACTTAGATAACTTCTCGCTGCAAGTCTTAATTCATAGCAGATTTCTCCTCACCAAAATGGTGGACGGTGAAATAAGATGATATTATATGGCGACCTGCACCGCAGATAATTAGTTATTCAGTAAAAAAGTAACACCTTCAAATTTGATAATGCTATACATACTTCTGTGTAGGCCATCATTTGAGGTTAATAGTAGGTATCACAATTCTTAGATCCAGCAGGGAACATTGTGCCATGATTACCGCCATCATGCATATGGAGGAAATAAGGAACTATAGAAGTCGTGTGGAGTTGATAATGGAGTGCCTTTACATATGGTAATTTGAAGACAGAGATATATACTAATATCCCAGAAGACTAAGGGTGGGATTCAAATTCATGATGTGAGAAGTGAAAGGCCCCTCTATCATCAAACAGATTACTTTCAGGGTATAAAAGAAAAATCTTGTTCTTATCTTAGTAATAAAATTAAATTCTTAATAACCATTTTATTCTATAACTTAAAAATTGCATATTAAGGTAAGTTGGTTGGGGCTTCTGGCCTCTGTGGGGCTGATATATGCCCCTCTATTTTGTGCTGGAATTGTTGTTGTGATGTATTTATTAGATTTTTGCTGTATCTTAGTTCTTTGATGTTGGGAAAATTAGACAGTTTCTTCTTCATGTGTAGTCCAGTGAACAATTATATTTAAAGATTATGTTTGCCTACAGATCTAGGGATGCAAGATTCCCCACTAAGTAGATGAGGTGTTCTGATGTTGATCTAGGGGTTTTATTTCTTACACTTTCATGGTTAAGGAACACTAAAGTGAATGATATCACATTCCATGTGTAATATCAATTCTAAATCAATGTTTGTGCTAATTATGATTTTTCTGACTACAATGTCTATCATCAGTATAATATAGATTGAACTGATGCATGTGCTTTTTGTTAGGTTTGGCTCGCTCAACTAGTCCGGTAGCATCACCTGTTCTTTCTTACACATCAAACTCTTCTTACGGTAATCAGAGTAATCAGCATGGTTCCACCTTTCAGCAAGTGCCAGACACAGAAATTTGTCAGTATCAACATAATGCCAACAGAAGACGGAAGGATACTTTGGCAAAGGTTGAGGATCTTCAAGTTAGATTCTTCCGCGTACTCCAACGCCTTGGTCAATCACAAGAAAATCTCTTGGTCGCTAAGGTTCTTTATCGGTTGCACCTGGCAACTTTGATTCGTGCCAAGGAATCTGATCTGAAAAGAGTTAACCATGGTAGCAGTAGAGCCCGAGCAATAGCAAGCCAACAGGAGCCTTCTGGTATGCCCCAATTGGATTTCTCCTGCAGAATACTTGTCCTTGGTAAAACAGGAGTTGGTAAAAGTGCCACCATAAATTCTATATTTGATCAAGCAAAAACCATCACTGATGCTTTTCAACCTGCTACTAATTGCATCCAAGAAATTGTGGGAACTGTCAATGGGCTTAAGATAACGTTTATTGATACCCCAGGTTTCCTGCCTTCCTCCTCTGGCAATTTGAAGAGAAATAAGAGGATCATGCTTTCTGTAAAGAGATTCATTAGAAAGTCCCCTCCAGATATTGTTTTGTACTTCGAACGGCTTGATCTTATCAATGCTGGTTACAGTGACTTCTCACTATTGAAACTTGTAACTGAAGTATTTGGTGCAGCAATTTGGTTCAACACCATCATTGTCATGACTCATTCTTCTTCAGTTATTGCAGAAGGACCTGATGGGTATACTATTAATTATGAGTCATATATTTCTCAGTGTACTAATATAATTCAGCAGCATATACATCAGGCGGTGTTAGATTCTAGACTTGAAAACCCCGTACTTTTGGTTGAGAATCATCCTCAATGCCCAAAAAATATTATGGGAGAGAAAATTCTTCCAAATGGACAGGTTTGGAGATCTCAACTCTTGCTATTTTGCATTTGTACCAAAGTTCTGGGTGATGTCAATTCTCTTCTGAAGTTTCAGAACAGTGTGGAATTGGGACCAGCAAACAATGCCCGAATTCCTTCTCTGCCCCATCTCCTTTCATCCCTTTTACGCAATCGCCCCGTATCCAATCTAAATGGAATTGATGATGAAATTGAGGATATTTTACTCTCAGATAAGGAAGAAGAAAATGAGTATGATCAACTTCCATCCATACGAATCTTGACAAAATCTCAATTTGAAAAATTGCCCAAGCCACTGAAAAAAGATTATCTGGATGAAATGGATTACAGGGAGACACTTTACTTAAAGAAACAGTTGAAAGAAGACTATCGTAGGCGCAGAGAGAAACTACTCTTAACAAAGCAAAAGTTTTTGGAGAGTGATAACCCTGATGATCAACAGGCCCCTGCCGAACCTGTTATGTTACCGGATATGGCTGTTCCGCCAAGTTTTGACTCAGATTGCCCCATCCATAGATATCGTTGCCTTGTTTCTAATGATGAATGGCTTGTAAGACCTGTTCTTGATCCCCAAGGATGGGATCATGATGTGGGCTTTGAAGGTATAAACTTGGAGACGACTACAGAAGTAAAGAAGAATGTATATGCCTCAGTTGTGGGACAGATGAACAAGAACAAGCAGGATTTCAGTATTCAATCTGAGTGTGCTGCAGCATATTTTGATCCATGGGGCCCTACTTATTCTTTGGGTATTGATGTGCAATCCACTGAAAAAGATCTGGTGTATACCGTTCACAGCAACACAAAGTTGAAAAACATAAAGCACAATATTACTGATTGTGGTGTTTCTTTGACATCTTTTGCTAAGAAGTACTACGTGGGTGCAAAACTTGAGGATACTGTTTTAGTTGGGAAGAGATTAAAATTTGTCTTGAATGCTGGCCGCATGGAGGGTTCAGGACAAGCGGCATATGGGGGGAGTTTTGGAGCTAGTTTACGAGGGGAAGATTATCCTGTAAGAAATGACAATTTAAGTTTGACAATGACAGTTCTCTCTTTCAATAAAGAAACTGTGTTGAGTGGAAGTTTACAATCGGAGCTCAGGATAAGTCGAAGCTTGAGGGCATCCGTTAGTGCTAATATAAATAGTCGTAAAATGGGGCAAATATGTATAAAGACGAGTAGCTCTGAGCATTTGCAAATTGCCCTGGTTGCAGTTTTCTCGATTGTCAAAGCCCTATCACGTAGAAAGGCCAATAAGAACGTGGTGAAAGAAGTAATTGACTGAGGTTGGTTCTGGCTGTTTACTGGCAACCATATCTTTTTTGTTCAAGGAAGACGTGAATGCGGTGAGGCATTCTACATACTGAACATAGTTATTTTCCGCTTTTACCCTGCAAAAGCAAGACAGAAAGTTAGAATTGGAATTGTTTTTTAATGAAGAGGTTAGCTGGAGTTTTCTTTTCCGTGATACTTCAGATGCCTGTTTTCGATAATCTCTTAGGTAAGGCTGGCATCGTGAACCTATTTGTCTACAGATTGTAGTTCAATAATTATTATCAGCGATCTTCAACAGCCTTTGATATTCATTTCTAGTAAAATGAAATCATAACTGTACAGTAAAGCACAGAAAAATGTCTGGCTTTTTTTTATCCTGTGATTGTATTGCTCGCCGTTGTCTACCCGGAATTATGGCAACGTGGAAAATGTTAATGAAGCTTTGGCTACATTGTAAACATAATTATTAATCTTGGATTGCAGCACACAACCCTCGATTCCAAAAATGCTGCAGCGGTATAACTCATGAAGGGATGATTGAAATTTTAAAATTTTGTTATATATAATATATAATACTATTGCTCAATTTACATACCATAATGCTAACAAATTAAAATTTACTTGCATATTTATAATTACCAATAGAAGGTCAAAGTGTACAAGAAAATAACATTAAAAAGTGAAGGAAGCAAAATATCTTGGAAGTCTTTGAACATTTGAAGGGATTCCCTAGTCTATCGTGGGAGGAGGAGAGAACAGAGGAAAGTGGAAGGGTGCTGTGTGGGAGGGGAATAAGTTGTATTTTTGTCCAAGTAAATATGTAAAGTAAGAAAGTATGAACTGTATCTACCATTGAAGGTGAAAAATTAATGATCCACACACTTGCAATTTTATTTTATACATTTACTTATTTTCTAAATCATTTATTTATTTATTTTCAGAAGGAACACATTGGACGTCTTTCAGTTGTAACTATCATTTTTGTTCACGAATACATTTCCTTGAGATGCTAGTCTAACTTGGGAATTGCCTAGCTTTCCGTAACCTGGTAAGAGTGCACAGTAAACTATTGATCTCACAAATTTGAAGACGTGATTCCGTTTGAATAATGCCTGTGAAATATTGTGTGTGAAAGATTCAACTTCTAAAATGTGTTTTAATTCCCCTCCCCAAAAAATAATTGTTTGTTATCATTGAAATATGATAGATTCAAATTTAGTGGAGTGAAATTGTTTTATTTCAATCCACTTCAACAGTGTGGTTGAGCTGAAAAAAAGAGAGATGAAATTGTTTAATTTTGTTGAAGCCCCTACTGTAGATTTCCTTACCTAGGTTGCCCTGAAATGAGATGAATCACTGAAATCATTATTGCTGTCCCAATTTTATTCTTGTTAAAAATCTTTAAATACATTTTTATTAGGACTATTATGAATTTTTTTATATTTTAATTGCATTGTTTTTATTTCACATTTCAAATCAAGGTAATGTATTCCGTTCTTTTAAAGGTTTATATTATTTTAAATTCTCATATAAGTTACTTGTTAGAATCACTCCAAAAATTGTACTGGGTTTAACCATTATTAGAATGCTTTATCATGTGAGTTTTTCATGTGGAAAAATATCCAGATGCGCCAAAATTGTAGTTGGGGATTTGTAATCAATCGGCTGGCCTCATGTGGTTGTGAAACTAAGATTGACTTTGAATTGACTCTTCTTTTTCTAATTATGTACAAAGTTGCTAAAGATTTTGTTTAATCTTATTTATTTATTTTTAAAAAATTGCGATTTTCATTTATATTTTATAAAAGAAATAACTTATTTAAGTAAAGCTTTCGAATTTTTAATTAAAAGCTATCAATTTATTTTAAGTTAAGTTTTTATTTTATCTTTAAGAATTAATTATTAATATAATTTATTTTATAATTAATCCAAGCACATGCTTTTTTATTATGTTCTGCTTTTGTGTTTGTTTGAATGAGATTATTTTTGTTGATAATATGAAAAAAGCTGAAAAAAAATCCATCCCTTCTTATTTGACAATTTTTTAAAAATAATTATACTTATTATTATATTATTTATAAAATAAATATATTATTTAAGATAATTTTTTAATATTTATGATTAAATATTATCAACTTATTTTTTAGTTGACTTTTTCTATTTTATTTTTAATGTTTAATTATTTCAAATTTAAAATAAACTATTATGCATAAAATTATATCTTATTTTTTTATTTAACTTAAAAGTCAGTTTATATAATTCGAACATGATAAATAATTTTAAAATTTTTCATTTAATATACTCAAACACAGATTATTTTCGATTAATTCAAACGCGCTTTGTCTTATGTAGTCATCAATGACGTAAGCCGATGTGCCAACGCCATTTATAGTGCGGTGAAGCTTCCTGAATATCATCTAATCACATCAAAATATTGTTGATGTATGGACTTTAATCACCTACATTTAAATTTTCAGAATTTATTTCTTTATTTATCATTCAATGATTTATTATTTTTATATTTATTAATTTTAAATCTGAAATAAATGATAGAAATTTATCTTTCTTCTATCTTTTATCGCAGAAGATCCATACTTCTGATATATGAATCTTTTATTTTATAATGTTATTTTCAAAAGTATGAATATATATGATATTTTTATATTATAATTTAAATTAATTAATTTTTAAATAAAATAATAATAAATTTTTATTTTAAGATTAAATAGTATGCTTTAATAATATTTTAAAAATAATCTAAATATATTAATATTATAAAAAAGTATATTAACCAGCAAAAATTATTGATTTCAATAATAATTAATATAAAAAATTACGCTGATGATATATTTTAATAATGTAAACAGATTTACACTAATAAAGTTTTATTAAAAAAGAAAGTATTTATTATAATTGTATAATTTTAATATAATAAATGTATTAAAAAACTCATATTGTTATCATACTTGATATGAAAACTTGGGATCTTAAATGCTTATTGTTAATTGAGTTTTCACATTCATCTACTAAACTAATAGACCTAAGTAACTATTTTTAATGGCCAAAGTTGAAGGGAATGTCGCAATGGATGGGGGATATACAATCCCTCAAACTATAAATTAACTATTTTAAGAGGACTGACTTTGTTGATCTCATTTTTATTCAAACAGTGAATGTAGAGTATGTCATATTTTTAACCACTCTAATAAAAAAATTAAAATAATTATTGTGAAGACATTTATTAAAAACATAAAAACATATTTTTAATATAATGTGAATAAAAAAATAGTTTTTATTAATTTTAGTAATCAGCTGTACTCTTACCAATAGCCATAAAAAAATATCAAACATGGGGATGCATACAGAATGTGTAATGAAGGACATGCAATGTTTTGCAATCTGATCAGAAATACATATTCGATGCTGCCAATAATTCTAAAATACAATATCAAAGGTCCCCTCTTATGAAAGCCAATCACCAATATCCTTTCTTCAATTTCTCCTTTTTTTCCCCCACTGGCTCCTTTTTCTTTATACGAAAAAAAAATGCTAATATGAAAAAAAATTATGAAAATATAGAAAATTTTCAAATTTTGTTAATGACAATTTTTATAAAAAAACATTATTATATTTTTTAGTATTTTAAAAGTTTATTATTGGCTAAGTTTTGACTTTTTATAATATTTTATTTTTAAGCAAATTTTTTATATTTTATAACTTTTCATTATTTCATCTCTAAATTTCTTAAACCTTCACCAAAAAAATGCTATTAACAATTTTAGAACCTTATATTTTTGTATTTTTTAAAAATATCATATTTTAGTATATATTATATTTAAAATAATTAACCTTTTTTCACTTGACTACGAATTTTCTAGTTTTCTCTATATTTTTAGCAATTTTTTTTATATTTTATAAATTTTCATTATTTTATCCCTAAATTTCGTACGTCTGCATCAAAAAATGTTATTAACAATTTTTGAACTTTATATTTTTTTAATTTTTTAAAAATATCATATCTTGATATATATTACATTTAAAATTTATAATTAAAATAATTAAACTTTTTCCACTTGGCTATGAATTTTCTAATTTTCTCTATCTACAAAATGACTTTCGAAGTAAGGAATTCTCTTCATTTAGTTGTATCAAATTATCAACGTCTTATCCTATTATGATATCCTAATGTATGCCTTAAAAAAGCAAGTCCTAATTAATATAAAAATTTAAAAGTCTCTCTGAAAATTCCTTTCTCCATGAAAAATAATTTCTTATCGTTGTATGTGTTTTTATCGCCTCATTATTTAAGAATAAATGGAGTAAAGAAAGATCAGGTTGAACAAGTAACTTGGTTGATGGTGACCTGCCTTTGACAACATGTGGTTGTATAGAATGCAACTAATATATGAATATGAAAGTGGGAACCGTGCTCTATGCTCTTGACATTACAATTTTGAAAGATAGCGATTCCTAGAGGCTCCCAAAAGGCCAATTTCTCCACGCAACTCTAATTCATATTAATGGTTTAATTAGGAATTTAGGAGTAACAAATATGAATGAATGTGGCAAACTCGTAAAAATAAGGACACATTGGCGCCACGGAAAACAAAGGAGAATCTCGTGTGAATGATTTTCTGTTCACAGTTATGAGAATCGATTTTGTAAGAATTGAAACAACTTGAAGCTGTGAAAATTAATTTGTACTTCGTGCTCAGCGTTGCTTTTAAGTTTCTAAACTCTTATATTTAGCTAACGAAAACATAAATAAGACCTCATTTAAAATACATAATTTTGTGGATGAAGAATACTAGTAACTATGAGTGTAAATGTGTTGAATTCGAAGTCGTAAGAAGTACCCTCAGGGCCAAAAAAAAGATGCACCCTGAATCTATTACCCCCCACTGCTAGAACATACTACATTTCTGCATTTCAATCATCATTTTAAGGAACTTTACTCTTTGATTGAGAGATTATTTCAAAAAAAAATATATCTACCAAGAAAAAATTTAGATATAATAACATTATTATTTTCCAATCAAAATTAAAATTTCACCTGCATAATATACATTAACCTCTAATATTTTACCAAGAAAAAATCAGCAATAACATACCTAAACACTGTCCTATGTATTACCACACGGCCCCTATGGAAGGCAAGATGATTAAAAATCCTGATTAATCATTCAGATTATTCAACAAGCAACCTGACGTATTCTGATTATTTATTTCCATTCCCCACCATTCCACCACAAGAATCGCATATCCCATAAACGATTCCCTTCGTAATCCTCATTCCCCAGCCACTCTTGGATTAACCCATTTGTCCTCAGCATATTCTTTTCTGAACAAAATGGATGAGTTGAGACCCGAAATTTTACATAACTAGACATTACTCAAATCTCAAAGGGCGTCTTAAAAAGTAGTTATTGTTTACATACAAGATTCTCATAGAAGCATCGTCGGCATACTGTGTATCATCATAATTTATTTTCTCATTTCCACAAACTCTCGATTCGATTATCATTACGAAACAAACAAAATAATAGTAATCATTTCCCTAAATCAATATTGTATTTCTCCTTAACCTTTAATTTCTTCACGTACCCAAATTACAACAACACATTATACAAATGTCAGTGAAGAAAGAATAAAAAATTATTACACTAATATTAATCCAATTGAATTATTTGTTCCTAAAATCCAATTTGTACAGAATCAAAAACAAACTTAAGGCGAAGAACCCCACAAAACCTCAGCAACAATGGTAGCAGCTTCAGCATCAGAACTAGAAGCCTCTTTAACTCTCACCAAAATCTCAGGCTTGAAAGCCCTTTTCTCTCTCTGTCGCAGCCCCTCACCCACTTCCAATTGCACTGCAAATCTCGCCACACAGCTCGCAAAAGGGTGTTTTTCCAAAAACCCACTAACCCTTTCTTTCTTCTCAACCGCACGATCCAACCCAATCAAATCCCCACCCTTCTCCGATCTCTGCAACTCCATCAGCTTCTTCACCACACCCTCTTTCAACATAGCTTCCACCGCTTCCTTGCGTCCAAAGTACCCAATTTCAAGCAAGCATTCGAATCCCAGCACGCGCAATTGCAGATCCTGAGAATTCAACAATTCAATTACATTGAGGATTTCGCCATTGGACTCAATCTCGTCAACAAGAGGTGACCTAATGGACCTGATGAGGGAACACAAGACCTCCAGAGAGAGAGGGGAAGCCATAGAAAGCAAGGCTCGAACAGTGGGACCCATCAGAACCTCACCCACGAACACGTCCTTGTTGAACCGGATCAACGCCGCCACGGCCAAACCGGTTCGCTCGCGAACCCGGTTCGAACACTTGGCATCCAAAAGAACCGATTGGAGCGAGGGGAAAAGCTTCAGCTTGAGAACCAGGTCTTGCAACTCGCGATTGAAGCCTTGGGAGACTCGGTCCTGGAATTGAGTCAACAGCGAGACCAACTCGTCCTCGTCGTCAAGAGGGTTATTAAGCGAAGCGGAGAGCGTGTGGAGCGTTTCGCGGTCGATCCAGGCTTGGATTTCCGATTCGATCGAAGCGGCGACTCGGGCGAGTGAGTGAGTTGAGAGAGGGCGCGTGAGAAAGGATCGGAGACCGTTGGAGCGGTTAAGCGTGTGAACTAGGGTTTTGAGACGGTTAAGGTGGTTGGAGAGAGCAGAGAGGTTAGGGTCTGATGCAAGAATGGTTTGAAGTTCGAGAAGAGCTTTTACGGAGGGAGAATCAGAGGAGTGGTGTTGTTGTATGTCGTGTGAGGCTTGTTTCAATGCTTCCAGCACTTCTACAATTTGTGGCATTTTCTCACTCTCTTCTTTTGTTGCCTCTTCCATCGCCCTTTTTGTTTGTGTCTGATAACTCCACCCTCTTCTTACACGCCTTACATATATATCTATGCCACCTACTAATCTATTATTCCAATTTTACAAGTAATTTTGAATGTATACTTAAAAATTAGACTAATAATTTTGTATTAGTTTTTATTAAAAATTACTATATATCAAATAACATAACTTATTAAACGTATTAAATAGTATAACTTCTAATAAAACAATGTTACTTTATTCACATTATTTGCTCTTCCACTTCCCAATTGCCAACTACTCTAACTAATCCGTGGAATACTCTCCACGCCTTCACCCTTCACCTTATAATTTTATTAAACCTTAAATTAGTTTATTTTTAATTTATTATTTATTGCGTTATTGTGTTTTTTTTCAAACAAATCAAAATGATTTCAAGAGTTCAACTAATTATTTAACTTATTGTATTTATGTTATTGTTTTTCTCTTCAAGCTTTTTCCTTTTGTCACTCATCCTTTACTTTAACATTTAAAGTAAAGGATAAGTGACCTAATGCACATGTGTTTTATTTTAATATATATGATTTAACATTTAAAGGACCAAGTTTTATAAATATAAAATATTATAATATATCATAAAGATTGAAGACATAAAAATTAAAAATTTTATATATTTATAAATCAATCAAATATATTATACTAGTAAAGATTAAATATATTAAAAAAATACATATATCATATATACATGATAATATATTAGACAGAATTTAATAAAAGATATCTTAATGTTAAAGAATAAATTGTGGAAGAGAGTATTTGAAGACAATTCAAATTTTGAAAATAAATAAATAAATAGGAGTAACGAATCATGTAATTTTTATTAGAAAAAAAAATATTTTCTAATGAAACAAAAAAATATGTAATTAGTAAAAATTTTGTTTGAGAGTATTATAAATAATAGATTAAGTATTATGAATTTTATAAATACAAGCATAGGTATCTATGATAAATTTTAAGTTTATAGAATGTAAAAAATATATAAGTATAAATATAGGTATTTACAAAAATTTTGATGAGGAGATTCTACAAATATAAAAATAAGTATTTATGAATAATTGAAATTTTTATTGAAGATAATAAAAAAAATTAAAAATTTTAATTTCTAAAATTTAGAACACAATAAATTAAGAGGTGAGTATAGTAGATAAAGACCAGTTAAGCCTAAACACTCATTCCTTTATGAATTAGACTTATATTGAAGTTTTAAAGTAGATAAGTCTAACAAAAACATAAAGTTAACAAAAATATTTTAGTCCAAAACTAGTTGAGTTAGAGGGAAAAGTATTGAGATATCAAGTCCCATGTTTCAGCTAACAACAAAATGATATATAAGGGAATGTGACTTCAATCTTTCCTAATATTGGATTGAGCCTATACTAAAATTAAATTTTAATAAAGTATTAGAGCTTAAATCTAAAATAAAAAATTATGTATAATAAATTTTATAAAATTTAATACAATTTAATATATTGATATTATTAAATATTATATTTTTTTTAATAAAAATTCATTATATATAACTTACTTATAATTTTTCAAACTTAAACAATATAATTAATATTTATGTAAATTTATTCTTTCTCCGTAATTACATGTTAACTCGTTATAACAGTTAAGATAAAAAATAAAGTTAATCAACAAATATAATTTATACCAGCTTTGAACAATTTGCAACTTATTATTTCTAATATTACTTGGTCAATTTACAATACCTCTCTGATCTTTGTCAAATCTCCTGTTTGCAATCACATCCTTACCTTCCAACGATTCTCTGATACCATAAATTTTTTTCGAGGATAAGGACGAAAACCTAACTCATTTTTGGAATTAAAAGTCCTCTGAGATATCTGACAGGGAAAAGAAAAATACAGAAGAACCAAAAGCGAAGAGAAAGCATGTATAGGAGGCTAAGAGTGCTGAACAAAACTCTGGATCATCACCTGTGTCAAAGAACATTGGGGTCAATAATGGGATGGTGCCGAGAAGGATTAAGACGGGTCGTTTTAGCAAAGTTTCACATAAACTTTCTCATCATGTTCTTAAATCTTTGTCCTCCGAGGACGTTTTGTTCTTGTCTGTATGTTTTAAATTACGTTGCATCTAATGAAGCATTGTAGTGTCGCTTGTATTATATGCAACGGGGCCTTCTTCCCCCTACAAGGAAGATAAGGGAATGCCTATGAAAAAGTTATAGATTCAGTATGATGAAGAGAACATGATTTAAACTTGTTAGAAGTTGTCAAAATAAGTTTAAGTATTACATTTAAAGGATGAAAGCATAAATATGATAATTTTAAAAATCTTCTATAACAAGTTATTTTGTTAATTTGTGGATGAGTCACATGCTAACTTACGTTAGTCTACCGTAATTATTATATATTTGAAAAAGATAGAGTTGTATGTGAAGATTCTTTATTTTTTATTTTTTCAATATCAGAGGATTCCTTAAATCCCAAGAACACATATACGCATGGTCAAACATTGTTTCAGCCTGAAAAAATCTCTTTCATTTTCGTTCATTCTTCCTAATAATATTAATATTCTAAGCATATGCCCGTCAAATTGTTTCAGCTCAAAGATGTGGCAAAATTATTTTCTCTTGGTGTTTATGACGTGTTTATGATTTTGAGAGAACTTCCTACCAAGTAATTTGCCAAATGACCCATTATCTAGATTTAAACGGGATAGTCACCTCAGTGTTAAGTCAATTAATGGCTATAGTTTGGTTTCCATAAGAGTTTTTCTCTGATGTACACTGAACACGTCTCATTTTGGATTATTTAAGAAATCATCGGAAATGTCAGTGTGTTTGATTTCCACTCTAATATTAAAACTTATGAATAAATTATAGATTCACGGTGAAACTAAAGTTTGTTTAATGTCTTTGAATTTCTTAAACACATCGTGCTCGATGGACTACCAAGGTGTCAATGTGTCTTAACGCTCACATTTAAGACGTATTACAACGAGTTTTGTTTATGCGAAATTTTGTTGGAAAAACACAGGCAAGACAAGGAATTTGAAAGATATAGAATGAATTTAAGTAAATAGTTGAATAACAAAAAATATTTACTAAAAATTTCATAAATTTTGGATAATTAAGCTTAAAATTTAAATACTTGAATCAAAAGACTTATTATAAATATTTAGTAATTTGATATTTTTAACTTGTAAAATAACTAAGAGACTAAAACATATGACTAGAATGAAAATTTGCAATAACTTGTACGTGAAGTTTGAGTTTTGTATGCTTTCCTTTTTCGTTTGTGCATGGGAATGATCCAAATGAGATTATTCACGAAGCCACGGTCCATAGCCTACTCGATAGCCCATAGCATGAGACCACCATACAAGTATAAGGGTTGGCCCAACATTGAAACATGTGTCCAATATGATAAAGTAAGTATAATTTTACAATAAATAGGTAAATTCTGATTGGAAAATAAAAAGGGGCGAGGTTGATATTTTTAAAATTGTTTATCACGTTGGAATTCACAAGGACAGAATTAGCTCTAACATAAAATCACGAGGACAAAGTGAAACAGGATAACAACAAAAATAAAATAATATAATATTTCCCCTCGCGATGTCCATGCGATTTCGAGGGTGAAGATTTTGGACCAATGGAATAGAGCCACGTGTGAGTCCCAGTTTGGACGCGAGTCATTGTCTCTAACCTCTTCCCTTCTCTTTATAACAAATCACCGCGCTTCAATTTCTTCCATGACCAACCTCTTCTCCCTCTGCAAATGCTTCATTCTAAGGTAAGCTGTTGCTCTCTTCTCGCTTTCTTTCTCCCTGATTCACTACAATGCCGAAATGGAACAACATACAAATAATATTAATAACGACAATAATAATTAATAGCATTAATTATTCTGCACTCGTTGTGCTCTCATGACCGAATTTTGATTCGAATAGGTCAATGCTAATGCTGTTGCCTAGTTCGGGCTTTTGTTATAATTATAAATCTGTGAATTCAAACCATAACGCGTCATTATGAGTGGGTGGAGAGAGTGTGTAGTTGATCTTCGAACGCGAATTCGTAATTGGCTTGTGCATTTTCTCCTGTTTTACAATTGGACTGGTTAATGGAAAATGCTAGCTTATTTTTAGTTGATTCAAGTAGTTTCTGTTGCTGAGTGATGGCACGATACTGTATAGTGTGAATGACATTCATTCGATTGTTGGATGCAGATAGTTAGGACTCTGTAGGCTTTTGAAGGTAACACTTATGTCGCTGGATACAAGGATGCACGGAATGTTGCTGAATTTTGTTCTTGCTTCCTTTGTCTTTTTGAGTTCTATCAGAGATGGGAGTGCAGGAATCACTAGCTCCTTTGTTAGGTCAGAGTGGCCAGCTGTTGACATTCCCCTCGATCATGAAGCATTTGCAGCTCCCAAGGGTTATAATGCACCTCAACAAGTAAGACTTACAAAAATAACTGGGATGATTGTATTATCTATTATCTATTATCTGATGTTATTTAATGAAACCCTGAGGAGCAGGAGATTCTACTCCTCAGCAATCAAATTGGACATGTGAAACAGTTTTAGATTCTGAAGTTATTCCTTTTATTTATCCATTGGTTACAAGAAACCCACAGAACTAAAAAATATTCTCCAGCCCATCGAAGAACTTCTTTTCTTTTTGAATAATCAAGTCTCCTTTTTAGACTAAAATATTAATGTTGAGGATATACACTGGTGGAAGTATCGATGCCTATGGCTACGCTAAAACCATTCCAGTGGTCGAAATTTTTTACTTGAACTGAAAAGAGGCTATACGGATGATTTACTGCATTGATTAATTCCACTGCAGGTGCACATCACGCAAGGTGACTATGAGGGTAAAGCGGTAATCATCTCATGGGTGACCATGGATAAACCAGGGTCCAGCACTGTACAATATGGCACAGCAGAGAATAAATTGCAAGCTAGTGCAGAGGGCACTGTTACAAACTATACCTTCTATGAATACAAGTCCGGCTACATTCATCATTGTCATATCGAAGGCCTTGAGGTAATCGTTGATCAAATTAGGAGCACCATCACTGGCATTCTATTTGCAATGTTAAAAGTAAAATAAATTGAGAAGTGAAATCTACAGCAAAACATATATGTTTTCATTTTTCAAATCATCACACATACTTGTATAATTCTCGTCGTTCTGTATGTAGAATGTGTTCATTTAGTTTCAACAATTTCCCCATTTCAGCATGACACTAAATACTACTATAGAATCGGAAGTGGTGATTCTTCTCGAGAATTTTGGTTTGAAACACCTCCCAAAGTTGATCCAGATACACCCTACAAATTTGGAATCATTGGTAAGTTGTCTGTTTTCCGACGTTTATTCTACTTAAAAATAATTTCTGTATCCTCAATTGTAGACTCTTTCTATTTCTATTTCACAGTGTGTCTATCAGCATTTCCTCTTGCTTTGAACTCCCATATTTTTTTAATTTTGTGGTTCTCATAAATGAATAATTGCGTGTGCATTGCAGGTGATTTAGGCCAAACGTTTAATTCTCTTTCCACACTTGAGCACTATATGCAGAGTGGAGCCCAGGCTGTCTTATATCTTGGAGATCTTTCTTATGCTGATAGGTATAAGTACACTGATGTTGGTATACGGTGGGATTCATGGGGCCGGTTTGTTGAAAAGAGTACAGCATATCAGCCATGGATGTGGTCTGTTGGAAATCACGAAGTAGAGTATATGCCCTACATGGTAGAGTACTACTACATCTGGACTGGTTTATTCCTTTTCTTGAATTATGCACGCTCATTTACCAAATATGATTTAGCTCCATCAAACTATGGTTTGGACTAAATATCTTTTGTTACATGCTGTCATTTCGTTTTCTTTAGTTTTGGAGCAAATTCCTCTCGATTTCTTTAGAATTTTGATGATAAGAGGGTAGTTCAAGATATCCCATATTTCAACTGGCAAATAAATGCCTGTTTCATACAGGAAAACCATTTCCTACTATGTTGGTGAATGGTGAGTACCAATTGATAGCATGTGCTGAAGTAAATATTCATAAGGTTTACTGTAGAATTAAATTGACCTGTTTGAAGTTTCAGTTCAAGACTTCAATTTTCTCTGGTTGCCTACGTTGAAAACGTCATACTCTTTGAATTAACGGTTTCATTTATAAACTTGACTCTAATGTTCTCAAATAAATCTTCATGGTCAGGGTGAAGTTGATCCTTTCAAGAACTATCTTCACCGATATACTACCCCTTATTTGGCCTCCAACAGCAGCAGCCCACTCTGGTATGCAATCCGGCGCGCGTCTGCTCATATAATTGTGCTATCCAGCTATTCACCATTTGGTAACTAATTTTCTCTTTATCTACTTAGTAATCTTCCTTACATCTTGAATCAGACAATTAGTTAGTAGGTTCATAGTGTTGATTGACAGTTATATATTCTATTACATAATTTCAGGTTCCCAGTGTTTCATAGCTGTAAAAGCTTTGCGCAATATTTAACCTGGAAACTATATTATTTATCTTTTTCTCCCTTTTTAGACAAAACTATGCAAGACTTACCTCAGTACCACGCTAAATAGCAAATGATATTCCTCCTTCATGCTCAAAGTGTCGATACAATATTGATTACTAAAAAAGAAATAAATATGAAGAAAAAGTTTCCTATATACGAGCAAAATTGTCCTGTTGGAATAGGATACCAATGTAAGAAGAAAACAAATATTTACCAATTCCAATTAAAAAACAATTGATAGAGGCGTATACTATTTTTTTATTTTTAATAGTTATCTTTCATAACAGTGAAGTACACACCTCAATATATATGGCTTAAAGAAGAGCTGACGCGAGTTGATAGGGAGAAGACACCTTGGCTCATTGTGATCATGCACGTGCCACTTTACAACAGTAATGAAGCTCACTTTATGGAGGGTGAAAGCATGCGAGCAGTTTTTGAGAGCTGGTTCATCGAATACAAAGTTGACGTGATCTTTGCTGGTCATGTCCATGCTTATGAAAGATCAGTATGTTTTTTGCTTTCTGCTCATTTGTTTTGGTCCTTGCACAACACAGATAGTTGCACCGTATCTTAAGATCACTAGCTTAGGAAATATGATTGTTTAATCATGATGTCCTAGTGGATTCTTATGTGTCGAATGTTTTTGTCCTGCTTTCAGTATCGATTTTCCAATGTAGACTACAACATAACAAGCGGTAAGAGGTATCCTACACCTGACAAATCAGCACCTGTTTACATAACAGTCGGAGATGGAGGAAATCAAGAAGGTCTTGCTGCAAGGTAAATTAATCAAATCATTTGTCATGTATAGAACGTTAAAAAGGATTATCTAACAGCAGAATTTTTATCTTATTTCCTATTATTATTATTTTGGGTTTCTATTTAATCCTTCATGAATTTGATTCAATCCTCGTAGGACGGTAATTTCTGTAGTTATGATTGATCAAAGATGTCATGTCATAATAGGTTTTTTAATTCCATCCTTGGTCGTGCAGGTTTAGGGATCCACAGCCAGAATATTCTGCATTTAGAGAAGCAAGCTATGGACACTCCACACTGGAGATAAAGAATAGGACCCATGCTATCTACCACTGGAATCGCAACGATGACGGCAAGAAAGTGCCAACTGACGCTTTCGTATTGCATAACCAGTACTGGTAGGTTCGCTTCATCTTTTTTGGCATAGCTATCAAGATTCAAGCGGCAGGGAAAAATATGTCATCATCTTGCTGTTGTGATGAACTCTATGATTGAAAGTAGTCGTTGCATTTGCCCAAATGGCAACGCACAAAATATTAGTAGACATTCTCCGCTACTTAGAGTTTTACTCTAGATGATAACAATGGTAGAAGTTTAAAATCGTTACCGGTATCAATTTTAAGGGTTGGTTTGTGTGACATTTTCTTCTTTGCACGTGTTGGGAAAGTAGCAGAGAAACCTCCATAAGCGAACCTTAGCTGACATCACTGAAAAAATATCTCCTGGAGATTAATAGATAATCTAAACCCCGGAAGGTCAAAACTTGGGGCTTGTTTAGCACAAGGCAAATAACTCGCTAATAGATGATAGTGACCTGCACTATATTTTGGTTGACAAGAATCAAGAATGTCCTATACTACTTAACATTACTATATAGCTTGTGCAAAATATGCATCCACATATACTATCATACAGGTGTTTATATTCGAAGGATAATTGCAATATGGTTCATTTTTTGGCTATGCAGGGGAAGCAATCGGAGAAGGAGAAAACTGAAGCACTTTCTATTGGAAGTTATTGACGAAGTTGTCGACATATAATGGGGTACTTGAAGCGCACTCATATTTGAGGTCGTGAAAAAATAAATAGTGTACCCTCTATTAATATATACCGTTCAATACTCTCCTAGTGAGCGAAGTGCAGGTACTATGTACGTGGCTTGTATGCTTGTATTCTACGAAGCTAATAAATAAGCATGATTTTAGCAGGAGAAAATTTGAGACCAAGATATTCGTTATCATTATGTAGAGGGATGACCAAACTGCGAGCTCAATCTTTTTGTATTTCTGAATTACTGCTTTATTATTTGAAGAAATTTTGGAAGAATGGAAAATAAACTTCCATTCCAATTGGAATTTTTAGATGAAATTCTGAAGCCCACGATTAATAGAGGTATTTGGCTTCTAAAATATAAAATCAATAATGAAGTTAAAAATTAGCTATTAACAACCCTTAAAAAGTATAGAACATAATAAAATTTCATTAGGACAGAGTTTATTTAAATTAAAAACAACCATCTTTATATTTTAAAGTAAATAAGAAAAAGAACAATCCAGAGCCTCTTCTATTATGGGGTGAGAATGAGAGGAGTTGAATATATAGTGAGTGAGAAAAAAGGAAAGTTGAATATAGAAGAGGATATGAAAGTTAGAAATAAAGTGTTGAGCATAAAGAAAAGTTGGATAGAAAATTGAAGATGTGAAATTTGTTTAACTAACTCTAAAATTCAATTAAAACTTAAAATTTTGTTATTTTTCTATTTTTATTTAAATAAATTTATTTTAAAAATAGGACAAGATTATATGTCTCTCTTAAGAGAAGGAAAGTATAATTTGAGTTAGTACCTAATATATGCATTTCTTAAAAGAGAGTATAATTTGAGTCAGTCATAATTTTAAACTACGAAACGGTATTCAGACTCTAATTAGAACAAAATAACTGTCATTTACTCACACAATAATATGACATTTCCCGAATATACATTTTTGGAGATAATATTCATCAAGGATGCGATTGACTCCTTGCTATATTTAAAGAGTTTTAATATTTATTGGGAAATTTTAATAAATGATACGCATTTCGTTCGGATTAAGACAAATAAGTGCATCAAAAGAACAGCTAAAAGACAATTAATTATCCAACCATGTACCGATAATTTTACATCCCAACATCAATGAGGCATTTAATACTAATCAATAACCGGACAAAATGATAGAATAAGGATAATCTGATCGAAATTCGTATATCTTTACCATGTTTGACGAGACAATTATGTACATTTGCTAACTGTAACTGCTATTAAGATACAAGATGCGTGTGTGGAAGATCAAGGAAGGAATTTCCAAGACCACAACTACATTCTCTAGAAAGTTGTATATAGGGGCAGGAAGGTGGCAGGTAAACTTAAGAATCACGGTAAATTGGTTGTGGCATCCACTTCAGATGCAAATTCAAATAGCCAGATTTGGCACCATCAAGCTCAAAACGCTCTTTATATTCCCCTTCTAATATTACCCTTGTAAGCGTCAATATGCATCTGCCCATATAATCCTGCATACGTTACGGAAAGAAATATCAGAACATACCAAAATTTATCAATTCAACTAGGTTTGCATAAACTTTTCAACTACTTAAAAAATAAATAAAGAGATAAAATAAGTTAAACTTTTTCTACAAATTAAAATCAATTTATATAAATCAATTTTTTAAAAAAAGTTGAATACAAAAGTTTTTAACAAATTAGAATAAGGCTTTTTCAGTAAGTGCCACAAGATCTCATGCATTGGAACCCATAACTATGATTATGGACCCAAATCCATTAGTATGAATTTTATTTTTTTTTCCAAGTGAAATCCCTTAGTACATGAAAGAGTGAAAAAGTGCTTTCGTTGTTGTGGAATAAGAAGCCTTAGTGGTACAAAAAACTAAGCTTAAGAGAGTATTTTATTTTATTTATTTTATTTTATCTTTATATTTTTCTTTTACTGATATTTATTGAAAAATTTATCTCAACCTAACCTTAATAAGACGGTTTATTTGCACATTTGCAACATGAATAAAGTAAATTGCTTAACTTGTATTTTATGTTTGTTACAAAAATTGTTAATCACAACTCTTAAAATTAAGTTTAAATAATTAATAATAGTAAATTTTATTAAGAAATATTTAATATATTTTTATAAATTTATTATAATAAATGTTCTTTTTCATTAAAAACTTTTTACTTTTGTATACTTAAACTCAATTCTATAAATTAAAGTCAACAAATTTATTATTTTTAAAATTAACACCCTCATACAATCTAAACTATTATTTTTTTTTAATGAATTATAAAAATACCCTTAACGCAAGTTTTGGCTCATTCACCAAGTACTCTAATGTTCCTACCTAGCACACCATGATCAACCACCAACACGTTTCATCTTAACGCCTAAATCTCCTCCTCCATTGTTCTTGTGGCTCATTCCTCCAACACTCAAAGGTAATTCGATAACCAGTACTATAGCTCCATAGATGGGAAGATTTAATACCAGCTAATAAGAATTAGGTATTTTATTACTACTGAGAAAAAGAGATAAACCCCCAACACAGCAAACAGAATTACCCCCAAAAAAAAAAAAAGACCGAAAGACACTGCAGAAAAGGGTGCATAAATTCACAACCTTTGCTTCTAAATATTTCCCTTTCCTTCTTACCCTCCTAAATTCTTCTTCTACCCCTAACTCATTTCTCATGTTGTCTAACATAGGAGTGCCTAACAGTTTCACTATTTCAAGTGATAGTTGACGGCCCATAAAATTGACACGTCCATATATTTCGAACCTCCATTCAGTTGTTTCAATGCTATAAATATAAAATTGCCACTCCAGATAATTGTATTTAAACTTCAGAGCCGATTGACTTACTGTCATCAAGGCATTAGGCCAAAAAAGGCAATCATAGTAAATAATTCAAGAAAATGCAAATTTTTTACCTTTCCAAATGTGTCGTGATCCCAAACTTCAACAATTAGCATATCATGTAATCCGTCCTCGACAACAAAGTCAAATGTTTGATTCCAAACAGGATTCAAGCTGTCATTCACAACCTGAGAAATTAACAGAATTTTAGGATCAAGTTTCTAATATTTTGATAATTAACCCATAAAATTGGGAAAGCGGTAACAACTAACAAACTTTGAAGCACATTATAGATACCCTCTCCCAATGCCCTTAACCAGCCCTAAGAATTAAGAAAAATATATCTTAACTAGAGATAGTAAAGTTCATCAATAATATCAATTGTAGACCCATCTCTATGATTCTCCAAATGGTTATAAAGTAGTATATGCTACCTTTTGTTCCTAGTCCATCAAAATCTTACCCTGGTTTTGTTTTTTGTTTCTGCTTTCTTCAAGGTAAGAATGACAAAAGGATCAGATTTCCCCATGAAATCTGTTGCAGGCAAGTCTTCGGCAGATATCACAGTAACAGAAAGGACTCCCCTAATAATAACCTCCTTTCTCTTCTGGGTAACAGCATTTTCGTTTCCATTAGAGTCTATTCCATTTGTTGCACTTTTAAGAACCTTTTCCAAGGATGTCATTGAGTAGTTGGGGGCAAATGGATTGGTAAAGCTGTTTTCCATGCCAAAGGGACAGTACAAGAGCTCCAAATGTACCTAACAGAAAGAACAATAATTATAGCATGCTTGCTTTTACTTAATTAGTGGGGAAATTTTCCAAATACACTAAACAAAGAAGCAAATATATTTATTATGTCATACATACAACAGAAAAATGTTTACAACAATTGCTTACAACATAATTGTTAAGAAATTTAGGCCTAATTCACTCCAAAAAACTAACTCGTAAGAGGAGTACTACTCAAATCCTTATAAGGAGTATTTTAACTCTATTCTTAACTAATGTGGAACATTTTAACAATAATAAATGACATAAACTAACTCGTAAGAGGAGTATTTTGACTCTATTGTAAGGCCTAATTCTCACCTAACCCAAGAATCTTCTACACATCAATAGTTTTAATATAGCAAGTCATAAATGTATTTCTCACCTGCCCTCTGTTCTTGTTATCCCTTTGAATCTCCAAATCCTTGACCAGCTTCAACCACACATCTTTTACTTTACCAGGTTGAAGTTCACTAAGCTGTATGCTAGCACATCCAATCAATTCAGATGACTGTAAACCTTCGGCATCATAAACTTTGACGGTTAAGTGCTGAGTGGACACATCTTCAACAATAAATTCAAAGTGCTCGTTCCAAATTGGATTCAAATCATTGTTCTGGAGGGAGAAAACAAAATTAATTATTTCTTCCAGAATTGAAATCAGATATAGGTTCTAGAAAGAGAGGCAGAGACAGAGAGGAAAAAGAAACTAACTTACAATCGTCTTGCTTTTCTTCATTCTGTTGCGTAAAGGCCGTATATATACTACAGCATATGGATCTGATTTTCCAATGATATCCTTGTTTGTTAATTCCTTTGCTTGCACAAGCTTTACTTCTAATATCCCCACAGGCTTCAACTCCAGATCACTGAACCAGAAAAAACAGTGAGGTTCAGAATGACAAACCTCTGATTTAACTAGTCAAGACCATTGTGAAAGTAATCCCATGATCAACAAGTTTTTAGAATATGCAGAATATATCTCATAATATTGTTATTGTAACTTAAGAATAGAGTAATATTAGATGTCTCTATGTAGTTATTTGTATTATGAATCACCACGCCCTCCATACCAATATCAACAAATTTTTATGATTCTAACTGTTCTTTTTTCTCCCTCAATACCCTCCAATTTTAGCGTAATAACTAGAAAAATAAAAGCTGTCCTATAATTGATATAGGCACATGAATTGACACTGCCAGATTGACTGGTCCACAGGTTTAGGCATGTGGACAGAACATAAAGCAACATGGAGGTACATATTTCCAAAGGCCACCTCAGTCTAGCTCTCTATAATCTAGACATGTTTCTCAGTATCACATTTAAATATTGCATAGATAACAGTTAGTTAGAATTATAACCATATTGTATTGAAATTTCAGACTATCCTCCCCCTTCCCCCAAAATTAAAAGGAAAGACCAAGAACTTAAAGGCTGGCATAAACAAAAAAGAACAACAATGATGAAATTGAAGTGTGCTCGTGTGATCCTTCTTTATTTAATTGATTTACCTGTAATCTCCAGCCAAGATAGGTACGACTTTTCTCACGGGCCATGTAATAGAATCTTCAACAGCATCCCGAATTGCCGCCTATAATAATTTACTAAGCATACTAATTATTATAAAACATCTGGATCTCAGACACCTACTAGCTAATTCATCTAATAGGAGAGGAAAGGAAAGAAGCAGAAACAGATATAGGAAATATAAAAGAATAAAAATTCAGCTAACTATTCAGATAAAACTTGTGTATAATATATATATATTAAACATTTGGTCAATAAAGCAAAACCTCAGTTACAACATTTTACTTGAGAGCAATTTTCTATTAAATTTCAATAAATGGAAAATCAGAAAAATAAAATAACATGGAATTAAAAAATCTACTCAAGCTGATATAATTCATTCTTTGATCAACATTGGTGTTCTGTGTAAGAGTGGCATGGCTTCTATAATGATTAAAATGCGTTCAAAACCCAATATCTACTTGGAAGACATCAATGATATTAAGTTGCAAGTTTCCACATTAATATTGGAAAGTGATAGGAGTGGACATGTGGGCTTGGGTCGTGAGGAAAGGCCCAAGGCATGGAGGGTGTATGTTAAGAGAAAATGGGCTATAAGAATAGAAAAGATGAGGTGGCAGAAGTTGTAACACAATTGCCAAACAAGGGGGAATGAAGATTTGGGAGAATATAGGGAATGAAGAGGGGAGAGAGAGATCACTTTTTTGGATAGAGAAATTTTGTTATGGGCAGGGAGCTGGAGTCTCTCTATAAGAGCGGTGCTCTGTGGCAGTGGGGTTGTTTATTTCCTCCTGTATTGCTTTCCTTTAAGTTAAATAATATACCATTTCCAGATTTTTTTTAATTAATTCTGCAGTCTAATATCTGGTCCCTAACAATTTGGTCCGACCTGCCGGATACGAAAGTGAGGAGAGTAGTGTAAGCGGATGCCACCAAAGAAAATGAAAACGAAGATTGTAGCGTTAGAAACAGAAGTCGCTAGTCTCAAATCAGCTTTACCAACCATGCAGCTCAAGTCCGACAAAAACCATGCCAAACTAATAGAGATGTTTTCTAACTCTAGTGTCATTTTGAACAGAGAAGGATCTTCTAACCGAGAATCTTCACACCGTTGCGATGACCTATGGACTGAATTTCGTCAGTCGATTAAGAAGGTCGAACTGCCAATGTCTGACGGGGAGGATCCTGCTGAGTGGATTGTCAGAGTAGAAGTGTATTTTCAGGTCCAAGGTACGCCACCGGAAGTGAAGGTGAATCTAGCCCAAGTTTGTATGGAGGGGTCTACAATTCATTTTTTCAAGTCCCTTTTGGATGAACAAAACAGTCTTACATGGGAGCAGTTCAAGAGGGAACTATTGGAGCGGTATGGCGGCATAGGTGAAGGGGATATTTTTGAAAGGTTGGCTGCGATCCATCAAGATGGAAGTGTCGAGGAATATATCACAGAATTTGAACATCTCACAGTCCAGGTTCCGCGTTTATCCGATGATCAGTATTTTGGATACTTTGTTCATGGATGCGGCACCTATCCTACCAAGAACTAACAGAGCATAGGCGAAAGGGGTTATGCTACAAGTGTAGTGGGCCTTACCACCCCAACCATCAATGTCCCGATAGGCAGTTGCGGGTGTTGCTAATAGAAGAAGAAGAGGAAGCCGACGGGGAGGCAAAGATGGTGACTATAACGGACAAGGGTGAGGCAGAGGAGGAGAGCGGAGAGTGTAGCATGCTATCGTTGGGAAACACTGTGGTGGTGAAGGAACTGAGGCACCAAACTATGAAGGTTCAAGCTCGTCTCAACGGGTCCCTATTTTAGTGTTGATTGACAGTGGAGCCACACACAATTTTGTTTCTAGAAAGATGGTGCATGCAATGGGCTGGCCAGTTACAACTACGAAAGCTCTAAACACTAGGCTTGGAGATGGTTACGTGGCACAAACTCAAGGTATGTGTTCAGGAGGAGATTTGAAGATTGGGGCTTTGTCTTTCATTGTAGATTCAGTGGTATTTGAACTGGAGGGAGTGGATTTGATTTTGGGGATGGCTTGGTTAGCATCTTTAGGACGAATGGTGGTAGACTGGAGTGAGCAGATTATGCAATTTCACATAGATGACAAATGGGTACTGATTCAAGGTGAAGGGAGGCATGGTGATAAACAAACAGCTCTACAAACCTTGTTGGGCCGCTGTAAAAGTGAGATAGAGGGCGTACTTTTGTCGACTGGAGTGAAAGTACATAAGACAGACTTGTATGATCACGAAGAGGAGCTGAAGGAGCTGCTAGAAGTTTTCAATAAGGTGTTCAAGGAACTCACAAGACTCCCCCCTAAGAGAAGTAAGGAGCACGCTATTAACTTGATAGAAGGGCAAGGACCAGTAAATGTGAGGCCATACCATTACCCACACCACTATAAAGACGAAATTGAGAATCAAGTGAAGGAATTGTTACAAGTGGGGATGATTAGGCGAAGTCAAAGTGCATTTTCCAGCCCTGTCATTTTGGTAAAAAGAAGGATAATACTTGGCGAATGTGTGTGGATTATCGGGCTTTGAATAAGGTGACGATTCCCGATAAGTTCCCTATTCCAGTAATTGAAGAATTGCTAGATGAATTGTATGGGGCGCAATTTTTCTCCAAGCTTGACCTCAAGTCGGGATATCACCAAGTTCAAGTCAAAGAGACTGATATTCATAAGATAGCATTTCGCACACATGAAGGCCACTACGAATATATGGTAATGCCTTTCGGTTTGATGAACGCTCCCTCTACATTTCAATCATTAATGAATGAAATATTCAAACCCATGTTGAGAAAAACTGTGCTTGTGTTTTTTGATGATATACTGGTGTATAGCACCAGTTGGGAGGAACATGTCACACATTTATGTGAAGTATTAGAGACACTGCAACGGCATCAGTTAGTAGCAAACCAAAAGAAGTGCTCTTTTGGACAAACAGAGGTGGAGTATTTGGGGCATATCATTTCTAAGAATGAGGTGATGGTGGACCCTAAAAAGGTGAAGAGTGTAAAAGACTGGCCTGTCCCAAAGAATGTTAAAGTAGTGAGGGGTTTTCTCGGGTTAATTGGATATTATCGCAAATTTATTCGAGACTATGGGAAAAGGGATAGACCTTTGACTGAATTGACCAAGAAAGAGGGTTTCACATGGAATCCTCAAGCACAAGAAACATTCGAGTGGCTTAAACAGCAACTCACCATTGCCCCTGTGTTGACCCTTCCCAATTTTCAACAGAAGTTTGTAATAGAGAGTGATGCTTCCGGACAAGGAATAGGAGCAATCCTCACTCAGAATGGCAGACCCTTAGCTTACTATAGCGAAGCATTAGGGGATAGGAACTGAACTAAATCAGCCTACGAAAAGGAATTAATGGCTGTAGTACTGGCTATTCAGCATTGGACACCCTACTTGTTAGGGAGGAAGTTTATAGTGAGAACTGATCAGAAGAATTTGAGGCAGTTGCTCTTGCAGAGAGTGACTAATATGAATCAGCAAAATTGGGCAGCAAAGTTATTGGGGTATTGGTTTGATATTGAGTATAAACCAGGGTTGGAGAATCGCGGGGCTGATGCTCTATCCAAAATGTACGGGGATACTGAACTGCAATCAATGATTCATCAACCAAGATGGACAGAAATTCAAGAGGCTATGCAAGAGGTCCACCGTGATGAGAAATTGCTGTCTATTATTTCCACCCTCCAAAAAGGTCAGGAAACTCGGCCAGGGTTTATATATAAACAAGGGACTTTGTTCTATGATGGAAGGTTGGTGCTGTCAGCAACCTCTGCTTATATGCCTAAGATGTTAAAGGAATTTCATGAAACTCCACAAGGAGGACATTTGGGGTATTATAGGACATATAGGAGGATGGCTGCCAATCTGTTTTGGTTCGGAATGAAGAGAACTGTTCAACAATTTGTTATGGGATGTGATGTGTGTCAACGTCAAAAATACCTTGCTACAGCCCTTGGTGGTCTGCTTCAACCGTTAAACATTCTAGAACAAATATGGGAAGAGATCTCTATGGATTTCATCACGGGATTACCTAAATCGAAGGGATATGAGGCTATCTTGGTAGTGGTGGACAGGCTGTCCAAGTACAGCCACTTCATACCTTTGAAACATCCTTATTCTGCAAGGGTGCTGGCCGAAATTTTTACACGTGAAGTAGTTCGTTTGCATGGTATTCCAGCCTCCATAATCAGTGATAGGGACCCTATTTTTGTAAGTACTTTTTGGAAGGAACTGTTTAAGTTGCAAGGGACTCACCTCAAGATGAGTACAGCCTATCATCCACAAACGGATGGCCAAAAGGAGGTGGTCAATCGTTGTCTGGAGACATTTCTGAGATGCTTCATAGCTAATCAACCAAAATTGTGGGCAGAATGGCTATCTTGGGCAGAATATTAGTATAATACCAATTTTCATGCATCTACTGGGACCACTCCTTTTGCGGTGGTTTATGGAAGGAAACCTTCGCTGCTAACCAGATTTTTACCAGGAGAAGTGCGAGTGGAAGTTGTTCGCAGAGAGCTCTTAGAAAGATATGAAGCTCTCAAACAATTGAAATACCAATTACAAAGAGCTCAAACTCGCATGAAGGGTCAAGTAGATCATAAAAGGCAGGACAAGCAGTTTGAAGTAGGAGAGTAGGTCTTCCTAAAATTGAGGCCTCATGGTCAATTGACTCTGGGAGCTAGGATTCATCCCAAATTAGCCCCTCGGTACTATGGTCCTTTCAAGATTTTGACAAGAATAGGAGCTGTAGCATACAAATTGCAGTTACCTGAGTCAACAAGGATACACCCTGTTTTTCATGTCTCACTCCTCAAAAAGGCTGTGGGTGATTACAATATTGAAAAGACACTTCCATTGGATTTGGCTACAGATTATGAAATTCAGCCTGAACCTGAGACAGTGCTTGCTAAACGTGTTATTAAGAAACAAGGAGCAAATGTCAGTCAAGAATTGATACAGTGGAAGGGACAAGGTATGGAAGAAGCAACATGGGAAGAGGAGTTCAACATCAAAAGTCAGTTCCCTCATTTGAGACTTGAGGACAAGTCTCATTTTGAAGAAGGAAGCATTGATAGGAGTGGACATGTGGGCTTGGGTCGTGAGGAAAGGCCCAAGGCATGAAGGGTGTATGTTAGGAGAAAATGGGCTAAGAATAGAAAAGATGAGGTGGCAAAAGTTGTAACAGAATTGCCAAACAAGCGGGAATGAAGATTTGGGGGAATTTAGGGAATGAAGAGGGGAGAGAGAGATCACTTTTTTGGATAGAGAAATTCTGTTATTGGCAGGGAGCTATAATCTCTCTGTAGGAGCAGTGCTCTGTGGCAGTGGGGTTGTTTATTTCCTCCTGTATTGCTTTCCTTTACGTTAAATAATATACCATTCCCAGATTTTTTTTAATTAATTCTACAGTCTAATATCTGGTCCCTAACAGAAAGGCTTTCAAATAACATAATGAACTCTGTGATGATTAACATAACATGACATCTTCATTGTCAGAGAGGTGTTAAGAAACATGAAAAGCTGCAAAAGGGACTCATTAACAGACAATGGCAGTAGTCCAAACCTCAATTGCATCATGTAATCCAGGGATTGTTGATATGTCGCCACCAATGACTTTTAGTGTAAAATCCAGCTTTTTCTGAAAGTCAATATGTTCTCAAATGATTAAAATATATTATGTGTGTGCACGAGGTTTAATTTCAATGTAGAAATATGGCTTGCAAATGTTTCTGGCATGCATATAAATGTATGAAAAGAAGACATTGCGTGTGGGTGTATTAGAGCACACTCGAGAGAGAGATGCCATGAGAAGAGGGACTGTTTCCATGTATTAATTGTAACCACCAAATCACAAGGTGGCAACCTTGCTGTTGCACAAAGGCTCACCCACTATGCAAGAGAATACAAATCTAAAATCAATTGAATTCTATCCATAGGACTAATACAATTATTTTCATAAATTATCTGGCTAAATCTTGCAAAATATATAACCTAAGTTTAGCTTAATTAAAATGAACCTCAAAAAGATGGTTGGCCTCATTGACCATGAAAAAATGAACTAATCCATTGAAATCCTAGTCCTAATGTAGGTGCACTGAAACACCTGGGAAATGACTGAATTTAAGAAATACCATACCTTCTGCCTTAAAGAATAGCTAACAGCTCCAAAACCAGGAAATTCGTCAACGAGAGGCTTAAAGATCAACCTGAAAACACCTGTAAATCCTATATTTTTTACCTGAACAGAGAATACGAAAACATAAAATCAACTATAATCTTTCAACAAATAACCCTAGCTGATTTAATATACACATTCACAAATGACTGAAGTCTGACAATCAGAAAGCTTTCAGTAACAAACATTCCTGTAATTTTTGTGCATACTAACAATCATGACAAAGGAGACAGGAGGAGAATATAAGAACACAAAATCAACTATAATCTTTCAACAAATAACCTTTGCTGACTTAATATACACATGCACAAATGACTGAAGTCTGACAATCAGAAAGTTTTCAGTAACAAACATTCCAGTAATTTTTGTGCATACTGACAATCACAACAAACGAGGGAGGAGGAGAATTTTTCTTTCACCCACCTAATTGGTGTTCTATGCTCATATCAACAGCGTTAGGGTAACATTAAAACATAAAAGAACCAATACGTCTAAAACTTCTTTCATTTTCTTAGCTAAATGAATTAGATTGGAAAAGTATGGTCTTACAATTGTTTGGCATGGAGCCCTCAAAGATAAGGACAGAGAATATTAAATATGATAAACTAAAACAATTGGACCATTTGAAAGCATCTAACCAACTAATAGTAATGACTAGTAGCTGGACATGCAGTGGCAGTAAAAGGTTGAGAGAAATACCTGCACTGGTAGTGCAACACCAAGCAGAGTTTTAATATCGAGTATAATACTGGGATTCCCATCCCACTGCATTTCTAACTCCATTGTAACACCATCCCCTGCATCCTCAATTATAGACACTCCTAAAGACGAACATCAACAAATTAGAAGCTCCAAAGAAATGTATGACATTGATCAGCAAAATCTTTGGGTAGAGATCTTTAAAAACTAAAGTTAGTAGCGTAACAAGATGGCATAAAACGGGGAAACTTTAAGCAAACGTGAGAAACATCCTTCCCCACTCACAAGAACCACTTGTGTAAATATTTTCCATTCGCTCACTAAGATAAGCTAAAAAATAATTTTAATGCAATGGAAGCAGAAGCCAAAACATGTCCGGTTGAAGCGAAAAATGATGATATCATGTTGTCGTCCACTTTCAAAACTATTTTATGATATAGAAGTATAAAACCACGCATGTGCCTTCAGCTTAAACTTTTGGGATATTTGGCTCACAACAATCCATCCACATTTTTGTTTCACAAGGCAAATGTACAATAATTTAATTTTCATTTTCCACCTTCTCAGTTTCCGCTCTTCTCACCACGCACTAGAAGCCAGTTCCCCTGCTATCCAAACCCAAAGAAAGAAAACAAAAGAAGAGAAAATAAAAACCAAACAAGCCGTTGACTGACTATCGACAAACACTACTAAATAGGTATATCTAAGCTTTTATTGAACCAAAAAGGAAAGAAAATTGCCAGACGATGACAGAAACACCAATCGCACAAAAAGGACCAAATTAATCAGATCGAATGAAATGAACCGAAACCAACCTGTAAACTGTGGCGCTACAGTGCCAAGAGTAAACTTGGAGAACTTAAGAGAAGCCAAAATCACTGGTCTATATTCTTCAAGAATAGGTTCCACCGAAGTCTTAATGAGCTCAGAAGCAGCCTAATAAAACCGATGCAAAAAATTATAAAAAAAAAAAAAAAGAAGCAACAACAACTACCGCGAAAGCCACAACCAAATCCACAGTCGAAGTTACCTCATTAACATATGGCCAGATCTTGGTAAGATGCGAGTTAAGCCAAGTTAACTGAAAGCAATAACACAAAAACGTGAATCATAGACTAAAAAAAAAACGAAATAAGAAACGAAGATTGAAGAGAAGAATACTCAACTTCTGCCTGGAAGAGAAGACGACCCAAGAAGGGTAGAACTGAGAAGGCAAGATCTTTCTAGAATCGTCCACCGTCATTCTGGCGAAGGCGGCAATGGTCGTGGCCAACTGCGATCGTTGGGCCGAGCGCGCATTCTCGCCACGAACGAAGCCCACAATGATGGCCAGGCCCACTATTATTCCGACCACCACTCCGAACACGAAACCCATCCTTTTCTTTCCGATAGTGTGAAAAGCGTGAGAGCTGTGCGCTTGGGTTTCAGAGCTCAACGAGAATCCAAATCGTTGAATTATGATAATATTAAAATTATTAATTGTTAATACTCATTTGGGTGTTGAGGGAGACAGAAGCGGTGTGCGAGTAACCGCGCCTTTTTCAATTGTCCCAAAATCACACGAGTTTTTGCTTTGTTCTTCTTCTTCGTAAATACTGTTCAGTTGCGGGATTGACTTCACCTTTCTTTTTTCTTTCTGTTTTATTTTCTTCCCCCTTTTTCTCTGCCGTCCCACCAATCTCATTTATCGCCCTATCACTGTCTTGCCTGTTCGGATAAGGTGACTTTCATTTCACTCTGATTCATACAAAATAGTAACAGTTAATGTTAAAATTAATATATCAAATTTTTTAAAACGATAAATATAAGATATATATCATAGCATTATAAAATATTATAATATCATTATTTTTTTAAGATTTTCGGTACAGGACAGGAAATAGTTTTTCGATACTTTAAACATTTTTTCTTTCATATGTTTAATGTATTTTTGTACTGTATGTTTAATTTCATCAAAATTTTGAAAAGTCAACACTATATAACTCGTTGATTAAAGATACTTTAAAACGAAATTATTAATAAAATATATTTTATTTTGTATTAATTTATATTGTTATTTGTCATAAATATAATCTATTCTGTTAATCTGACACGGCTCAAGAAAAGAAACTAGTTATATACAGATTACACATTGTCAATGTTATTGGGTGTAGAAAAGAAAATTACAATAGCTACAAGCTAATCTTCAAAATTCAGACAAAGTGAGTTGAATTGTTTCCATTCAAAGCAATACATGTTGATTGCAACTATCTAGAGTAAACAAAATAATGCTATTTACACGCATTTGTCACGGGTGTTTAATTATAGTTGGTTCCATTTAAACCTTTTTATACTTACACCGTGATTCTAGCATGTATGCAAATGTGAAAATTTGTGAGACATGAGGAATGTCCATTAGACATCTTTCTTTAGAAATAAACATTTTCCTTAACATCAATCCTTATCTTATTAAATTATGTTTTTTTAAGGGTATGTTTGATAGATAACTTCTAAAGAAAAAAAATGAGAATACGTTTTTTAATTTTAAATTAAAAAATTATTTATTATTTATAATAATAATAAACACATAATTAGTATATTAAATTTATGTCAATTTATTAATTTATATTTTTTAAAAATATTAATTTTAAATGTATTTATTTAAAATAAAAAACTTACACTCCCCACCCAAAAAAATAAAAATATTCCCATACAATCTCTTAAATAAAAGCTTAAAATCTACCCTCATTCTTTTTTAATTGAAAAATTGTTCTTCCATTCTCATGAGAGATGATGATCATGTAGAATATTTTAATGTAAATTAAAGTTTTAGGGAATGAACAAAAACTAAAATCTCAAAAAGAAATAAAATGGATTTACATGTTTGCTTACTATTAAAGACAAGACCCAATGCTTACTTCTCACTTGACCCAGAGTTCACTCATGTTACAATTGCCCACTAAAAAAAATAAAGAAGACGACATAAGCAGACAGAAAAGGAAATGAAATTAATGTAGGCCCAAGTACATGTCTATATTCTATTTGTGAAGCAATAATCAACCTTCACAGATCTGGTATCTTACTTTGTTACAAATTTGTTTCCCTGCAAGGTTGTTTGTCCTTATTATCTTCATGCACCACGCACCGACACTGTTCTTCACTCCCGGGTAAGTGGTTTTTTTCACCCCTTGACAAAAATTGTTGTGCTCCCCATAACAGTGGTTGCACCTCATTTTTCACACGCAACACACACTCCCTAGCAATAATGCATCGCAGTGAATTGCTATTGTAAATTCATCCAAAATGGAGAAACATTTAAGTATATTTTATTTACACAAGTTAGAAAACAATCTTATCGTTTAAACACATTACTATTTTTACATCAAATCAATTAATTTATATTTAAAATCATAATGTATCTTAAATATCAGTTCCCACAAGAAGTGTAAACGAGAGCCATACTCTCCTCTCGCCTTAAAAGACCTTTCATTATGGCTCAGCCTAACCTATATTTGAGCAAAATTTTAAGATTGTATACAATTTTGCAGTATTTCCAGACGGGAGAATTGGAATAACCCAAAAGATGGGTTAGGCCCGTTTTCTTACATGTGAGGTTTTGTGTATGAGTTTCAATTCTAGAGAGGCCCATAATTAGATGGAAGGGATAAGGTCCTATGTCAAGCAGAAGGTCATTTATTGACCAAAAAAAAGGTCATTTGACCCATTGATCCCAAAAAAAAAAGATTTAAATAGTTAAAAAGGAAGTTTAAGAATTTAATAAATGTTTATTTCAGATTAAAATAATAATTATTTTTACAGTTTATCTTAATAATGCATATCTATTTTTATATAAATTATATCTTCATTGTAATATGTTTTATTATGTGTTTCATAAGATTTTAAGTCAATATTTAATCATTAAATTTAAAACAGTAATTTACAACTCCATTAGAATCAATTTAATTTATTTATAGTATAATTTAAATAAATATATACATATTTTTAAAAATTTAACAAATTCTTATATTTATAAGCACTTGAGCAATGAGGCAAGTGGAAATTCTCCTTCCGTGCTGCTCTATCAAATCATCTGTCGTTTGTTTTATTCTTACTTTATTTGTCAAGCATCTTATCATTTATGCTTGGAAACTGATATGTTTAGTTTTTTAATAGAGAGCAGAGTGGAGTAAAATTAGATAAATTGGAGTACAGTAAAATAAAATGAAGTAGGTTAAACTTTTTGTTTAAATATTTTGACTATGGAATGAAGAACGATTTTTATTCCATCATAGTTTTAACAAATTAAAGGAGAAAAAGTACAGCAGATATGAAATTAAATTAAATAAAATATTTCAAACAAAATATTTCACTTTAAATTGTCTTTTTTTAAAATATAACATAACCTTGACCTTCTCTTTGTTTCCATCACTTGTGTAACAATTTATTTAAATGATTTTAGTTTTACTTTAAATTTACGGGGGGAATTTTAAAAAAAATAATGTCAAAAATTATTTTAAGTTGTTTTTTTTTTTAAACTAACATATTTTTCCTTTGTACTTTAGTCTCGTAGTTATTAGTGTAATTTGGATTAAGTACGTGTCTGGTTTAATTTTATTTTTCAAAAAGTAAATACTTTTTTAAAAAATTAACAGATATTTTTTTTAAAAAAAGGTGATTGCTTAAAAGAGAGAGAGAGAGTTGGACCAAAACATGCTATAAAAAAAAATCTTCAAAGACAATAGTCGTGAGAACTGAGAACATTGTAGTTTTTTTTTTTCTGTGTATTTTATAACGTAAATTCATTTATGGCTTGTTTAAATGAAAAATAAGAAGTAATGTTCTAGGTGAGTTTAAATAATTTAAATTGAAATTTCGACCCATTGAAAGTTAAATATAATGACACGTGTTTCATTTTTTAAAAAACAATATCGAATTAATAATACCACGTCATACATTAATAAATCAAATGTAAGAAAATAACAACTCGTATAACTTTATTGAAATGCATAATGTATATCAGGTCATTTGTCTTTTCTACTGTCGCTAATTTTTTTTCTTTGACTTTCTATCAACTGTGCCGCCAAATTTAATATGGTGTATCATGATACATAATAGGATGAGAATGATTTATTCGTATAATATTAAGAAAATCCTTACATGTAAAAAGTAATTGTAAAATTTTTTTATATACTAAACTCTCATGTTAGTATCTAAGATAGTTATTATTAAATATTTTAATCCTAAAATATTAAAAAATTTATGTTAGTTATTAACTTATATCTTTACCAGATATTTTAGATTATAGACTCATATACTATTAACACAAAGTAATAGTTAACATATTACATTAAATGTCATGTGAAAATGTTGATATAACAAATTTAACATTATTGTAAATAAGTTGAGTGGTAAATATAAAAGTTATTTATTTCTTTTACGAAGAACTCTAAAATTTATTCCAAGATTAATTTATCTAAATACTCAAAGGATTGCAGGGTGTTAGATGATAAAGTGCGAATTAGGCAAATTGATTAAATAATAACTTGTATTACATGTCTAGTATGTCATGTCCTTCACAACATCTCTTCCCTTAAAATGATAATGATTTCTTTTGGATCAAAGTTTCGGTGAAATACTGTCCTAAATCTAATTACTTTGACTAGAGAAATAACACTTATACCATGTCATTTAATAAAGTTCTAAAATACTTCAACCACGTTGAATTTGTGTATAACCCATATGCCATTAACTTACTCTAGTTAGAAGACAAAATCAATTTTAGAGACGCATATGATATAATATGAATTAGGCAAATTAATTTGGAAAAAAATAATATAAGATTATTCATGAGAAAAATGTTTTTTTTTATTTATATTTACTACTCTAGTTATTATTGTATCTATCACGTCATTATTTTTGCACGACACTTAACGTGATTGTTAAGAAATTTTTATTGTTAACTAATGGTGTATAATTTTAGAAACTAAAATGTTCAATAAATAGAAATTAGAGATTAATAATAGATTTTTAACATGCAATAAACTAAAATACCTAACGCTAATTGTATACAAATTAAAATGAAAGTTTAATAGTTTTTTTTTTTTTTTTATCTCAAGAGATATATAGATATTTAAATTTACAATTTGTCATATTGCAAAATTTTAGAGACTGAAAATTAAGATAAAATTTATGATAAAACTATACATCACTTATCAATTAATTTGATTGAATCAAACTAAGCACAGCTATTACAAAAGTAAAAAAAAATCAAAGCAAAACATCATTTCATTAAAACAAAGTTATCGCGCTTACATTGAAAAATTTAGGATAAACAAATATTATTTAAATAGATTTTGTATTTTTAAATGGAAATTAATATTTTACTTTAATAAAATACTCACACATGATAGCTTAATTTTGATTTACGTACATTAGAAAATGCTTAAAAAACAAACTAACTTATATATATATATATATATATATATATATATAACTATTATTATGATAATAAAAACTTAAAATATATGATATGATGGCTTTTTTATTAAAAAAATATTAAAATATAAAATTGTAGACAAAATTACAGAAATATTTAAAAAATTTAAAAATTACATTTGGGCTGAAATAACTATCATTGACAATTTTTACATTTTAAATTTTATATTATTTTTTAAAAAATTATCATTAGTTAATTTTTTGCTAAAAACTTTTATTATTTTTTATAAAAATATTATGGATGGTTTTTTATATTTCAGAACTTTTTAATGTTTTTAAAAAAATGCAATTAGCTACATTTTAATACCTTATAATTTGAACCTATTTTATTTTTAAATCTTTTTCCGTATACACCAAAAATTACTATTATAACTTTTGAATATTAAATTTCGATAAATTTTCTAAAAATTATATATTTTAGTATATATTATTTTTAAATATTATCTACAAATAAGAAAAATCTCATATCATCATTTATTATTTTAGTTCCCAAAGTCACGGTAGCAAATAGCTATCGATGCACATCGTACGGACTAAGATGCTGACGTATCATTTTTTGAAATAAACGAACGTTAATGAGTACGACGGTGAGTAAATAAAACACCTGTTAGCTAACTTTGCTTAAATTGGTCGTAACTCTGGATTTTAATTTTTTTAAAAACTAAAACAATTTCTAGTTATTAGTTTAAAATTTTATTGTCAAAAATCAAACTCAAGCCATACAAATGTTTTTTTCACTTTCTCGTCTACTCATGTGTTTCTTAACATTTTTTAAAATTTAATTAATTCTCCAACTATTCATCTATTGAAGTGCTAAGAAGAGGGATAACAACAATTACAATAGTAGACTAGTGTTAGCATTTCTTCCTCATTTTATATTTGTTGTTTTAACCTTTTAAATTTGTTTCAAAAGTTTTGTTATTTTAGAATTTTAAGATTTTTTAAATATGTTTTATCTGAAATATTGTTTAATGATTAAAAATAATTTTAATTTAACTCATTACCTTGTGTATATTTTTATACTTTTTGTATTATTTTAACATTAAATGTGAGTAATCAGTTAAAAAAATCATCTGTAATGACAATTAAAATCTTCTTAATTTATATTAAAAAATTAATAATAATATTAATAGTAGTTGAAACAATATCAACATAATTAGTTGTATTTGTTAATTAAAGGATATTTTAAAGAGAGAAATGCTAACATGTTTAATATATACTGTATCTTCATCCTTTTAAAGCAAAGAGGACAAAAAGGCAACCGAAATTAGCACCTTACTAGAAGAGGAACACCCCCAATATGAAAGAAGAAGAAGACAAATCCACACCGTGAGGAGTTTCCCATAAATACAAGCTTAGCCTCGTCCACGTTCAGTGACAATGCAGAGAGTCCACAGGCCAATGAACTATTCCCCCAGAATACAATGCCAATAACATCCAAAGAAAAGGCAATCGATTTAGTTTATTCCTCAAACATATAATCCAGGCCATTAGAATAGTTTCGTAAACAATTCAAATTAGAATCGGATCGTATTCTAATAAACCAAACTTTATCCGTATCCTCGCTCGCATATATCACATGCATATAATTTGTTCACACAATGAATATTTTTTAATCCACGGTCACAATTTATTTCTTTTAATCACAAAAATTATTAAAATGAATTTTAACCCGTTTTTTCTATAAATAAGAAACATACTCCTGTAACGAACATTATTAAAGACAAGGCACGAAGGGAGACCCCAACACCCCCCAAGCCACAGCCCGCAAGTTGTCCCACCCCCACACTTGGTGGCAGAGTACCACGTTGTCATTGTAAATTTCCTTATTTGACCTCGATTGCACAAAAAAACAATAAAACCAGACACTACTCTTCGGTTCCCCCCAACAATATTTGGGGGCATATTCTCTCTCCTCTCACTCACTGGCTCTTCTTGGGCGAGGTCAGAACCCACATGCTCGAATCTTTTCACCGTTCTCACTCTACCTGCCATGTCCACAAACCACTCAATTAATGGAGACTCCGAGTCCCTCCTTCGGCAACCTTTGCTGTCTTCGCAGAGATCCATTGTCAACTCCACGTCCCAGGTTGCTATTATTGGCGCCAATGTCTGCCCAATTGAGAGCCTCGACTACGAGTTCGTTTTTTTCTTTCTTTTTTCATCTGGGTCTTCTGCTTTTGCTCAAAGGTGAAACCTTTTCGGTTACCCGGTTCTAAATTAAATGTCGCCCTTTTTTATGTGGGTCTGTAGGATTTTCGAGAATGAGTTCTTCAAGCAGGATTGGAGGAGCAGAGGGAAGGCTCAGATATTGCAGTATGTTGTTATGAAGTGGCTCTTGTGCTTTCTAGTTGGAGTGATTGTTGCTGTCATTGGGTTTTGCAACAATCTCGCAGTTGAGAATCTCGCTGGCATCAAGTTTGTCGTCACTTCCAACATGATGTTCGAAAATAAGTAATCACTAGGAATTTGTTTCATGTTCCCATGATGTTTCAAAATTGACTTATTATTTATCTATGCTTTTCTGGTGTGATGGATTCAAATGAATTTTGTGAATTTGCTAATGCATATTCAAAAGCTTTATGATTACTTTTCGAAGTTTAGATTTTTGTTTTGTGATAGTATGTTGCATTGTTATATGTTCGCTCTTTTTATGTGAAGTTGCTGACAAGTGATCATAATTTCATGCAGGTTTCTGTTGGCCTTTCTAGTATTTTTTGCTTCAAATTTGGGTCTCACGCTTTTTGCCTCTATAATCACGGCTTTGATAGCTCCTACTGCTACTGGTTCAGGTATACCAGAGGTGAAGGCTTACCTAAATGGCGTGGATGCACCAGGAATATTTACTCTACGAACTCTGTTTGTTAAGGTATGCAGTACATTAATTCAATGCAGATTTAGTGCTGGGGTTTCCCTTCTTACACAGACAATGATACAAGTTTGCTCATAAGATGGAAATATTTCATTTGATGTTGACGTGTTCTAGCTTTAGTAATGACACTACGATTTGTGTTTCAAGAGCACTTTTGATCATAAGCCATGAAAGCAATTAAAATATCGAGGAATGTTAGCAACATATTTTTTTCAACGCACTCTCATAATTGAACAAGTTCTACTAAATTTCAACCAATTATAAGGAATGTGGTAGAAAATTTATTGTTAGCATTTGTATTAAGATATAGAAAACTGTTGACTTCAACACTTGGTGTGGAGTTTAAATAACTAATAATAATAGGATTTTATTGGAAAAGATAACATTTATTACACCTTTACATCTATAATGTAATAAATCTTTTCTTTATTAATAAAAACCTTTTAGATATTAAAATCAGTTCTTAGGATTGAGGTCAATGACAATGTAAAAATATATAATATTAAAACTTTTAGGTACTAGGTGTAGCATGCTAGTGACATAAACACTATTTGGTAATGAAAGGTGGAACAAGGGATTACCATTATTGGTCATTTTATACTGATCTGTTAATTGTCAATACATTGTTGAAGTCATTTTTCAGTTTAAACCAACAGAATCTACTTCCTGTTCATATCATTATTCATTGACATTGTTATTGGCACACCACACAGGTGGCGTAAATCTTACCACATTTAGTGGTACTGATTAACTTGTTATTCTATGTTGATAACCTTTTTTTTTTTTTTTTTAATGTTTAGACATTTTTTTTCATTTCTGCATGAAGTCAGGATAGTGAGACATTTCAGAATTTATTAACATATTCAATAAAGTGCTAGCAGCCACAAAGCAATGTAAAATTTACCCAAATTTTGTGTTGTGAAAATGATGTTTACAAATACACAAATGATGTTAGTTCTGATAATATCAACTTAAGGGTGTATATTGCTTGTCTAATTGGAGAAGATATTCTATATGCAGAAATATACCTATTCCATCCGCATATTATCTAAAAGATGCTAAATATGTGACAGAAAGTCCTGATATCAATGGGGTCTTGTGGTCTTGCCTACTTATGAGCAATTCTATATTTTTTCCTCTTTAATGCACAGAGCACTTGTCTTGGTAGAAATTCTGTAAACCATATTAACTGTTTCTCCAATAACATATGAGTTCAGCCTCATAATATGTCATTGACAATATTGTCTCTTAACTAGAACTCTGGATCCCCTTACTAGATTCAGTCAGACAGGAAATGTTCTTCCTAAACAAAGAGACTTACTTTCATTTTTGGTTCTATCTACAGATTATTGGAAGCATTACAGGAGTATCATCATCTCTCAATATTGGGAAGGCAGGGCCTATGGTACATACAGGTGCATGTGTGGCAGCATTGTTGGGTCAGGGTGGGTCAAAGAGATACGGGTTAACATGGAAATGGTTACATCATTTTAAGAACGACCGAGATCGACGGGATCTCATAGTATGTGGATCAGCAGCTGGAATGGCTGCTGCCTTCCGTGCCCCTGTTGGTGGTGTGTTGTTTGTTCTTGAAGAGATGGCATCTTGGTTTGTTTGCCTATCTACTAAACATTACAAATTTTCTCTTGTAAACTCTAAATTTTTCGTGATGCTTAACTTGAGAATTGGAATCATATTTTTGACATATGAATTTTTTTGTCAATGATGTTGTGAAGGGGTTTAATTCCTCTTCCCCTTGATGTTTATTTTAATAAAAAAATTAAAAATATGATCCTGCCTTTACATTTGTTATTTCTTGATTTTCAACTGCTCATTTGTGTCTGAACTTTACTCAACATAATTTTATTTTGAACCATTTTGTTTGATATTCAGTAATTTCTCAATAGAGTTGGCTCTTCCGTAAGTAAAAATTTTGTTCCCCTTCAATGTCTCAAATAAATTTATATATATTTAATTTCTGTTCTGAAGGTGGAGAACTGCCCTTCTCTGGAGAGCTTTCTTCACAACAGCAGTAGTTGCAATTTTGCTTCGTGCCATGATTGATGTATGCTTAAGTGGTAAATGTGGGTTATTTGGTAAAGGAGGACTGATAATGTTTGATGCTTATTCAGCAAGTATTTCATATCATTTGGTGGATCTTCCTCCTGTTTTTATTCTTGGTGTTATAGGGGGGATACTTGGCAGCTTATATAATTTGATGTTGAGCAAAGTTCTTCGCATATACAATTTTATCTACGAGTAAGCTTCTCTTTTGGTTAAGTGGATACGACAAAAATTAAACTTTTCCTAACATTTTTGCCAAGCTCATTTTTCCCACCATTTACACTTGCAGGAAGGGCACTGTTTTCAAAATTTTGCTTACTTGTTTAATTTCCATGTTTACATCCTGTCTTCTTTTTGGATTGCCATGGATTACATCATGCCGACCTTGCCCATCTGACCCAACTGAGCCTTGTCCTACAATAGGTCGATCTGGTATCTACAAGAAATTCAGCTGCCCTCCTCATCACTACAATGATCTTGCTAGTCTTATTTTTAACACAAATGATGATGCTATCCGAAATCTATTTAGCAAGAATACTGATGATGAGTTTGAGCACACATCAATGCTCATCTTTTTCATCACATGCTTTTTTCTAAGTATCTTTAGCTATGGAGTTGTTGCTCCAGCCGGTCTTTTTGTGCCAGTTATTGTGACTGGTGCATCTTATGGACGCTTTGTTGGAATGTTGGTTGGCAAACAGTCCAATCTTAACCATGGCCTTTATGCTGTACTTGGCGCTGCCTCCTTTCTTGGTGGATCCATGAGGACAACAGTTTCTCTCTGTGTAATTATGCTAGAACTTACCAATAACTTGTTATTACTCCCCCTAATCATGATGGTGCTGTTGATATCTAAGACTGTAGCAGATACTTTCAATGCAAATATATATGACCTTATAGTGAAAGCCAAAGGTTTGCCTTATTTAGAAACTCATGCTGAACCATATATGAGGCAGCTAACAGTCAGCGATGTAGTCACTGGCCCACTTCAGATGTTTAATGGCATTGAGAAGGTTCGTAACATAGTGTTTGTTCTCAAAACTACAGGACATAATGGGTTTCCTGTTATTGATGAGCCTCCAATTTCAGAAGCTCCAGTGTTATTTGGCATAATCCTTCGTGACCATCTTCTCACGTTGTTGAAGAAGAAAGCTTTCTTGTCCTCACCTATGGCATTAAGTGATGATGTCTGGCATAAGTTTTCATCAGATGATTTTGCAAAAAAGGGTTCAAGCAATGGTCTAAAGATAGAGGATATACAGTTAACCGAGGAAGAGATGGACATGTTCATAGATCTACATCCATTTACTAATGCTTCGCCTTATACTGTTGTGGAAACAATGTCACTGGGAAAGGCCCTTACACTTTTTCGAGAGCTTGGTTTGAGACACCTGCTTGTGGTACCTAAGATCTCCGGTGTAAGTAATTTTCTCATGCCTTGTTGCAATTTTGCTTGGGATAGTTAAAAGATGTATTGTTGGTTAAATAGGGTGCCAAATTTGGTTGGAGAGTATCTGCATTCTGTTTCTTTTTTTCCTGATAAAAACATCTTAGTTCCAGTTCTGTTCTGTTTGTATTCATTATTATTAAGTCATGAATTAAAGTTGGCTGAAATATGTTTTTAGTCTATGTAAATATAATCCTCTAAAATTTTAAGTTTTAAAAATAGTCTCTGACATTATTTACTGATGATGTGGCATGCATCTAGATATATTATATCATTTGTCACCTCATAATAGTAGCTATTTTATGGTTATATGCATGCTACATCATATCATGAAGTAGTATCAAGTACAGTTTAATAATAAATTTGTGATGACTTAAATCAAATTTAATGTTATTTATTGGGACTAAAAGCATATTTATGCCATTAAAGTTTTATGTGTTTTTGATAAGAGAGGAAATTTTGGTGAGGAAGAAAAAAGATTTTTAATAATTTCCTCTTTTATTTTGCTAAAAAATGAAGTTTGATTATATCTGTTAAATATACCCAACTTGCATTCACAGTTTATCCCTGTCAGGTCTTTTTCACCTCCTGTTGGTCATTAACTGGGTCCATTTTTTTTTTAATCTGTAGTAAAAGTTATTATATGGATTGATGTATCTAATTTGCCCCTTATTTATGCCTTTAATCTTCTATTCTTGCTACTTTTAGTTTATCATCACCAATCTATTATTTTTCTCTGCTGTTACACTCATCTAAGTTCTATGCATACTAACTGCAGAGATCACCTGTGGTGGGTATACTGACACGGCACGATTTCATGCCAGAACATATATTGGGTGTGCATCCTTATCTAGTAATAAACAGGTGGAAAAGATTAATACTTTAGCAACCTTGTTTAGGAAAATTTTTTGGGTGTACAAGCAAAAGCTACCAAGTTTGAAGTTCAACAGCAACGCCTACATATTCTTGTCTTTTAGGCCATGAGAGCAAGGGTACCAAGCTTAATTATTCTAGTGTTGCAGAAGGCATAAATTTTTTCGCCCCCAACTTCATCATGGAATCCAGTGCTGGAGTCACATTTACAAAAATCAATGTATGATATGAGCCCTTTTTGAACTGTTCTTTATTGAATAATCATGTGAATGCGTGCCATAGGATATACACGTAAAAATTTGTTCTTTGGAATTAGAAAAAGGCTGCTTAAAAGCGGGCCTTTGATCAAGTGAGTTACCTTTTTTCTTTAATTGCATTACACTTTTACGTCATAATAATTAATCAGTGGTTGATTGTGGGTTCTTCGTTTCTGCCATAGAAAGAATGGAGTTTAATTTCCATATATTCAGATTTTATGTATCTAATGGCTGCTTGTTTGGATTGGTGCTTCATGAGCAAACCAGCCTGACCGAGCTTAGAGAACATTATACTACAATCGTGTTTTCTAATATTGCTGAAAGTTAAATCATCAAGATTTGGTTAAGAAATCTAAAACTCGAATAGTTAATATTTGGTTAAGAAATCTAAAACTCGAATAGTTAATTGTGTGACCATTAGGATATGGTTGAAAGAAATGAAGATGATGATATCGTTGTTACAATTTGGAACTCAGCCATTTAACAATCAAGTTTTGCAATTTACCAATTTTTGTAGCCATTTTTCACTAGTTAATGACCAACCATCCTAAAGTATGAAAACTAGCACAACCACAGGTAATCAGAAGCTATTGTTTCGTTGGATCAGTCATTCACGTAACCAAGGTGGTTCCTTAACAAAATTATATGTTACAAAATCCGCTGTGAACTCTACAAAGAAAAATATTCCAGTGACAAGTCATGGAAAGTTGCTCAAAGCACTTTTTTTCTTGGGGCTGAGATAAACACACTCGAAATTTGTTATTTTTATTCAGTTGTTCTCTGAGACAGCTTAAACTGGTTGCCACTTGCAAAAGTAACCTTCCACTAATCAAACTTTAGAATGACTTATGATGCAGTTCACTGTTGAATAAATAAAGTCACCTAAATGAAGACCCAAATGATATAACTTCATTTCACAATGGCTGAGACACCTTTAGGTAGGACAAAGAAGAAAGAAAAATCTAAAAGAAAACTACTGACTTCACAATATAATCACCAGCTTTACTTATTCTCTCCTTGCACTCTTGAGGTAATCTGCCCTTATTGCCCATAGTTGCTCACACACTGATTTCATGTCAGGTCTATCTGTTCTAATGGGAGCTGCACATTGAAATGCCAAATCAAACATCTTCATGAGTACATCCGCATTCACAGCTTCTTCCATTAAAGGATCCACCAATTCCACCACACTCCCTTCGTTATACTTCCTGAAGGCCTGTAAGAAGATCAGAAAGCATAATTTGAGTGCTACAAAAATGAAAAAAGACAGCAAAGTCTTTAATCTAGTACTAAAATATTTACTAAGTAGAAAAAAAAAAGGTTGGAATTCACTAGATAATATTGCATTGATAATGCTTTTTGGTAAAGGTGCTATAAAGCCTATAAGTATGTCCAAAAAGGAAAGGCACTACTAGCTTCAAGGGGAGAACGCAGTAGCTTAATCAAACTACAAAATTTTGCACCCAATGGGAGCATAGTAGCATCCTCAGTTTCATCATGATATTAATATAAGACCAAAGTAAGTATAAGGTTTTGAGTACTTCTAAAGCTGAAATCAGATCAACTAAGGAGAAGCCACAAAAGATTCCAGGTTTTTTATGGCGCAGCATAAGCCTATGCAACGCTATAGCAAGTTTTTTTTTTTTTTTTCCCTTTGTATTCACCCATTGATGCAAATCCTGTTGGTTTGAAGTCTGCAACCCATTTCAAACATCCCCATCAAGAATAAATGACACAAGAAGTTTTCTTATCAAGACGTCCCTAACTTATAGGATTAGTGTTGGATGCATGCCTTAAATGCTATATCATCTTTTCTAAACATGCTAAAAATGACAATGAATACTTGTTAAAAACATGAAAAAGAAAAATAAAAAAATCCATCTTAATTAAAACAAATTATGAGCTTACCCATCTAAGTGTAACACGCTCTTCAACAGTTTTCCTTAACTCCACCGGACGGCGGCCTGTGACAATTTCTAAAAGCAAAATTCCAAATGAGTAAACATCACTTTTGGGAGTGAGTTGGTATGTTTTCATATACTCAGGATCCAAATAACCAACTGTGCCCTTCACTTTGGTTGAAATGTGTGTTTGATCAGTGTTCACTGGACCCAGCCTTGCAAATCCAAAATCAGCAACTTTAGCTCGCATGTTTTCTGTCAGAAGAATATTGGATGATTTCACATCTCGATGGATAATTTGCTTTTCTGTTTCAAGAGAAGACAAAGGTTAGGCATCAGTTGGCAGATCCTTAAATATTATTAAGACTATAGGGAAACTATGCTGCATAGATATGCTAAATCAAGTTAAAAACTGAATGCTTAACAATGGACTCATTGTCAAGGTAATAATATATCTATAATCTATCCTTACCAAGAACCAAAAAAATATATCTATCAATTAGGAATATATGGACATATTCAGCTGGCAGAGAAGGTTGATTTTATAGAATTATGCTAAAAAGGTAATAATGCTTACTACTTGAGTATGATGCCTTTTCAATAGACTGTTTCAATAAACAAACAGCATATAACACAGTCTAAATTAGTTATCTTAAAATTCAAGACTTCACAACATTTATTTATATTCTAATTATGCAAGATATAGTGTAGAACAATCTTACAGTTGGCTTGTATGCAGAATAAAATGTAGGTGAACAGTACAAGCAGAATACAGTAATCACTGACCTGCATACAGATGCAGATAGGTCAAGCCATGAGCAACATCAATTGCAATCTCAAGGCGCTGATTAAAGTCTAGGATTTTTCCACGCAGACCTGCCAATTATATGGACATGACATTCCACATTGGATTCCATATTCAGAGACAGATATTGGCAAATAACAGGTCATAGTCTTACCATCCAAATGTTCTCTAAGAGTACCATTTGGCACATACTCTGTAATAAGAAGGCGTTCATTTCCTTTGTCAATATAACCGAGTAGCTTCACCAGGTTTCGATGATCAATTTTGGCCAAAAGTTCTACTTCACTGCTGAATTCTGTTCTCAAATTATCAAAATGTTCCTATACAACGTAGGCGCGTCAGCACAGAGAAAATAAGTACTTCTACTGTTTCTAATGATGTAGAATAGTCAAAGTAGTTCAGAATTGAATATTGATACATATTTTTTTTTTCCCTAACAAAACAGAATCCAGAAATTTAGTACTCTAAACTTAGCTGGAGATTTTAAAATTACATATGAAGAGTTGCTTACCCTTTTTGCACGTTTTACAGCCACAATCAGGCCATCCTCTAACTTAGCCTTGTAGACAGTTCCAAAACCTCCTTCTCCAATTTGTAATGTTTCTGAGAAATTTCGGGTAGCTCTTGCAACCTGACTTAGGTTGAGATGTAATGATTGAAGTCTACTGAGTTTTGGAGACATTGAGAATCTTGACGGACTGGGTGGCACCCTGAGTGGACTGGCCGGAATCCTATCAGGAATCTTATCAGTAACGGAGGCTTCGAAGGAGGAGGCTGAATCCACTACAATAGCAAAATTGTTCATTACTTCTTATCAAGTGTAACCGCAAGCATAATCTTGAAAAAAATGCAAGAAATAAAAAGCATATAACAACAATGGAAACTGAAATTTTAAGGTAATCTAGTAAGTAGTAACAGATTACTTATCAAATTGTGTCCATGCCAGAATATCCCTCTCCCAAATTCAAAATATGAATGCACATGTCTAGCATGGAAGTTAACCAGACAAAGTCCAAAAAAAGGTGGTACAACTTTATATAACCATCAACTCACTTGAATTTGGATCCTTGGCCAGAACAGCGTGAGAAGTTGCTTTCCGTCTCTTCCCATAGAAACAAGGACAAAGAACGGCACAACATACCAACAAAGCTCCACCCGCATAAAGCCCAACTTGATGGGTTGACAAAGGCTCAGAATCTCCTTGTGATGTGGATTTATTGCTTACATCCTTCTGCAGAAGTTTCCTCCCTGCCTTTGAAGGTAAATTCACTGCAAACAATAAAAGCCAATACAAAGGTTAAGTGGAAATCTACGAAAAAAAAAAGTGCATTACTATATTTGCAAACCATACTCAAACTAACATCCAATAGAACCATACCAGAAGTTTCATCCAACACACAGTTGACAGTTCCAAAGTAGTCCTTCACATCACAGCCATTTGCAATATACAATTGGAGTGCCTGACAGAAAGCAACCTTGTCTACTACATTCCCTTTTATGTAATACAGTTCCTGACCATGACTAGAATATGAATATGCAACCCAATCAGTGCCACAATCCGTTGACAGTAAGATAACTGCAGAGCCAAAAATTGTTGACAGTTGCAGTAACAGCACCAAGAATAACCCAGCGATAGACATTCTTAACTAAACAGTGGAGTCCAATAGGAAAGCATTTCCTGTGTATAAAACTACCAAACAAAACCACCACAGTCCTGATCAAGCATCATAGTTTAGCGCAAGACACAAATCTTCATTTACAATAACATTGACAAAACTGAAGTTTTTTTTTTTTCATAAAAAAACTCCAACATATCTCCAGCAATCGATCAAGCCTTTTATCCCAATCCACCAAATTGGGCCACCGTGAATTGAATCTCTGCAACAAAAGGCAAGTTCAATTTCTGACAGTGAGAACAAAAGATCAACGTAAAATAGGAGTCTGCCTTGGACGAGTCACAGTTGTTTCATTAATTTCTCCAAAACCTCGAAAACCCAATCGGACAAAAAGGAGCAAGCTGGCTAGGAATCCAACAACATGGAACACACTTCCAATTACCCAATTCCCCCCAAAAGAAGATGAGACAAAAGAACAAAACTTTCCGAATTCAATCAACGGAAAGGTGGTTTCGTGGAACCTGGGGCGTGCAAAAGAAGCAGCTAGGAACTGAGAGAAGGAGAGAAACACTAGAGGCGGCTATGGAAAAATGAAAAAAAAAATATTAAATAAAAATAATAAACAACAGAGGCAAACCCAGTTTTACACTTCACAAAATGTCCCAAATAGGAGCACTAGCAGATAAGAATCAACATTATTCATTAATATCAAGCATAGTCTGCATAGAGATAGAAGGAGAGAGGAGAGAGAGAGAGACAAGAATAGAAGCAACGGTGGACTCTGACGTAAACCAATTGCCGTCTCTACGTAATATATTCGAACGAATATATATATATATATATATATACCCAAAAATTTGGCTCGTGTTATTATAATTGCCATTTATATAATTATAAAAAATTGGTGGAGAAAATGTGAAGATGCCGTGGTTGACCGTCGGGGCATGGAAGTTGGGTGTGGAAAGCAATTGGAATTGCTAGGAAAGTACGTGGAGGGCATTTCTGTCATTTCGAAAGTTCATCATTGAAGTGATATCAGGTTTAAACTTTTTGAGTCTGAACAGGGTTTTCACGTGTGATAGAAATGGTAATTAGTACAGTAAGTTATATAGATGACAATTTATAAGTCTTGTGTTAAAAGACCAGAAGAATAATTTTCTAAACCAAAAACGTACGTAGCTGAATTGGATATGATGGTTGAACTCCAATTGGAATTGTATAAATGAAGAGCGTCGTTTGCTTAAACAATGCAACAAGTTGATGAGAGAGAAAAACCAGAGTCAACAAGAGAGAATGGGTGCTCAACGTTCATAATGGGCTTAGTTTGATGGCTCAATGTTCAGTTTCCTGCTTAATTGAGCCACACAATTAAAACATATATTTATGAAAATTTAACAATTGTTTAATAAATCTTTTATGAACTTCTAACTTCACCTTTTACAAAAGTTACTAATTTCCATCAAATATTTGTAAATTTTCTTCATCTGAAACCATTAAAATAATCTCTAATTATTTGAATGCAAAAGTTTAATTTTAGATAAAAATAAACCGATAGAAAGACTTTATTATGATAACGTTAAATTTTGCAGAAATAAATTCAAATGCTGTCGAAAATTTGAAATTATGTGTGAATTGTTATAGAGAAACTAAAAGAAAACTTAAACTTTGATTTTATCATCATGTAATTATATTTTAACGTAAGACTTTCGCAATCACGTGTTCTTACGGTACAAGTCATAAAATATTTATTATCATTTATTAAATGATATTAATCACTTAAAAATATTAAATTTTAGTTTTACCATATTGAAGTTTCTCATTTAAAATTTTTATTTAAACTATTTAACTCGTGTCTTGGTGTAAACATATTTTTATACACTTTATAAAAAAAAATTAATTTTAATTTTAATGTATTGTCAATGAAAACGTTTTACATTTTCAATCAATAACATTTTATTTAAATATAAATTTATATAATTGTTATAATAAATAAAATTATTGTTAATATGATAATTTATGATTGAGTAACAGTGTAAAAAAATTATATTATTGACAAATATAAATTAAATTTATATCTTTAATGCTTGAGATCTATTTTAAACTTTAGTAAAAACTAGTTTAAAACAACTCAGTGCATGATAAGATGCATTTATTTTCATTAAGCACCAACCATTATTTCTTTGTTTTGCTGTGCAGAAAAAGTATTATAGCTTCTTATTTTTTCCCTACATATAACACCACTTATATATACACATTTTCATCTTGTAATATTCACCGTTGAATTTTTTGTTCTTTTGTTTACATTTTATCTTAAACAGGTGTGTACTTCGATCAGTCACAAAAATAGAGAATGACTGCCATCGATAATTATTACAAATAATAATACGAAATGAATTTAAATTTAAATACATTATGTGAAGTATATTTTTTAATTTTTTTTATTTAAATAAAAAAAAAAAAATTGTACTATAATAAAAATATATATTTTTTTTCAAATCATAAGTATTTTGTACTAAACACGTTTTTGTTTGAGCTGTGTAAGATTATTATGAGTATAATAAAGGTATCTTTTTAAATATTAAATATTTAAAAGATAAAATGTTTTTTAATTTTATACGTAGAATGACAATGAACTAAAAAAAACACTAACTTATAGTTTTATTTTTCTTAATTTATTTATTTTATTAAAAAATCATAAAATGTTATTTGAACTTTTACAAATCTTATTTGAACTTGTGAAATCAATTTATGAGATTTTAAAGTTATTTATGATTCATTTTACTTTTTTTATGAAGTTGTAAAATATTTTAACTCATTTAAATAATTTTTTGATGAAAATTATTACATAAAGATTCATATTAAAAATGTATAGAAAAAATTTATTTAAAATTTTTATTCAAACACATATTATAAGTTAAATTTTAACCATAGTCAAACATGTTTAAATAATGATTAAAACAACACTTTTCGTGAAGAAACTATTTTTAAAACAACTTAAGTGCTCTCAAATGCACTTTAAATCTCAACAAATTTGAGAGCCTTGGTAATTAAACAAATAGGATATAGTTGGTCGAAGGTTAATGGATAAAGATGAAAAAAAATTTTGGGTGCAATAAATTATGTACTCTTATAAAAAAAATTTGCTAAGAATATTATTATTTCATATTTGAAATATATATTCAGAACGTAAACTCACGCAAGAGGTAAGAGAACCATTATACATGAATATTAAACTGTCAAAATAATTTAAATATGACTTATCTTTTATGTAAAAAGCTCAATGTTTATAAATGTAAACATTTATTTTTCAAGATAGAAATAATACTTAAGTGTAATTGTAGACACATTTGAAAAGAAAAAAACTTTAAACTATTTAAATTTAGCGGTGCTTATACAATAACAACTCACACTGTAAATTGTAGTTTGTAATTTTATGTAATAATAAAAAAATAAATCAAAGCCAAGGACGAGATATAACCTTGTTTTTTTTTTAGAGTTAATCTGTATAAGTCATAAAATGCTACCAATTTATTTTATTTTATACAATTATTTGTTTCTTCTTTAAATTAAACTAAATGTTTTAAAAAAAATTCATGTTTTTAAATCTATAGAAATTATTTAAAAAACATATTTAATATTTATTTATTGTTTTTAACTTGAAATTTTAAAATTTATTATTAATTAGTTAAAAATAATTTTAAGTGAAAATTTTAGCATGTTACTAAAATTTTACATGTCAATAATAATAAAAAAAAGAAGAAGCACTTTTTGGTGGTGGATCGTTGGATTCCCTGCTCATTGGGCTTATCAATAGGTACAGAAAAAAGGCCGTTTTCTTATGAGAACATCAGATCCATTTGAGGGTCAGGAGTCGTTTGGCTTGAAAAGAAAGGTATGTGGTTCTGTCAATTATTAAAATATTTATAAAAAAAGTTATATAGAAACAATAAAAATCAATGTTTGACCTGTTATTTTTAAAGGGTGTGTTGACAAATATTGTTAGAGTGTTGATGATAAAAAGATATTAATATTTATAATAAAATAAAAAAATTACAAAAATAAACATTTTTATATTTTTTATTTAATATCTTAAAGAAACTAGTGAATGTTTTTCTTTTTCAATTACGGTATTTAGGTTAAATGAAATAACAAAAGTTACATATTTTGACATTCTAAAAACTATTTATTGAGTACCAAAGAAACCCACATGAACTAACACTTCCTCTTGTTCTCCAATATGACAGAAATGGATGTCCGTACTGGGGTGATAGCAGCGAAAATCAGTGTTTCTGTTCGTTACACAAACACATTATAGCAATTTTCAGAATCGCATTGTCAAAATTCAATTTTATTTCGAATTTTTTATTTATAAAATGTCTTAACCAATAACTATAAACATTTGTTATATTAAGTCAACATAATACACAGTCTTTCATTGATTTATCTTAATATTTTACTCTTCTTTTGATAAATGAATTTTCATTTTAAAATCATAGAAAGTTTTGAAGGGAGACGAAAAAAATAAAATAAAAACACAACTCTCAATATATGAGCTATTAGCTTAATACTAAGAATATTCGATATTGTCTTACCCAATTCATCTTGGTCTGAGTATTTCAACTGTAATCTATTTTGTATCTCTTAAAATAAACAAACAAATAAATTTTACTAAATGATGATAAGTCTATGTTAATATTGAGGTCACGAGTGAAACTTGGGTAGATACATATCCAAAACATTGTCTGTACCCAACACATTATCTTTGAATACAATTAATAATAAAGTGACACGTCACTTAAAATTTAAAGCTAAAATAAAACAATTTTAAGTAAAATTAAAACGCAATGACTGTGATTATGATTCAACGTTTAGCAATAATCTAAGTAGCTACTATTTAGCGTGTTGCACCTTTCATCGTGACGTCCATAATCAACCAATGCCTTAAATTATTGTATCAATCATGGCAGAAAATTCTCTGAGGTACAACAAGAGCATAAGGAGGGAGAACAGCAAATGATAGCTTTTTTTTTTTTCTTAATTTATAATTTAATTCAATTTTTGTTGTTATCGTTTTAATGAGTTGTCAATACTTTACTAGTTATATCACACGTCACTTTTATACTTTTATTACATGTATAATGTGAGTTAATGTATGTTTAAAAATACAATTAAATTCATGTTAACATGAAAAAAAAAATTTGTTGCATATCTGTAGTAATTACTAATTATAACCTGTAACGAAATGTAATTTTTTTACATTTTTATTTAAACGATAAATTTTTATGACGAAAAAAATTGAGGCATCTTGGTCCTAAAGTTGAGTTATGTCTCATGGCATGTGCCTAGCAAGAGACAAGTACATGAGGTTGGAGCTAATTTGATACCTGTTGACCACATTGCATGTTCTTTTTTTATGCTACAAAATTAATAGATTAGGACTTTCACATGTAATAGTATGACAACCTACACGTGTTGTTTGCATGTTGAACTGACGAGCCAACTCTTTTGTTGGAACGGACAGCTGATTCAACGCCTCTCAAGAACTAAGAAAGATGAATTTTAATATAATAATAGTTTTACATATTTTTAATAAAAAATTATTATTTTAGATGTTTAAAATTAACTATTGAGTTTAATATTAATAAATTTAAATAAATAAACTTTTTATTTTCTTATTTTATAATAAAAAAATTATTTTAAAATTACTGGATAAAGTGAAAAAAAATAAAATTCATTATATTACACATCAGATTTTTTTTTCACTTTTCTTTTTGTTTTATCCATCAAATCATAGACTAAAAGGATTTGCCTATGTCCCGTGCATGGACAGTGACCGGTAGGCACATATTCGAATTCCGTTTTCCTTATCAACTTTATTCTTTTGCGCACTCAAAACAAAGGTGCTTATGGATTTTAGGTTCTCAGTAAAAAATTACAATGATGATTGTATTCCATTGTATGGAATCCATACTTTATACAAAAGAGATAATTCCGTGCTAGCAGTAGCAGGAAAACAGCAACGTATAATGGTTTTTTTTCCCATCTATTATTAACATACCGTTAACAAGGATTCAAAGCTTATTTAAAATAGATTATGTTTAAAATATTTTGAATTTTCATTAATTATTTTCAATCTATTTTTATTCTTTTTTCATATGACTTGTTGTTTTTAATTTATTTCAATTTTTTATTTATTAAGTTATGACATAAATTATCATTTTAAAAATATTAAATAAATACTTAATTTAAAACTGTTTTCACACACATCATTGATCTATAAAGTTAACATTTTAATTTTCTATTTTATTAATTAACTTATATATATATATATATATTAATATTACGTGAACTTTCATTTGTAGTTCACATAATTTTTTAATTGCAAATATATACATGAATTTCATTGTTTTATTTTTACCTTTTTTTTAATCCTGAGTTTCTTAAGATCTAAACTTACAGTTTTTTTTTTCTAGTATTTACTTTAATTTACAATCTCACCTTTTTATTATTTAATCAGTTTTTAATATGATGGATGGGCCTGCCAAGCAATTATAAATACTATTTAGTTTTTCTCCTTTTTTTTCATTTTTTCATTAATTCGTCATCAACAGTAATTCACTTTACAAAGTACTATTCATTTTTTTCCACCTTTAACCATCAAATCAACATGTTAAGTTATATTGTATTGGATAAAGAAACAATGGATGAGGTTTACTCTTATTTCATACGTAATTGTTGGCGACAACTATGGTATGGTTTGTGGTACATATTTAGTAAGCTTTGCAGTGGATTTAGACAATAATAAAGGTGAATGGAAGTCTCATTAAACTGAATGGACATCAGTGACAAAATTGTTAGTTTCAGGCGAGTTGCACTTGCACTCATTTACTCTCACTCTTGTACTTTTCTTTTTAATAATTTAATTTTAAAACCAATAATTATTTAATATTTGATTTACAATCATCAAAATGAATACACTATATATTTTTAAAATGTATAAATTAAAATTTATAGATGTTTAATTTTATCAAAATCAAACATAAATAACTTTTGTAATATATAATTATAATTCAATAATTGAATAAAAAATTATATTAAATTATTACCAAGTAAGAATGAATGTAACTTATATTGGTGTATTATATTAACTTATATTAAAAAATATATTTGTTGTGTTTTTAATAGAAGACAACTTTTTTTTTGTTTTTTAGATAATGCTTTTAGGACATTATTTACATTTTGTCATATTTTTTTAATAATAATTCTAACGTAATCTAAAGATTGTATACAATTATAATCTATGTTTTTACTTGTTAAATTCGTTAATGATGCATATATAGGAGTCGCATGGATAGTTTGAAAAGCAATCCATAAGTATAACGAAGGAAACAAATGTGACACAATATTACAAATTAGTGAAATAACATAAATTTTAAAAGTTATAAAACGAATCAGAAACCAAGCCTTAATTTAGTTTCATTTATTCTCTTCCTTTTTAACTAAAGTTTTTAATAAAATAACAAAAGATTATAAAATATATTCCTCTCCCTTTAATCTCTAGTTTAGACTGTGTGTCTCTTGGTTACCTAACTTTTTTTAAATAAATAAAATTAACAACAAAACTAGTTTTACTTAATTTTATAATTAAATGAACTTAATTGTTTCAAAGCACTTAAAAGATTAAAATCAGGCAGCCTAAACTAAATGAATTAAAATCCAATTAAATCATTCTTTATTTATTTTATTTTTTTTCAGTTGTGATATCTTCTTGTCTTCTAAGCATGCCTAAACAAAAGAATCTGCTACACAAGAGTCAATCTGTTACTGACCTAACATACCGGAAAGAAGAATAGTACAATTACTATAAAATGTTAAGGACATTGGTTGGATACATTGCTCAATTATGATTGCTTAATTTGATTAAGGTGCACTCTAATAATGGAGATCACAAACTAAAAAATTCGGGAAGTGCCAAAAATAATATCTGCCGTTCATCCAGGGGTATTTGAGTATTTTCAAATAATTTGACAATTTTTTTTCAAGATAACGTATGATTTTAGTTGCGAAAAGTGCACGCACCAGCATTATTTTTAAGAAGATACCTGGTTAAAGAATTACATAAGTTTATTCTTTTTAAATAAATTTAACTAAAATATATTCATAATGTAATTCTTTCTATTGTCATTGGTTTATCAGTACACATTATTAATTTTTATAATTATATTTTTAAAAATCATATCAGTTATAAACTTTAATTAATTGACAATGATCACATTTTACGTTGATAATACACTAAATTAAATTAATTAAAAATATTGTTAATTTATATTTTTCATAAATTTTAATTAATGTTTTTAAACTTAAATATTATTGGAATCTTATTAGTATTAATTTTTAAAAATAAAAAAATGTTGTTAAAAATATTTGTTCTAAATTTACATTTTATATAATAAATATTTAAGCATTTTGTTTTTTATTTTTAAAAATAACTTTTTTAAATCAAAATACTTGTTTGTTAACATGAATTTTTAATTTTAAAAAATAAAATAAAAAAACAAATAAGCTCTTACTTTTTCATAAATTCTTATTCTTTTCAATTGTTTAAAATTAAGCTTAAAAGCTGATATGAACATTTTTATTATCAATGCTTGTTGATTAACGTTTAAAAAACATTTGCACTTAGAAGCATGCCATGTGTCTGCCATTCTTCCAGTTTCTGTTTTTTTATTTATATAACAATAATAATAATATATTCACGGCGACTCCTTGGACCAGCGAGGGACTAACGTGATCCTAATGGAAAAAAGAAGAAGAAACAAATAACGTTACAATCAAACTTTATAATTCTTAAATTTGTAACTCCAACAGTATTGCTTTTAATAAAATATATTTAGACAAAAATTATTATTTGTACCTATTTTATTAGAGAAGAGTTTAATTTAAATAATTGAAATTTTTAATAAAAATTTCAAATGTTTATATTAAATTGTAAAACTACTAATATATTACAACGGTAGAGTGCCATGTCATTTTCGTGTTCGAATTTGTGATTCTCACTTATTACCATCTATCTTATTTAGAATTCCTTAACGTATTATTTTTAATTTTATCTTTCAATTTTTGTTAAAATTACTTATAAATTTCACAACTTTATATCAATAACTTATATATATTTATGTATCATAAAAATATTTATTATTAAAAAGCATAAATTTTTGATTTTAATAAAATAATTAAAAAAATGATAAACTCACCTGACACGGAAACTGAAGCTAAATTTAACAAAACAAGTGCTCTAATGTTAACTAATATTTGAATTGTGTGGTTAGCTAATAAAAGAATTTTGGGGATGTAAGATGACATAAATATATAAACTAATATGAAAATGGTAGAAATGAAAAAATAGAAGGGCTGGGAATTAGCATGAAACAATCGCAGTTGACAAATGCGAAGGAAATAGGAATGGTGGGGGGTCCCATCCCATCCAATCCGTGGGATGGCATGACTTGTTAGGACCGAAACAAAAATCCGAAAAAGAAAAGAGAAAAACGCCTTTAACCGCTTAAAGGCCGGGACGCTTCCGCAAACACAGTTCTAAATCACTCTCTCTCACTCAATTCAATTTCCAGAGTTCTCCCTCGGAATATTCGTTTTTTTTTTCTTTTCGTTATAATAATTTGTATGGTTGGTCACATGATATCTTCTTATTCTTGAAGTCTCTTTAAAAGCAGAATTAGCGACGGGAAGAAGAAGTAAGAGTAGGGATAGATGGCAGGAAACGATTGGCTGAACAGCTACCTGGAGGCGATACTGGACGTTGGGCCTGGCCTCGACGATGCTAAGTCCTCTTTGCTTCTCAGAGAAAGGGGGAGGTTCAGTCCCACGCGCTACTTCGTTGAGGAGGTTATTGGCTTCGATGAGACCGATCTCTATCGCTCCTGGGTTCGGGTACTCTCTCCTTCTCTTACTCTCTCTCATTCCTCTCTCTCCCTCCATTCCCACTCGTTTCTGTTTCACATGCTAGGCTTCGTCCACCAGAAGTCCTCAAGAGAGGAACACCAGGTTGGAGAACATGTGCTGGCGGATTTGGAACCTCGCTCGCCAGAAGAAGCAGGTTCTGTTTTATTAGTTAGTTAGTTTCACTGATTGATGATGATGATGATGATGATGATGGTGTGTTGGTTGGATTTGAGTAGCTGGAGAGTGAGACGGCGCAGAGACTGAACAAGCGTCGACTGGAGCGTGAGAGAGGACGCAGGGAAGCTACTGCGGATATGTCTGAGGATTTGTCCGAAGGAGAGAAGGGAGATCCGGTGAGTGATGTTTCGGCTCACGGCGATGCCAACAGAGCAAGGTTGCCGAGAATCAGTTCTGCCGATGCCATGGAGACTTGGGCTAACAGTCAGAAAGGGAAGAAGCTCTACATTGTACTCATAAGGTACAGTTTGGCTGGTTCCTTTTTTATGTGAATTAATCCGTAATTGAATCAAGCTCTGCTGATGATTACTGTTGTAAATTGTGCAGAGTGCACTTTGTGTAATCTCTTTAATATCTCTACTGTGCTTGATTTCATTGATTTTAAAATTGAGTATGCGTGCGCAGTATTCATGGCCTAATAAGAGGTGAGAATATGGAGCTAGGGCGTGATTCTGATACGGGTGGTCAGGTATTGCTTTTGTTTGATCTTGTTTCGTATTAAGATTGTCTTTGCTTTTCCTCTCCTGATTGCACGCTGCTGTGCTGGCTCCACTCATGTGGGAAATAAAATCTTTCTGTTTGTCTGTCTCTGTGTGTCTCTCTGCTGAATAGGTTAAGTATGTTGTGGAACTTGCGAGAGCCTTGGGATCAATGCCAGGAGTTTATCGGGTTGATTTGTTGACTAGACAAGTATCAGCGCCGGACGTAGATTGGAGTTATGGGGAGCCAACAGAAATGTTGACTCCGAGAAATGCTGATGATTTTGGAGATGACACGGGAGAGAGTGGTGGTTCTTATATCATTCGTATTCCCTTTGGTCCAAGAGATAAATATATTCCTAAAGAACTTCTCTGGCCTTACATTCCTGAATTTGTTGATGGAGCTCTTAATCATATTATACAGATGTCCAAAGCCCTTGGGGAACATATTGGCAGTGGGCATGCTGTCTGGCCGGTGGCCATCCATGGGCATTATGCAGATGCCGGTGACTCTGCTGCTCTTCTATCTGGTGCTTTAAATGTTCCAATGCTTTTTACTGGCCATTCGCTTGGTCGAGATAAGTTGGAACAACTTTTAAAGCAAGGTCGACTATCAAGGGATGAAATAAATGCGACTTACAAGATTATGCGCAGGATAGAAGGTGAGGAATTAGCCCTTGATGCTTCTGAAATAATAATAACAAGCACTAGACAGGAAATAGAAGCACAGTGGCGCTTGTATGATGGTTTTGATCCAGTATTGGAGCGTAAACTAAGGGCAAGGATCAGGCGTAATGTGAGCTGCTATGGGAGATTCATGCCTCGCATGGCAGTAAGTACTGGATCGCAATTAAACTTTTATGATTCTACTTCTTAATGACCATTCTTGAGGACCATGATTTTGAGTCGTAGATTTCAGGTGGCTAGAGTTAAAATTTCAAGTTTATATACCTATGCATTGAGATATACTGAGTCCATTTTTCTATCTTAGTGACTGATTTGGGCCCTTTTTTAACCTAAGTCTCGAAGCAAAATGTCTTGGTGCTTGCTTAATTTTGCCCAGATAGGCTCATATACCAGCATATTCTCTGCTTTTCTAGTCATTTGATTTCATATTTTAACTTGGGACGAGACATGGAGTTTTGCTTTTTCATTTTCTTTTGTACTTGTATGGCTTATTAGTTTGTCTGGGAAAGGAATACTTTTATTTTGTCGTCATGCAAATAAACCTGGAGCAAAGTATCTTTCTTTCTCGTGAATACATTGGGTTAGAAAGACAATCAGCATGGCTTCTAGCTTGCACAGTACTTCTTGATAACAGCTGTTATTGCGGAGTTCTGTTCCAGATGCAAGATTTCATTTTAGTAATATTTCATTGCAAGTGGTATATCATGTAAAATTAGATGTTATAATATCATCGCACCTTGCAGATAATTCCACCTGGAATGGAGTTCCATCATATTGTTCCACAAGATGGTGATATAGAAGGGGAACCAGAAGGGAATTTGGACCATCCTGCCCCCCAAGATCCACCTATTTGGTCCGAGGTTATAAACATGCTTTCTTCATTTCATTTTAATGTGTCCTGGATAATTAGCCAGTTCAATGCTTTTATTTTATAATTGGTTAGATTGAATGGGTATTGACTTTCCTAATTCTGTTTGTAATTTAATAATACAAAAAGGGAATTTAATGCCAATTTAAACTTTGTGATTACTAGATAATGCGCTTCTTTATCAACCCTCGCAAGCCTATGATACTTGCCCTGGCAAGACCAGATCCTAAGAAGAACATCACAACCTTGGTGAAAGCATTTGGAGAATGTCGTCCTCTTCGAGAGCTTGCCAACCTTGTATGAAACTATGAAAGATTAGTCTACACTTTTTTATTATCATTTGCTAGACTGATAAATTATGTCCCTTCTTTGGCTTTTCAGACATTAATTATGGGTAACCGTGATGGAATTGATGAAATGTCAAGCACAAGTGCTTCTGTTCTTCTTTCGGTACTTAAGCTGATTGACAAGTATGATTTGTATGGGCAAGTGGCATATCCTAAACACCACAAACAATCCGAAGTTCCTGACATATATCGTCTAGCAGCAAAGACAAAGGTAACTTTATCTATTTGATTGGAATTCATGATGATGTGTCAATTTAGACATAAAATAAAACAAGAAAATTGATGTAACTGTCTACTTCTCTTAAACATAGTTGTTAAATTTTGAAGTGCTTTTGAGACTTATTTGTTCAATTTTTGAAATATGAATTGTGAATCGAAGCATATCACCCAATTAGAAACACATTAATGAGAAACTTCAATATGCACAATTCAACATCTAAAACTTTAAGGAAATACTCGAAAGTCTCGAATACAAAGCCTATGTTTCAGAAAAATTACAATTCAAATATTTCATCAAATCATTGATAAATGGATTCCATATGTCCTGTCCCCCTACCAAATTTTTCTTGTAAAACAAATTTCAGTAATTTGTTGATCCTTATCCTTCCTTGTTACTTGATTTCAGATTGATAATCAATTTTTTATTTCCTAGCTTAGTATGAGATAGAAATATACTCAACGAATCGTAATAAACTAGTGTGAAAGAAATGAAGTCTTAATCTCTTGTCCTTTTCAATAAACCAGTCATTCCCAGACAGGATCTTGTCTTTCTTGTACTTCCTTTCACATTATTTATATTTTTTCTATATAGCTAGATAAAGTGTGTGTATGAGCAAGTGATTATGTGAAACCTATACTTCATAGGAATGGAAACTTCTACATAGAGTAAGTGGATGATTATGTGAGGCCCAAAATAGAGGAATAAAAATGAAGCAATGAAATAATCAAAATGGGTGCTTTCAGCAATGCTCCCAGTTCCTTTGCATTCAGGAATTTAAAATCTTTGACTCTTCAATTTCTTCAATGAGATCGGGTGAAAGAAAAGGTGAAAAAAGATAAAAAAAAAAGAAAGAATCCCTTTATCATATGATTTGTATTAGTAATGTGGAAACGCACCAATTCATGTTCATATTGCATGATTCAAAACCTTTAGTGATTCATCACATAATACATATTGCCAGCTTGTCAAATTGTATCAAATCATGCAATTTGAAATTGTGCAAGTCTAACAACTATGCTCTTAAGCAATATCCTTTGAGGGTAGCTGCCTACATGGATCTGCCCTTCTTTCTTCCATCTTTAAGTCATATGAGACAGTCATAGTATCTTGTGTGAATGCATCCTCTTCTATATATTTCTCATGAGTCATGTCATACTAGTCATGTGTGAATGCATTCTTCTATATTTGTGGTGCCTGAATACACTCCACTTATGTGAGCCAATCTATATACTTTCGTCATATCTTGTTTAATTCTCTTTCCCATGCAAACTCTGTTGTCATTTTACATTTCATTCAGATCCAATATTTATGCAGGGAGTTTTCATTAATCCAGCTTTCATTGAACCATTTGGTCTTACCTTAATTGAGGTGATCTTCTCAATCTTGAATTATTTATTATTGGTTAATTTCATTTTGTAAATGCAAACATAAACTTGCATGCTTTTTGAACAGGCAGCTGCTCATGGTTTGCCAATTGTTGCCACTGAAAATGGAGGTCCTGTTGATATTCATAGGGTATGCTTACTGAATATTGGTTATGTATTGATTCATAAAGGTTCCCTTGGAAACTTCCACAATTGAGTGGTTATTAATGCAGGTACTTGACAATGGTCTGCTTGTAGATCCCCATGATCAGCAGTCTATAGCAGATGCCCTTTTGAAGCTTGTTAGCAACAAGCAACTTTGGGCTAAGTGTAGACAGAATGGGTTGAAGAATATTCATTTATTTTCATGGCCTGAGCATTGTAAGACTTATCTGTCTAAAATAGCCACTTGCAAACCTCGGCATCCACAGTGGCAGAGGAGTGAGGATGGAGGTGAAAGTTCAGAATCAGAATCACCAGGTGATTCCTTGAGAGATATACAGGACTTGTCCCTAAATCTGAAGTTTTCATTGGATGGAGAGAAGAGTGGGAGTAGTGGAAATGACAATTCTTTGGATCCTGATGGAAATGCTGCTGATAGAGGGGCAAAACTAGAGAATGCTGTTTTGTCATGGTCAAAGGGCATCTCTAAGGACATACGCAGGGGTGGGACTACAGAAAAATCAGATCAAAATTCAAATGCTGGTAAATTTCCTCCAGTAAGGAGAAGGAAACATCTATTTGTCATTGCTGTGGATTGTGACACCACTTCGGGTCTTCTTGATACCATTAAAGCCATCTTTGAATCTGCCGAAAAGGAGAGGGCTGAAGGCTCTATAGGGTTCATATTGTCAACATCATTAACAATAACTGAGATACAGTCATTTCTAATATCAGGTGGCTTGAGTCCCAATGATTTTGATGCTTATATTTGCAACAGTGGCAGTGATCTCTATTATCCATCCCTCAATTCTGAAGATCGCCCATTTGTGGTTGACTTGTATTACCACTCTCACATTGAATACCGTTGGGGTGGAGAAGGGTTGAGGAAGACTCTAGTGCGTTGGGCAGCTTCAATAACTGCTAAGAAGAGTGAGAATGATGAGCAAATTGTGAGCCCTGCCGAACAGCTTTCTACTGACTACTGTTATGCTTTCAAAGTCCGAAAGCCAGGAATGGTAATTTTTTCATTCTAGTTGTTTATATCTTTGTATTAAAAACCATTTGTATTTATCAAGATTCTGGATGAAGGTTTTTTTGCTGTTTTTATTTTTATTTTTCCTGATTTATTGTGTTATATTGTATTTTATTTCTGCAGGCTCCCCCTGTGAAGGAGCTTCGTAAGTTATTAAGAATCCAAGCTCTGCGTTGCCATCCTATATATTGTCAAAATGGGACAAGACTGAATGTAATTCCAGTACTGGCATCTCGATCCCAAGCCCTCAGGTATTGTTTAATCATCATCATTCGAGGAATTCTATTATGCCAAAAATTAGTATTGTTATCTATATTTGTGTTGCCTTTTCTCTCTTCTTTGGGATGGAGGGGTGCGGAGGTGGACAGTTACTGTATTTCTTTGCAACATTCTGGTATGAAATTGGGCAACGTCTGTGCAAATGCCCTAGGAAGATGCAAGTTTTGAACCATTCTCTTGTACATCTATAGGAAATATTTCTCTCACGTGATTTGCTCTATTGGGCTGTTATGACTATTGACAATGTTATTGCTTATGTTTATTGTGACATCTGATGATTTGATGTGCTTTTCCTTTAGATACCTATATGTTCGATGGGGTTTTGAGCTGTCAAAGATGGTGGTGTTTGTGGGAGAATGTGGTGACACTGATTACGAAGGACTGCTTGGTGGCCTACACAAAAGTGTGATATTGAAGGGAGTTGGAAGCAGTGCAATCAGTCAACTCCATAATAACAGAAACTACCCTCTTTCAGATGTCATGCCAATGGACAGCCCCAACATCGTTGAGGCAACTGAGGGAAGTAGCGGCGCTGATATCCAGGCTTTGATTGAAAAAGTGGGATATCTCAGGGGATGAAAGTTGTCCTAGTTGAATGCCTTTTCCTGTCTTCTTTCAAACCTACTTCTCCACAAATGTTTATAAAGCTTTCTTCTTCCTCTCTTCTCTGTATCTTCTATAATCATTCTCCCAGTCACAATCTCGCCCCCTGAAACATATTTTCCCCTTGTTGCACTTATCTGCTTGCTTGCTGGTTTTGTGTCTACATATTACGTTTTAAATAAAACGTCACTTCTCATGTGTGTGTGTGCACGCCTTGTTTCTTTTTGTCATATTATCCCTTCCTCTCGTGGTCACAGTATCGCTGGAAGCCAAACATCATCCTCTAGAACACACACCTCTACTCTTTCCCTTTCAGTTATGCTACAGTAAGAGCACACCCGAATCTATATAAAAAAAAGCTTAAAAAGTTGAAAATCAAGAGGATTTCAGAACCAAGAATATAGGAGATTCAGGTCAGTAATAATGATCATTGCGCTAGAGCTTTGTGAATAAAAGACCAGATGGTTTTTTCTCGAACAAGGTATTATGCCTTGAATGCCAAGTACATTCTATTTTGTATTCTCGTGGCACTCTTGATTCTTAATATAAGGGGCCTATAATATTTTGTTTGATGCGAGAAAAATAATTTGATGTACTTTTATCTGTTAGCCCCATTCATTTGTAATTCGCTTTTTTGGTGTTTTTTTTTTACGTTTGATGATGCTATGCAATGCAAACAACTAAAAGCAACTTAAATTAGTTTGCGCTATCAGTTTTCGTACAGCAACTTCTAGGAGTGGCTGTAAGATGATGCGCCATGCCAAAAGTCTTTAATCAGATCCCAAATGCATCTTTTTAGGACATGGGCACAGATGACTCCCTAGTTGCAAGTCTCTTGACTTCTAATTTGAGCTATTAATGAAAGGAAACTTTCAACTATTTTCCCAACTCTGTATTAAAAAAAAACATTAATTTTAAGTTAGTATGTTTCATGTTTTATAGTTTTAAATTGTTATGTTCGTAATTGAACAGGAGGATGTTAATGTTTGGTGAAGTATATTGGATCAGCCCAGTTCGTTAATGCAGTCAGTTTTTGGCTAGAAAGGGTTGTTCGATTTAACAGCACCATATTATTATTATTCTTGTTGTTGTTGAAGAGGACAGTTGTAGTTTATTTAACATCTTCACAATTTGTCTTTTGGCTAAAATGCAGGGCAAATATAATGTATGGTCGCGTGCACAATTTTTAAAAGGTCTGAGAGTCAGAGTTGGTCACCTGTTGCCTAATTGTTCTGTTAACCCGCGCATCACTCAATTAATGAGACGGCAGCTGAGCCTCCGCCAACCAACGTCAATCTACTTTTTATAATAAATTCTACATAAAGGATATCATATTTACAGGGATTCCTTATTCATGAATAGCACTTTCTTAATTAACACACTGCAATTATTATTATAAGGTAGGTTGTTAAGTTCTCTTGAGCCATATCAATATCCTTTTTTTTATATATGTAATACAACACAAGATAAACATTTGATTTTTTATTATATTATTATTAAAAATTACTGAATCTAATGTATCGATATTATTAAATGTTATAAATTTTAATAAGTTTTTTATAATGTGTAATATTAAATAAGTTAAAAAAATTAATAAAAGTTTATATATAATAAAATTTTATTAAAATATATTAATATATATTTATATTACGAAATATTATAATTAAAAAGATATTTATTTATTTTTTATCATTTGCAAGGCTTAAAAAGCTGCAACAATATTTAGTTCCTTGAAGCAACTGAAGTGGTGGAATTTTGGGGCACTGAAAAAGACGAACATGTTTAAATTTTTTTCGGTGCATTTTGTTTTCCTCTGTCATCCGTTTTTACTTTTTCTGTATGTGAATGCAATTTTCTCGGGTGTCTCTAAATCAAGAAGTTTCTGCTTCGTCGCGTTTATAGCTGAGTATGGTTCAGCGATGAATGTAACAAAACCGACAAATTTCTTTCCATGACACACATTACTAAATTTCCCTGTGGCGGAATAATTCATATCTGTCTGTATCTGAACTTGCAGACGTATGTGTTTGTACTTACGATAATGCATGTGTTTTCCATGAGCGGTACGACTACGATGCTTGCTTGCTTAATAATTCAATGCTTGGGAAGTTGGCATTTGGTAATTTGTGTCTTGGTTAAGTTTTTTAACTTTTCTTTCTCAATTGAATAATTTTTTTTATAAAATTAATTTTAAAATATTAAACAAAATTGTGATGGCTTAAAATTAATCTTATTTATCATTTTAATTAAAACATAATTTTTTTGCTAAAAAGTGCAAGAAATGATTTTTTATCTTATGTGTTATTTATTTATATCTTTTTTTTCTTCTCATGTCTCTTTCTTTGTCATGTAAAAATAGTACAAGATTTTTATGCTTATACAATCTCTCTTCTTATGCCCTGGGCAATTACCACAATTGACACTGATAATGACTTGGAGACCGTAATTAGTGGGTGGACCAACCATCTTTCTTCTTCTGCCTCTTCTTATAATTGAGAAAGCATATACGGGTTTATCCTTCCAATGAATTTTAAACGGTGATTAAGTGAACTTATCTAACTTGAAAGGAACTAATAAATAATTCATGATAACTTAAATTGTTACTCTATTGTATTACTTAATGAATAATTCATTTATTATTAACTTAGTTTTTTAAAAATACTTCTTAAATATATTATAAAATCTTTTCTGTTCTAATTTATCTGTGTAACCCACGGATAACACCAATGTTATGTTGAAAGGTTTTGTCAAACGGGTCTGTCAAAAACAAACAGAATAATCTCCCTTTAATGCTACGCAAAAAAAAAAAAGAACCAATAATCCCATTCCCTTTATTTAGATTAGAAAATTTTTAAGAAAAAAGGTTGGTATTCCAATCCTAGGAATGATCGCATGCTGAACAAATTTGTTTTTTTTTTTTTTACTGATAATAACAGTTAAAACAAAACTTTTATTAAATAAACTTTTATTGTGTTTGACGTGTCAACAGAACATAATGAAATAAAGTAGAATAAAATGAAACAGGACATTTTTGTTTCGTCTAACATGTTTTTCAGACTATAGGTATTCTTCATATAAACAAACTCTATTTAAACTGAGAACATTCACAATAAAATATAATTAGCTTATTTAACTGATTTTCTTTATGTATACACAAAACTTAAATCAAATTAAACACATACCACTTGCGCAATTAACCACTGGTTGATAGCATATTTGATAACTTTAAAATTGATTCCCATTAAAGTTAATAGAATAATGTCTTCAATTACATATATATCCCTATTCTGCAGTTTAATGTTTGGTTGAGCATGAAACGACGAGTAAAATATATGATGATCGTCGTATAATAACTTTTTTTAAAAAATATTAATACATTAATAACCTTTTAAATTCATACAAAATTTATTAAACATATAATACAATGAAAAGTTTGGCATGTAGAACTTTAAAAGTTGCAAAAAAAGAACAAAGTGGCGGATAACTAGCTTGATACGATCAAAGCCACCACATTAATATCGTTGTTATTTATTGCGTTGGGTTAAAAGAAAAAGAAGAGAAGCCATCAATGGCTTGTGACAGAGAGACTCCCTCGTGACAGTTGTGCCGTTTACCTTTCCCTCCCTCAATTTCCGTTGCTCCTTTTCCACGAAGCTATTTGGGGGAATATTTTAAAATTTTCATACATTATATCAAATAACACATTAAATCTTCTCCGTTAAAAATATACTGATATAATATTAAATTTTATTAAATAATAATTTTAATACATCTAGATGGTTAGGATAAAAATTTGCACCCCTCTGCAGTTAATTGACAATTGAGAGAATCCAGATCCATATTTGGGTGTGTATACTAATTTGTATTCATCGTTTCCTCAACAATTGAGAAATTACTTGCCTTTGGATTTTGGACAATGCCACGGAGATTGAGGAATACGAAGTTTTTTCCTTCTTTCACTATTCAGTTCTAGCAAATTAGAGAAGACATTTCAAAAAATGTGTTTTTAATGCTACCCTTTCTCACTTCAAACACGACCCACAAGCAACAACAGTAGATGCCAAAGCCCAAAAGCTACAAGCATATGTGCACCAAGTTGGTAAAAAAGTTATTAGTTATTATCACTGAATCACACGACATTGCCTACAAAAGAATAATTGATTTACAAGAATGATTTTCTTACATGTTTGATATATAAACATTTACATTAACAATATACTAAATTTAAGTTCACAAACCATTAACAAGTAAATTTCATAATTTATAAAAAGAAAACTTACAAAAACGATATGTGCACATAACTAATAACTAACTATATAGAACAGGTAACGCAAGAAAAGCTTCTCTCTCTCTCTCTCGCTCTCTCTCTTCCTCTTCTTTTGTAAGTTTTATACTCAAAATTAAAGTAAAGTCTAGAAGAAACGATAACCGAAGTCCACACTCAAAGATAGAAGTAGGTAGATATACAAGTGACCTAAATTTGCAATTTTAGATATTGACTTAAGAAATAAATGAATGAAATAGATAGAGTATATAATAATAAATATAAGAAACCCAACCCGATTATTCCAGCTATAAGTATTCATTAAGTGTGAGGCTTAACAAACCCCACAGAATAGTGCCAAACCTTACGGAGAGGGTCCTTAAATGCTGCAGTTGGTGCAGTTGTGCAGCCTCCATTACTGCATCAACAATTAGCCACGCAACCATAAGAGAAAGTCAGAGAGATAAATGCTCTCTATCTAGCTTTTACATTCAAATAATTACATAACATTTCATTACAAGGCTCTTTCTGGAACCGTATCTGGTCACAACGGGCCATGAATTATATTCAGACAAAAGGCGTTGTGAAGCGGAAATGCAAAGAAACCGATGAAACCTTGTGTTTTACAGTGTCTAATACAAACATGTTGCAACACGCCCGCAGCAGAGGAAAACGCTACAATCTCTTGTCGTTTTGGGAGTTACCGGACTACATGAAAGATAATGAATATATTTTACGTTATTACAGAGCCAATTGGCCTCTCAAAGTAGCTTTCTTCAGCCTCTTTCGTTGGCATAATGAAACGTTAAATGTTTGGACGTAAGCTTAGCTTTCGCCTCTTGTTTTCGTAATCATGTTTTATTTATTTTATGTCTCTAACGTTGTTTCTCCCCCCCTTTTTTGGGTTCTGTTTTTCAGGCATTTAATTGGTTTTTTTCTGTTTCTTGGGTTGACCCTTGCGAATTTGATGAAGCCTCGTGTGGTGGATCTCTTGGAACTCTTTACCAGGTTTTTCTATAACCCTTTTGTTTCTTTGTTCTTCTTCAGTTGTGTCATGTGTGTGTGTCAGAGTGTTTATAAATTAATAGAAACTCTGGGAACTAAAAAAATTGAAAAAAATAAATAATTAACAAGAACTGCGGGATTGGTTTAACCTTTTATGTAATTTGTGGTATAGACAGGTAATTTAACTAGAACAGTGTACGGTACTCGGGAAAATTACTTTGTCCAATTTCCAATTCATGGCTTAGAATTTGCTTATACCTTTTTTTTTTTTTTGTGGTTTTGTGTTAGCCATTGTGGATAGGGATTTATATTAGGTGAACTGTTGAGCTAGTTATTGTGGTAGCTTTTACCAAAACTGTCAAGTAAATTTGCATATAATCTTTTTAGGTCTTTTTCTTCAAGTGCGGAAAAGAATGTTTCTCATAATATCAAAGATTTGTTTCAGGTAAGTGAGTTCATGATCACGTTAAAAACATCCTGCCATCAAATTTATATAAGTACCTAACAATATTATATATTTAGTGTTTTTGAGACTGACATTGTAAGAGCTTGCAGGGAACAACGTTACTATTTGATTTAAAACATCAAGTACCTTTGCCAATCCAACTTGAAGCCACAGCACTGGTTATAGCAAGGTGGCCATTCTTTGTTTTCTTGGCTGGCTCTATGTTCTGCCTCTTCTCTAGCAGCATGTGCCACCTCTTTTGTTGTCACTCTCATGATTTAAACCTGTTTCTGTGGCGATTGGACTATGTTGGGATAGCAGTGATGATCATCACCTCATTTTTCCCTCAGATTTACTATGTTTTCCTATGTGAACCCCACTGGCAAATCATCTACCTTGCTGGGATCACAGCCATGGGACTATTCACCATTGCAACAATGCTATCGCCAACACTTTCAACTGGCAAATACCGTGCATTCCGGGCCATGTTGTTCTGTTCAATGGGGCTTTTTGGCATTGTGCCTGCAGTCCATGCATGCTTTGTGAATTGGTCAAATCCTAAACGCAATGTCACACTGGCATATGAAAGTACTATGGCCTTATCTTACTTGACAGGGACTTTATTCTATGTAACTCGGATACCGGAAAGGTGGAAGCCTGGGTGGTTCGACTTGGCTGGCCATAGCCATCAACTATTTCATGTTCTTGTTGTTGTTGGGGCATTGGCACATTACGCAGCCACTCTTCAAATGCTAGATTGGCGTGACTCTTTTGGGTGTGACACGGTTCCATGAAATCAAGTGTCTTTCACAACTTATTGGGGGGGTTTTCTCCTATAAATATATTCTAATAGCGCAAGCTTTTGTGCAGTGGTAAGGATCATTATTATTACATTGTTGGATTTTAAACAAGTGTGAGATAATTAATTACAAGTCCAAAATGGCTATGATTTTAGAAGTCATTCATCTCAATATTAGTTGATTAATATTGTCTTGATTTTGTTCCCCTTTAAAAATTTGTCATTCAGTTTATTGTATCTAGAATTTTCTTTGGTGAGGTTTTCTCTTTTTTCCCTTTTTCAAACGTTTTCTGTATGGCTATTGAGATGAATATCGCTTTTTTGTTTGAAACTATGATGCCTAACATGTCGATGGCCAGTAGTCAAAAGTAGTCAAAAGTGCTGTAAAGTTTGCCCAATATCTATTTATCTAACTGATAAGGAGCTTGAATATCTTTAACTTCAAGTGAGATTTTAAGTTCAAGTTTAACAAATGAAAATAAACAAGTCCTAACTTATCTCTATTTAATTAAAATTCAAAATGACTTTCGAATTCCTAAAATTTCAAACTAAAAAAGTGTTATAAAATTTATAATTAAAAATCGATATAGGAAGACTAAAATATAAATGATATTTTCAATGGCATGTTGTTTCTCCAATCATCCCTTTTTATAGCTGATTGTATAACCAATTGTGGACTTTATGTGGGCTAAGATGGTTGTGATGGGTGTAGATGGATCAGTCTCAATAATTTCACAAATGGTTTGAGAAATCATTCGTGATCCCAACTTGTTGTGATCCTGTGAAATGATTGGGGAAGCACATGTGTGGTACCCTTCAAGCTTAATTATTTTTTAGTGTTGCTCTTTGGTGCGCAATATAACACGACATCTCTAGGCATAGTCATTGTGAAATCATTCGACGACAAGCCTAGTTGTGTTTGACATTTTCACCTTGTAAGTGCAATGATTGATAATGTGAAATCTATTTATGGCGTCTTGGACTTGTTCTTTTGTTGGGAAGCATTGGCCAACAAATAGTGTTCCAGGCGAATACACTACCATTTCACGATCAAGAACATGGCCAAACTCAGAGTCATGTTCTTGTATTTGACTGGGAATGTTTAGAAAATGTAGAGGTAGGTTGTATAATGGTAATGATTGTGATAGTGGAATATTTGAAAGTGAGAGAGAGTCTTCTTCATCATCCTGCTGTTGAGATAGGATTTCATTTTTGTTCTCGCTAAAATGATCAAATACTTCGATTGGGAGACCCACAACAACATGTTCTTCAAGAGGTTGAGAGAGTAGGGTTTGCTCAAATGGTTAAGAGGGTATTTCATTGAGGTTCATGAATGGACCAGTTAAAAGTTGTGTGTAGGATTGAAGGTCAGAATTCATATCATATGTTGAAAAGGATAAATTTATGGTTTCGTAAGTTTGGTAAGGTGAAGGTGAATGTAAAAGTTGTGGTGGTTGGATTACGTTTATAGCACATATAACATATAATTCTATATTTGATTAAAGTTGATTTGAATCGTGGATGTTGAAGAGTGCCTCCACATCTTCATCATCGTTCAACTCAACACATATGTAGTTGCTAACTCCCAGGCCAAGTCTAATTGGGTAGCGAAAATATATGGTTGTCACCCTTTCATTTGAGTCTCGGTTAAGTTTTGTGTGAATGACTTTATTGAGCCATCTTTTGTTCTACAATTGTTGAATGGCACCAAACAGATAAAGTTAACTTACAGTTTCATCTAATCCAAGAAGTCCATTCTTCATCGAATAATTTGAATGACCTCCACAAAATTGACATGAGAGGAAGACAGGATGAAAATTAGGTTACAAGACGTGCTCAATGTATCGAGATATGAAACAACAAACGTGAACTGATAATAACAGGTCATCTAATTCAAGGTCCATTGTGCCACACACAAGAATACATGGAATGATACATTGCTAATTCTATCTATTTTCTATCTGTGCCACAACTATTACAAGATCCAAGGTCGAGCGACCAACAACAAAGGACTACCAACACATTTGAAATGGGTACGACTTCCACACTGTCGTACCACGAGACTGCATCAATTCCTCTGAACATTACGCCAGAAGCAAACATAATTAATACAAGACATTCGTTTGCAACAACATTAAAGGATTTTTTTACAAACTTATTTGAAATTGATTTTACAACTCTATTTTCAGCACAAACTTACATGCAGTCTCTTTACCAACCAGATTTTGCTAATGAACCTGATAATTCATCAAATACATTCCAACAACTAGACCTTCATGATAATTCAAATCCTCTACAAGTTCATCCTGAAATCTCAGAGCAACAACCACAACGATGAAACCCACCACGTCACAGACGTTGCTCTCGTTGTGGAACTGACCACCATTACAGAGATAGTTAATTATTAATATTGTTATAAATTTGTTATCATCTTTATTAATGTACTTTGTCTTCATCAATGTTACCTTAATAATATAAAAACGTTAATTTTAAAATATTTGTCTCAACTATAAATAATTAAATTATAATTTAATATTTTATTTACTTTTTAAAAATAAATTTTTTATTCTCAAATAAAATTTATTCAAAATTATAATAGTATAATTTTAGAGTCTAGGATATTAAAAATTATAATATTAAATAATGACATTTTTAAACAAATAATTTAATTAAAATAAAATTTTTATTCAAAATATCATTTTATCATATTAATATTTAAAAATATTAAGTCAAAATTACATATTTAAATAAATAAATAAACAAAATAATATTTAATATATTTTTTCAATTTTGAAAAATATTTTTAGCATTCTTTAAGTAGAAATTATTTAAACATTAACATTATTATCTAAAATAATATACTTATTATTTAAATATTTTAAATAGTTTTTAAAAATTAACTAAAATAATTTACTTATTATTTAATTATTTTTTAAAAATTTAGTTATTATTATTTTCTAAAAATATAATTTATTATCTTAAATATGTCAAATAAATTTTAATAAACATTTAAAATTAATATTATTACTATTTTTTATTTTTAAATAATATAAAAATAAAAATAAAATTCAAATAATAAAACTTATTTTATTATATATAACTAATAAAATATTTATAAATATTTATTAGAATAATATATTATAAATATTTATTTTAACAAAATAATAATATATAAATATAATTTAAATAATAATATTTATTTATTATAAAAAAAACTAAAAACTAACTCAGAATTCGGTTCCTAAGAAATCGAATTATGAATAGCAAGAAAAATAAGTCTAGTCGTGTAATAAAATTGACAGAGAATCTATCTCAGAAACTTTATTTTTTTGGATAATTTTACGGTAAAACACTCTTCACGATACCTTAAGAAATTTTAAATTATTTTGTTTGATGTGTAATCACCGGTGAAAAGTCAACTTAATAATTTATATTTTAGTGTTGTATGTGGTGTTCCTACACTTTTTTTTTTTTTTTAATGAAATTTAGATATTTGGATACCTTTTCTCTTCATATCTCATTTTACATTCCTTTAATTATATTATCTCTTTTATTATTAATTCTTTATGTATGACTGTGAGGTAACTAAAAATTAACCACTTTAACATTTGATGTAAAAAGCGATATGAGATGACATTTTTTGTTTTCAATGTCGGGCTAATACTTGCTCGAGGGTTGATAGGACAGCCCTACCTTATTAGTTAATAACTTTCCTAAGGTTTATTGGAAAAATAAATTAAAATTATTGTTTACTTATAATTCCAATTTAAATCGAGAATTTGAATTATTTTAAGATTTTTAGGCAATAGAATGTATTTTGAAACGTTGACATTACAAAAAAAATAAAAAATTCAATTTTGAAACGAAAATGAAATTTTCAATATTTTACCTTTAAAAAATATAATTATTGTCAAACCTATATTGGTTCATTTATTGCTCTATTCTTTAATTTTATTTTATTTTTGCTATATTAAGGGGCTAAAAGCTCTATTCTTTAAAAATATTTTTCAAATAAGCACTTTGCCCATATATAATATATGCCTACCGCAAAATAAATAAATAAATAAAATCGTATTATAGATATTCGTTGTTTTGTTAATATTCTTACAATCTAAACCTTTGATAATGTATTCATTTTACTGTGGAATAGCGATTACTTTTATTTTGCTTTTGGAAGACTAACGGCTACTTTTATTTTGATTATTCTTGCTGACATAAAACAGATCAATACCAACCTAACATAATCCAAAAAACGATACCAAACAGTAATCTTTAAATAATATGAAGGTGAATATGTATTTGACTTTATTTTATTTTTTGAACACCATTGTAAATTTAAATTGAAGAACAAAATTTGACCGAAAATATTAGAGCTATTGATGAATAACATGGCCTCTAGCCAGTGGAATAATAAAAAAATGGCAATCTGAACCACCTCTTTTATGTTTTAATTTGGAAATCAAGGCTTAATAATTTTAATTATTTCCCAGATCATAGAGCATTAGAGCTTGTTTAGGAGGTTGGACTTTCTTCCACACCGCACAGTTTGCATCTCAAATTTACATTCTACAAGCTCCCATACCAAAAAGTTTGTGATCCCATAGAGCTTTGAGCTCAAGTGTTTATCACGCTTTTCTATAGCTTTTCTACATATTCACATAGATGTTCTCCATTCTCCCCAAAACTAACTTAATATTTTTTAAATGTATAAAAAAATTAACAAAATAAATGATTACTTTTCCAAAGTAAATGGAATGAAACACACACTTAATCAATGTCCTCCTTAGTAATTAATTTCTAGTATCTCTCTCTACATCTAAGCATTTTCCTTTATCATGGTTTTTTTTTAAAAAATTATTTTTTACTCCTCATTGGTTAAGTGGTGCATTTATTGGAGTTCATCAAGCAAGGTTACACTGGTTAGAACACCTGATATAAATATATGCCTGCTCAAAATTTTATAGTCTCAAGCAAGTAAAATGCAAATTTCTTTTAAACAACCTTGCACTCAAATAAATGTTATGGTGCTGGATGAGCAAGGTTGTGAATACGATGACCTACTTTTCAGGTTGATGCTACATGCTTTCAACTGCATATACTTATTGCTGTAACTTCGTTAGAAGGTTTTAGAATAACTTAGGTCTGCAACTTCTTAGACATGTTCACATGACAAGATATTACTCATTAAATATAAATTATACAGCTACAGCATTTGATGGAAGACAAATGTTCATTTTGCCATGGTGGCCTTTCAATCCTCCGCGGTCTCTCTATTACTCCCACTGTTTTTCTCTATTCTTCTCTTCATTTTCTTAATTCCTCTCAAAGGAAACCAACTCTCCATTTTTCCTCTCTCTCCTTATAGCTTAAAAGACAAAGACAACATCACAAAACAACTCCAACTCCATGGTCAGTTTCTGGCTAATGCTGCATATAAAAGCCTTGTGCATAAAGCAAACAGTAGCATTAAGGTGAGTAAAAATTAATCACGAAGTTTTGGTGCCAAACTTCCTATATATATATATATATTAATTATTAAAAATATATTTATTATGTTAAAGTTATAAAAATAGAATTTTTTTAAAATACTATTTTTAATACTTAAACTTAATCTTGCGCTATTATATATGATTAGTGACACTATCCATTTTTCTAAAAAAAAAATATTTTTCTAAATTTGTTGCATGCAGAAAATGACCAGCTTGAATATGGTGGAAGAAGGTTTGGCACAAGCTCGAGCATCAATCCGTGAAGCAATTCTATCTAGGAACCACAGTGGAAACTTTGTCCCAAAAGGGTCCATTTACAGAAACCCAGACGCTTTTTACAAGTTAAGCTCGAAAAATTCTTAAGTAGTTTCATCTTCTTTGTTCACAATAACGCCTAAACAAGTATTGTTATGAAAAGTCATTTTTCCTAAAATAAATTTGAAATAGGAGCCACATGGAGATGGTGAAGAGATTCAAGGTGTGGGTCTACGAGGAAGGAGAGCAACCATTAGTGCATGACGGCCCGGTAAACAATATATATGCCATTGAAGGTCAATTTATTGATGAAATGGATAATAGTAAGAGAAGCCCCTTCAGGGCAAAGCACCCTGATGACGCACATGCATTTTTCCTCCCCTTTAGCGTGGCTAATGTTGTTCACTATGTTTACAAGCCCATAATGTCCCAAAATGATTACTACCGTGATCGCTTGCAACGGTTGGTGGAAGATTATATTGATGTGGTGGCAGATAAGTATCCCTATTGGAACAGAAGCAATGGTGCAGACCATTTTCTCCTTTCTTGTCACGATTGGTTACCCTTCTTAGAAATATTTTCCTATCACTTCATTTACAAGAATCTAGAAATTAACTTCAACATGAATAATTTTTCATAAATATGCATGCAACTGTAAGTCTATGAATCCAGATATTGAACAAATTCTATATCTACTTGATGACCCTTGTGTCAGAAAAGAACTATAGTATTGCTCTAATTGAACTAAAGCCTATAGAACAAATGCCTTACTTGGGGATTCATATTTCATATGCTGCTTTACATTATGGAGTTTTTTAATATTTGTTCTTACCCTTTTTTGGGTCCTTTGACAGAAAATAAATATTTTATTATCATAACAATTGGTGCTTTTAGTGAATGCAACCTTAAAACAAAATTCTTTTACTTTACTTGATGATTCAGGCACCAGAAATCTCAGACGTGAATCCAGAGCTCTTCAAGAACTTCATTAGAGTCGTATGCAATGCCAACACTTCAGAAGGATTCCAGCCCAAGAGGGACGTGTCAATCCCTGAAGTGAATTTGCCCGTTGGAAAACTAGGCCCATCGAATCTGGCCCAAGGCCGAATGAACCGAACCATATTAGCCTTCTTTTCTGGTGGGGCCCATGGTGACATTAGGAAGTTTCTACTGAAGCATTGGAAGAACAAGGATAGCCAAGTACAAGTTCATGAGTACCTACCAAAGGGCCAAAACTATACTGAATTAATGGGACTAAGCAAATTCTGCTTGTGCCCCAGTGGCTATGAAGCGTCTAGTCCTAGAGTTGTGGAAGCAATCAATGCTGGCTGTGTCCCTGTGATAATTTCTGAGAACTATTCTTTGCCCTTCAGTGATGTGCTGAATTGGAGTCAATTCTCTATAGAAATTCCAGTGGAGAAAATACCAGAGATTAAAACGGTCTTACAAAATATTTCAGAAAGGATGTACATGAAATTGTATATGAATGTGAGGAGAGTTCGAAAACATTTTGTGATGAATAGGCCAGCTAAACCATTTGATGTTATGCACATGATACTTCACTCAGTTTGGCTCAGAAGGCTGAACTTTAGGGTCATAGCTTCACAATGAAGGGCTTTTCCAGCCTTTTTGTTTTTGTCAAGAAGGGCTTCTACTGTATAAAAAGTTCTTCTTGCATTTCCACTTTTTAGCCCCGTTTGGGTACTAGCCCACAAGAGCTTACATAAACCATTTTCGGTTAAGTAACCTGTGTAACTATGTCCTGTAAACAACGTAGATTCAATTGGAATTAATAGTATATAGGTAGACAAAGTAATGATGATTAGCTTAATAATTGTAAGTTAATCATGGCCCCAAAGTTCAATCCGAATGATGGAGATAAAATTCCACTGTTCTGCTTCACATGTTTGGTACTGCCTAGCCATTACTAATTTGAGTATGGTATTAAAACACTTCTGATTTTAGCTAACGCCTTTTATATTATTAATGTATTTACCAAAATTTAGTAACTTTTTGATTCCGAAAGGGATGTAGGAACACGCGGTCACGTGAGCATCTATGTAGGTGGGCCATAGCTGATGACACCATTTAATCGTTACATTGCTTTTTGTGCTAATAAAAAGAAGAGTAGAGCGTTGCTTTGGGATAGGAGTAGACTGTTTATTTGATGTGATGTGGATTCATCAATTATTAACAATTAAATATACTTTATATATGGTGGCAAGGCTGAGCTACCTTAGGGCCGATTTTCAAGTTCTGAAAAAATTAATGAAACTTCGCAAATCACAGCTATATTCTTTAGTCTTTCTAATATTCTTCCTCAATTTTTTCCTTGTTCTTTTCACTCCCTCCAATGAAGATCGTACAATTCATATCCACTCAGATTCTCCTTCCCAACAAGGGAAAATACCTCATATGCTTTTCTCAACATCTGAATATAAGAGCTACAACAATACAGTTCGAACAAGGATTAAGGTATGCAAGCTTAATTTTTGAAAGGGGTGTTCTCTTCATTATTTGATGGCTTTTGTCCTTTCATCTTTTCATGGCATGAAGAATATGACCAGTTTGGAGAGTATTGAAGAAGGTTTAGCTAGAGCACGAGCATTGATCCTGGAAGCACTTCATTCCCAGAATCACACAACTGTTAAGAACAAGACTTTTGTCCCAAAAGGGTCAATTTACTGGAATCCACATTCCTTTCACCAGTTAAGCTTGAATGATTCTGAATTTCTGATTTTTTAATTTCTTTTGGTTTGGTTTCAGTGTATTGTGCACAATAAGTCTCATAATACTTTTAGATGCCAAAACAAATATTCTTTACAAGGATAATCTTGAGATCAGATTCAAGACCATATATCAAAGTTCACAAGTCACTGTTTTTGTAATGTAGTGCTGTGCATTAGTGCATAATGCATAATCATAGGAAGTGATAACAAATTATTAAAATCATTTATATCAAATGCAAATTTCACAATACACCCCATATAGCAATACACCCATATAGTTTAATTTTGATCTCACTTAGTTTCTGAACTTGTGATCGTCTGTCAATTCTAAATAAACGCCCAATTATGACCAAAGCCTAAACAAGAGCTACAATTGCATGAAATAAAGTAAACTCGTTTATTTGTTAAATATTAATACACTAATTCCCCCCCTAATACAGCTTAGCAAAATTTACTTTTTCTAACAAAGTAGTTACTACTGAAAAAAGAAGATCAAATATACCGGGTCAATTCAACATAAATGATCTTATCTTATACAAAATGGAAATATCAGGAGTCACATGGAGATGATGAAGAGATTCAAGGTTTGGGTATATAAGGAAGGATGGCAGCCACTGATACATGATGGACCCGTAAACAATAAATACGCCATCGAAGGCCAATTCATTGATGAAATGGATGCAAGTAACATGAGCCCATTCAAGGCTAGCAATCCTGAAGATGCCCATCTCTTCTTACTTCCCTTCAGTGTAGCTAAAGTCATTCGCTATGTTTACAAGCCTAGAAGGTCCAGATCCGATTATCATCCTCACCGCTTACAACGTTTGGTGGAGGATTATATTAACATTGTTGCAAATAGATATCCTTATTGGAACAGAAGCAAAGGTGCTGATCATTTTCTTGTTTCATGCCATGATTGGGTAAGTCCACACACCCTTGTCTAGTTGTCTCTGTGTTTTACTATGTTCCTTTTGTTTTTGGATTTACATGTGGGAAAACGTTTTTTGTAACGTTAAAGTGAAACATTTTTTGGTACACCCTTTAATTGTGGTGAGTATTTTTGAAATGTGTGTATATAAAAATGTGAAAAATAAGAGATATAGAGACAATTGTATATGATATCACAATGTTACTTTTTTGTAAATTGAAACCCAGAAGACACGTGCTTTCTTGATGATTCAGGGTCCAAAAATTTCATATGCCAATCCTGAACTCTTCAAGTACTTCATCAGGGTGCTTTGCAATGCCAACACTTCTGAAGGATTTCGGCCCAACATGGATGTGTCCATTCCAGAAGTGTATTTACCTGCTGGAAATCTTGGCCCACCTAATATGGGTCAACACCTCTCTAAACGTACAATATTAGCCTTTTTTGCTGGTGGAGCGCATGGAAACATTCGGAAAAAATTATTGAAGCGATGGAAGAACAAGGATAAAGAAGTTCAAGTTCACGAGTACCTTCCAAAGGGTCGAGACTATACAAAGTTGATGGGTCTAAGCAAGTTCTGCTTGTGCCCCAGCGGATACGAAGTGGCAAGTCCTAGAGTGGTGGAAGCAATTTATGCTGGGTGTGTTCCTGTGATAATTTGTGACAATTACTCTTTGCCTTTTAGTGATGTGCTTGATTGGAGTCGATTTTCCATGGAAATTGCCGTTGATAGAATACCAGAAATTAAGACTATTTTACAAAATGTTTCAAAAATTAGGTATAGAGAGTTGTATACGAATGTAGGAAGGGTTCGGAGGCATTTTGTGATAAATAGGCCATCAAAGCCATTTGATTTGATACATATGATACTTCATTCACTTTGGCTCAGAAGGCTAAATTTTTGGTTAATAGCTTCACAATAAAACGATTATTCATATACTCCTTTTCCATTTCGTATTGGAAGATGCTAAAATCATGCTAGAGTTTTTTGATGTTCGGATGAAAATAAAAACTCTGTAAATACAATTTTGAACCTTATACCCAACACTTATTTTATTCTATTTCATATAGTTTTTTCTTTGCAAATTAATTAGAAGAAAAAAAAAAGTGCTAGTGTATGAAACTTGTTTCCGATGTTATCTTACAAGTGACACCATCTTACCACCTATATATCCAATCTAAAAAAATGAAAACTAGGTTGTCGTATTTGAACAAAGATAAGAATTTACTGTACCATAGATTAGCTTCATTGGAAATAGGAGGATTAATTACTGTGTGGGGACCGGATTTGTGTTGGTCTGGAGATATGTAAGAGAGGTACTATAGCCTCCCGAACGGAAATGATTTTTAACAATAAAATAAACAACAAAATCATGTTCTTTTGATTTTAAAATTATATTAAAAAATAGTTATATACGAAAAAAATATAAAAATAGACAATTATATATAATGTAACATATGATATTAACTATTTTTTGAATGAGATATGTAACACAGTGAGAAGCAAAATAGTAATATCTTCTAGTTCAACCATTACTTCTGCTAAAGTCAGCTGTGTAAGTAATATTGTTAAGGAGAACCAGATAAGTTTACAATAAGTAGCAAAGTTTAAAATTACATGTTATCTTGAAATAAGTTTTTATTAATTAGTTTATGTGTTCGATAATTGTATTATGAGTTTTTTAATGTGTATATAAAAGTTAAAATATTGTTTGTTAAAAAATATTATAAACTACCTTAAAAAATCATTCATTTATTACAGGGACCTCTTTGTAATATTTTCAAATGGTTGTACCTCTTGCAAAGCAGATAACATAATGAATCTGAACTATCCATTAATTAAACTGTGATTATATCTGACGGCAAATGATGGTGGTCCACCATCTACGCTGCCCCAATTTATTATTTCATAGCAGATAACCTTTCAATTGGTTAAAGGCCACTGTTTTCAGCAATGCTATTTTACCGATTCAGTCCAATATCCACTGATTGTAACAATTCAATCACGAAAAAAATATACATATTATTTTGAACTTTGGAGAAACTGCTCCGTTTGGCATTAAAATTGAACTCAAATTACCCCGTTAATTAGTTTACTAAAATTGATTAAATTATCTCTTTCACTTGCTTAAAACCAAGAATAATTATAATTTATATATTATGGATTCCATATGATCTGTCTGGTTTAACACATTTTCCGGGCAGTCTCAACTATAAAACTACACCATTGAAGAAGGCTAACGCTGTAAAGTTTAGAGAGGACATGGAATACTCCAAATGCCCTACTTCGGCATTTTTACTTCTCGTGATTTTCTTTGTCATTCCTTTTATCTTCTTTTATCCTTTGAAGGAGCCAAACCATCTTACCCACTTCACTCCTCCTTTCATCCTTTCCACTGTTGAAGACAACCGCACAAACATAACCTCACCCAAACCACCACCGTTGCACCCACTTGAGCTTCTCTCCACTGTCACCCCTGCAAATGAAACCTACAACAACACTGTTCAAAGCACTGTCATTAAGGTATGCAACCTTATAGTTATAGAATGTTTTTTTAAAGTAGTTTTTTTTAATGTTTTCATGTGCATAAAAGAATGTTATAAATAATATCATATATAAATTGCATGACCGTATTGTTGTTGTCTAAGATTCTGAAGGAATGTGAAGATTGATATTCTTATTTATTATTTACTTGGTTTGTCTTCCCTTTATGGTTTTTTCTTATGGAAGGAATGGACAAGTTTGGAGAAAGTGGAAGAAGGATTGGCAAAAGCACGGGCCTCAATTCAGGAAGCAATATTGTCAAGGAATTATAGTTCAGCAAAGAGGGACACTTTTGTGCCCAAAGGATCCATTTACTGGAATCCACGTGCTTTTTACCAGTTAAGCTTGAAATTTTCTTAAGCATCTTCATCTTCCTAATTCCAAGCTCACCACTTCACATTTTACATGCGAATTAATTTCCTTTGATATTTTCCGCACCCAATAGCCATAAATTTCTACGTGCATCTAGCTAGCTAGTCTTATCTTTTGGTTAAAAATTTGACCAATAAGTGTCTTTAAAATATTATTTAAAAATTAATAAATAATATATTTTTATTAAAAGTTATGTTAAAATGTCTAAAGAATACAGAAATAAGTATATAATTACATTTTTATATTTTTTTATTCTTTAACTAGTGTTCTTAATACATTTATTAGCATTTTTTCCACTTAAATTAAGATAAATGTTAATCAGCATTTTTTTAAAAATAAAGTAAAAATGTCTTATAATGCAAATTATCTGGTAAATTTTAATATATCATTTAATAAATAACTTTTTATTTTAATTGTTTAACCAGTGTCTTAAGCATATTAGTTAATGAGATCCTAAAATTAATTAAAAGTTCATTCTTGACATTTTGCATGTGCGCGTATTAATTTTCCTTTGATCTTTTCTTGTACATTATTTTTAGTTTTATTAATTTTTTTAATTTGTATAACACGACAGAATATAAAAAATTATATGTAGTAAATTTTTATTATAAATTATCTTTTAATTATATCAATATATTTAATTGCATTAAATTTTGCAATTTTAAATAAAATTTACTATGTACAATTTTATATTCTATATAATGTTTTACATATTAAGTTAACATTAGTCTTTAAAGTGATTTTAAACATTTAAAAGTAGTAAAATTTAATTAAAAAGTATTTATTATATTAAATTTGCTAAAATATTTTATATTTTCTTAATATAGGTTTAAGAACACACAATAAAATATGTAATAATTTCTTTAAATAATATTTCAAAATTAAATACATTAATATTCTTAAATATTAAATTTTAATTAAAAAATATCATTTGTGAACTTTTTATCGTAAGTTATTAAATATACTTAAAAATTTAAATATTTAACGCCGACATTAAAACCTGTATTGTCATTAAAATGCATTGGGGTGGGTGACAAGAAGCAAACTTACGAAGCTGGATCTGGTAATCTAAATATTTTGTGAATCATTGGAAACAGGAGCCACATGGAGATGGTGAGGAGATTGAAGGTGTGGGTTTACGAGGAAGGAGAGCAACCATTAGTGCATGATGGCCCAGTAAACGACATATACGCCATTGAAGGTCAATTTATGGACGAAATGGACAATGATAAATGGAGTCACTTCAGGGCAAGACATCCTGATGAGGCACACGTTTTTCTACTTCCATTTAGCATTGCCAACGTTGTTCACTACGTTTACAAGCCTATCCTAAAGCAATCTGACTATGAACCTGTTCGCCTTCAGCGGTTAGTGGAAGATTACATTGGTGTTATTGCAGATAAGTATCCTTATTGGAATAGAAGCAAAGGTGCAGACCATCTTTTGCTTTCATGTCATGATTGGGTAAGTTCTTATGCATATATTCCCCCAAAATATTTATGTTGTTCAAAAATATTTAAAAAATGTGAATATAGAGTAAAGAAATAATTTAATAAGTAATTCTAATTAAAATAATTGAATTTCTTGATATAACAATTTTTTAATGATTATATTCGTTTGTACTTTGCTACTTCTATTTCTTTCCCATGTTACTTCCACTTTAATGCTAGTAAAGTAGATTTATTATAATATAACTGTGATTAGCAATTTTATTTTGATAAAGCAAAGTCACTATAAACACATGCTTTATTTGTTGAAACAGGGTCCAAAAGTTTCATATGGCAATCCTGAATTATTTCAGAGTTTTATTAGGGCACTTTGCAATGCGAACATTTCAGAAGGATTTCAACCTAACAGAGATGTATCCATTCCTGAAACGTACTTGCCAAAAGGAAAGTTGGGTCCACCCAGCCTAGGCCAACACCCAAACAATCGCACTATTTTGGCTTTTTTTGCCGGTGGAGTCCACGGTGAAATTCGAAAATTATTGGTAAAACATTGGAAGGGTAAAGATAATGAAGTTCAAGTTCATGAGTATCTCCCAAATGGGCAAAATTACACAAAATTAATGGGACAAAGCAAGTTCTGTTTGTGCCCTAGTGGGCATGAAGTTGCAAGTCCTAGAGTGGTGGAAGCAATTCATGCAGGTTGTGTGCCCGTGATAATCTGTGATAATTACTCTTTGCCATTTAGTGATGTGCTAAATTGGAATCAATTCTCAATAGAGATTTCGACGGAGAAAATTCCAGAAATCAAGGCTATATTACAAACTGTTTCGAAGAATAAGTATTTGAGATTACACATGAATGTGCTGAGAGTTCGTCGGCATTTTATGATTAATCGACCATCAAAATCATTTGATATGATGCATATGATACTTCACTCAATCTGGCTCAGAAGGCTAAACTTCAAATTGCTTGCTTCTGACTAACAAGCTATTCTGCATAGCTTTTTACTCTCCCCATTCTTACGATTAAATCTAAGCTCGTTAGTTAGACTTTTTGTAACTAATAATTATCTTGATAATTTCATATTTAATGTAGTCTCAAATTATGATTTTATTGATACGTTGTCTAATTTAATTAAAATACTAACAATTGTTCCAAATCTCATAGTTGCAGTGTAGTATCAAATTATGAATTAATTGTGTTTGCATAAAAGGAAAAAATGAAATAGAAATGATATACTACTTTTTCATCATTTGAACGTGAATCTTTCTTTTATCTTTTTACTTTATTTTTCATCACATAAAAATAAAAAATACAATAAAGTAATTTTATTTATATATTAAGCTGAATTAGTATATTTTTTATATCATCTATTTATTTTATTTTATTTTATTTTATTTTATTTATATAAATAAGTAAACACAAATTGTTTGTTTACTTTTTATTTTTCTTTATTTTACTTTTCCTTCAAATAAAGTATAATTTCAACACCATAATCGATCGGTTTGATTCTTTGATCCCATCTCAGGCATCATGTGTATTTTCCTTTTCTTCGTGTTTTTTTATCTCTTTTGTTACTGTTACCTTCCAAGAAAGTTTAGGAGTTGATTGGTTTCATGAAGTATATTTTATTTATTATTATAAAAATATAACTTTTTTTTTTTGGTTTTCAAATATTTGCACATAAAATAGTAAAAAAATTATTATTTTCTCTATATTTTTCATAAATCTTAAAAAAAATAAAAATAACATGATATCTTTGTAGTTAAAAGTAAAAAAATATTTTTTTTTTGAAATCAAACACAAATAAAAAAAATATATGAACTTATATTTTTATTCAAATCATAATATAAGTAACTCGTGGAATAAATTTTCAAGCTATACGTAAATAAAAATTTTAAACACCAAGATATTAACTTATAATTAAATTATACAAGTAAATATATACATTATATATAAATAATTAACTTGAAATATGTTATTAATTACATATGAATAAGTATATAATGTATTATTGTATTGGTTAAAATAATAGTAGATATAAAAAAATATGTATTTATATAATATTTCGCTACAAAATTTACACATTCGTTTTTTCTTTTTTTGGTCTATTTTTATTATATTACTTATCGGATTACCTCTTCTTCTTTTTTCAAAAAAATTTCTTTGTATCTTATAAACATCTGTTAAAGTGTACACTTAATTAAAGAGAATTTAGAATAAAAAATAATAAATCATATGATATAAAAAAAATTGAAAAATGTCAAAGGATTTCAATGATATAAAATTTAAACCGGTAATTGACTCAGCTAAATACTGAGTTAATAAGTTATTACTTAAATTAATATTAAATTTACACACAAGCACACAGAGACACACACACACACACACATATATATATATATATATATATATATATATATATATATATATATAATCTAAAACAAGTTTAGTTTTTCAATTAAACTAATTTTTTTATCATTTCGTCCGACAATCAATTTAATAAGATATCTGCCGTTATTAAAATTTTGAATTATTAACATTTAAAATTTTTATTTAACCGATTCAACTCACCGATCAAGTTGAGTCAAGTTTAATAACACTAACATTAAGTATTTAAAATTTTTTTTTTTTTTTGGTATTTACACAATTAAGAAGGTATCAATATTTTTTTTTTCAATTCTATTCATATCTAGACCTATCACTGAATTATACTCCATAGTGTACTTTACTTAACCTAAATAGTCGTTTTTTTTATTTCTGAGTCCTGTAATTAGTCTATATTTACTTTGACTTTAGCCTCAATTTATAAAAAAACTGTGAGATAAAGTCAAGATTAAAGGTAGATTAATCTTTTTTAAATAATTAATAATTATTATTATATTTTTTTAGTAAAAGATATATATTAAAAAAGTTGTGATTTTAAAAACAAGCTCTACTTGTGGCTAATGACCCAGTGGAGATGAAGTGGCAAGTTCTAGGGTGGTAGTAGAAGCAATAACTCGCGTTGTGTGTGTTGATATGATAATTTGAAAAATAATCCTTACTTTTAGTGATGTGCTTAATCAGAGTCGATTTTTTTGTTGTTTTTTTTTTTGTATAAATATTGTAGTTGACAGAATACTATAAATTAATATTATTTTACAAAATATTTCATCAAAGACAAATATAATGAGTTTTATTGAGGATTTGAAATTGAAAGCATATTATGATTAACACATTTTTTTTTTCTAAATTACATATATAAAAAATCTTTCCTCCGAAGCTTTATAGTAAACAGATTACTAAAGCCATTTTAATTTGATCCATATAATATTTCGACCACTCCGGTTTAAAAGGTTTATTTCAAACTAATAACTATAATAAGAAGATTACACGTGAAATCATTGTTCATAGGATGATGCTAATATTATGTTAGAGTTTTTTTCAATTGAATACAAATAAATATTGTATACTCAATTTTGGACTCTATACTCTTCTTTATTTCATTTCATATATTCTCTCTTTTTTTATTTAATTCCTCTGACTACAAATACTAGTACTCGTGTTTGCTTTCAGAGATTAAAAACTATTGTTTTAAATAATGCAAAAAATAAAAAATTCTTTTACATTCTCTTTCCCTCACTACGCTTGTAAAATAAAACGTAAAATATAAATTTTACAGCCTACTTTTTAATTAAAATTAAAATTTCATCTTCATGGTACGTGGTTTTTAATATCGATGTATTGATTTTAATAATGATTTTTACTATAAAATTATTAAAATAAAATTTATTTTTAATTAAAAATAATATCAACAATACATATAACAATCTGCTTAATTATAACTTCATTGATGTTTGCCTAAATCATAATAGCACTCTAACAAAATAAGTTTGGTGTGAGTAACTTTTTCTCGATGTCATGCGATATACCACAGGTGACCAATGAAGCCAACTTATTAAATTCAATCCATAAAATTTATCTTCTTTAGTTATTAAAAATAAAGTTTACAAACTAATATTAACAATTTTTACGTTTTTATTTGACGAATGAAATTGAAAAATAATCATGTATATTTCAATATATACCTCCATCAATATCATATCATAGGCATCGCGATGATGATCAAATTTTCTTCCACCGTCAAAATTAATGTCTGATATCTCAGATAAAGGTATTATTAGCTGTTCATCCATCGTCCTGATATTTTCAGGAGTCAAGTCAACAAAAAAATATTATTGATACTAAATAATATTCTTTAAAAATATTTATTTTTTAATAGTTTTAAACAACTGTTACCATTGTTTTATTGGCACATGTCCACGTATGTCTTCTTCAAGGTGGTCATCGATATCATTAACTACGGTCAGTATCGCCATAGCCGTCACCAGCAGAGTCGTTTTCATTGTCTTGATCAAGGGCGTCGACTGGCCCCAACCAAAAACAGACAGCATAGTGAGAGCTCAATCGTTACAGGTGGTCCCGGTTGACAAGTTGTCACCACGTAATTTCGTACCAATTCTTATATTTTTATATTTATTTTCAGTTTTTATTATTGTCTTTATTTTTTTCCCTTGTTTTTCTCTTCTTCTATTTATTTTACACCTTAAAATAAGATATAAAAAATTCATTTGATATTGATAGCGGACAAAACTCAAGTAACATATATATCGGTATCCTTGGTAGTTGAGCATCTAAATATCACTCACAAATTTGAGCACCGATTTTAGCAAAAAGACGATCCCATTTTAAGTAGGGAAAGTTATTGAACTAAAAAAGTATTTATATTATATTATATTTGTCTCTTTTTAAAATAAATAAATAAAATTAATAGACTCAAACTTTCCATTCGTGATACTGTTTTATTTCATTCCACGATCTCTTAAAATTTGACATACTCGAGGTTTATTTGATTTAATTTTGATTTTTAATTTTTAAAAATTACATTTTAAAACAACTTTATAATTTTTTTAAAAAAATAGATAAAAATATTTTTTTAAAATAATTTAGTTTTTAAAACTATTTTTAGTTAAACTTTTATTTCTTTTAGAAAGAGAAATAAAAGTAAAAAATACCTAAATAATAATTTTATTTTCAATTTTAAAAACTGAAAATAAAAAATTATTTTTAAAACTTACATTAATAAACAAGTTTTTTTATTTTTTTATTTTTAAAAACAAAAAATTATATTTAAAAAGAAAAAATAACGAGTCCTTAAATTTTGTCTTGAGTTATTTTATTTTATATTATTTGTCAGATAGAATTTTATTATTTAAATTATAAAAAATTAATAATATAAATAGTATTACAAGATATTATTATTTTTATCTTTTACTTTTTTCTCTGTACACCTTTTCTAATTACATATTATTAATACGAACAACATTTTCCTTTCACGTATTAGATGTTGTAGTGTAATAAATTTTCCGAAGACATGTTCACCGGTCCCATTGGCGCGCCACCCGCATTGGCCGTTATAGGTTGTGAACAAGCACCGCCACACGATAACTCTCCGGTGCTACCTCGCCGCCACGGCGCTAAAGAGCACCTGTGGTGTAGATTGGTGTAACCCGCTTTCGCAATCTCGCCAACCTCTTTGTTCTGTCCATTGTTGGCGGGTTGTAGCAATGGTCCAAGAAAACCAAACCATGAACATTTAACTGTTCTCAAACGGCTGTAATAAATCAATCACATGAAAAAAAAAAAAAACATGTAAAAGCACACTTTGGCGATTGGTTCTATCATTTTGAGTCTGATAGGTTGATCCGGTTCTCGTTAAAACTTGTATTTTATTCTATTGGATGCCCCCGAAGGGACAAAACAAAACATGACATGTCCCCGTATTGTTGTTACATTGCATCTATTGATTGAACAAGTAAGCCTACGTGTAAATTATCAACTTTTATTTCGGTTGTTGAAGAACAGTGCACTATAATAGGTCAAATTAACCAACTTTCGCTGCTTAAAGAAGCTTGCAAGTTATATTAAAATTTTCGGGTAT